ACTTACTACATCGTTCAACCCAGTTAGCTACATGCGAGGAGGTCTCGACACAAACCATGCTCTGAGTCAGCTGCAGGCTACGATCCGCGAGGCAGATGCTTCAAAGTCTGGCCTACCGGATCTGAGAAGGCGCTCCTGCAATTCCCCGACGCAAAGATCACCCATAAGTATGTCCCGGACCCCAACCCCGAACTCGGCTTTCACACTGGCATGCTGCAACAGTCACCAGCCCATGCTGTGGTCTCTAAGCTCCTGCGTTGCTTTGGCACGTCTTCAGGGCTGAAGTCCCAAAACCTAAATCTCCCACTGCCAGGCATCGGAGCATGACGAGGTCCAGCTGATGGATCAGACCTGGTGGCTTCCACAACAGCGTGCAGATGCCTCCGCTGATTGAGCTTCTCGCTGCTTTGTCAGCGTGTGTCACAAGAGAGTTGAAGCTGCGAGGTCGGTACGCCTGCACTCGATATCTACGTAGTGCAGACGCCAAGCGTCCGGCACGCAGCACAATCTATGCTGGATCTGCACATGACATTGAGGGAGTTACCGGCATGTCAAGTGACTTGTTGTCAGGATAGTGGTGGTGAGCGGTACTACATCTCCAACGACCAGTTCCACTGCAACGTGCGTGTTTGCAGCGCCTCGGTTGAAACTCTCAGCCTCAAGATTCCAATCATGTTGAAGTCTTGAGAGGCTGGAGCACTCCTGCTGTAAGATATGCTCATTTCCCAGCACCCTGCTGCAGAGCGGTATTGGCTCAACACCGAGCTGACTGCGTTCTATGAAGTACCTTTTGGCCAAAGCGGTGCACTTAGCCATGCTCACCGCCGTCTTCGGTGTGGCCTCGCAGCCTAGTTGTGTTTTTGCCGTGGTCTAGGTCGCGCGAAGGTACCGTCAGAAGCTCAAGAGTATTCAAGAGAAGTGAGTTTGCGGCTACCGCTCTCTGCTACGCAGTTTTCAAAGCGGCCCGAGCATCGTCAGGATCGGATCCGCGGACTACCTGAGTCGTGCCAGCTCCCCAATTTCAGCTTCACCAGGGTCGTGAACCAACACCAGACGACAGTCCACAGTCCACAGCTGTGAGGCCTACGGCGACGACTGGAACATTACCGTGCGGTCGAAGCCTTGGGTTCCTGCAGCCTTGGTTGCTCTCCACTTCGATCGCCAGCAAGGCAGTGAGGCCAAAATGCAAAGAGTAAGTCGCAAGCTGCTCGAAACCTACAACCCAACGCCTTACGAAGTAGTATCTTCAGTGCAAGCCTGGAGTCCCAAGCCGTTCTCCTGCTTCTGGTGCTATGAAGGCCCCACCGCTGGGAAGCGAGACACGGCAATGGCTTTGAGCCCACCGACGTTAGCCGCCTGAGGCCGGGATATGAAGATGGGAGGTTCTGGAGTAGGACAATCCAGGTTCAGGAATGCAGGTCAGAGGATTGCATGATGAGGAGCTCTAGACGGGACACGTGATTGGAGCAGCTATCAATGTCTAGAAAATGGGACCATCTGATACAGAAGAAAGCACGTCGTGCTGTGATGTTATGTTTATGTTACTGTTGTGTTAGTGTTGTGCTCTATTGTCTGATGCGTGCGATGCTGCGGCTGTTCTTGCTGCAGCATATTCTTGTGGTGGCAAGCTATGATCTTCGCTATTGTCCTCCTGTGCTGCATAGTAAATGTAGTCTCGCGTTGTATGGATTTCTGTTCGATCGTTCTAGGAACTAGATAGTTTGGCATCATACTATGTCAGCCTGCTTCATCGCTGTGAGTGTCACAACTAATTTGTTGTGCTATGCCATCGCGTGCTATCTCCTACCATGTTTTCTCATGTCTTCTTGCGCACCTACATAACAGCAGGCAACAAGCAGAATCGAAAGCTCATCTTTCTGAGCTTCTGCACGGTTCATGTTGCAGGCCGCCGTTCAAAATGCTTGGTATCTTGTGAGGCGTTGCAAGCCCTTCTCAGAAGGTGAGTTGGAGGGTCATGCTTTTCAGCAGGATATTGACAAAGAGCAAGATTGCAGTCCAGTACGACTTGAGCCAGGCGACGAGCAGCCGAACCCTTCGGCCCGCTGCAAGAGCCGGTTTGGCCGCTGTAAAAAGCCGCATGCCACTCCCGGGTATTCAAGTAAAGGCTTGCCGTCCCAGGTGTCGAGCGTCATAGATCCTGGTAGATCTTGGTGAGGTGAGGGCTTGACGGTTGTCGTCCGCGATTGTACGTCGTAAGAACTTCTGTATCCGTGCGTTGCAGACAGCATCGTAATTCATCCGAAGCTTGTTTGCGACTTACACGCACAGGGGGAAGATATGGCCATTTGCACTCGAACGAAAGGGCTTCGTTGCACCGCTGCCGTCGCAGAATTCCAGCTCCAAAGTTGGTCTGGAGATCAGGATCAGGGGAGAAAACCCAACAAAGCAAGCCGGCTGCCGCTGCGGCAGCGCCAGGAAGTGCGAGCATGATCGCAGCCTGGGGGCCGCGGAAGAAGCAGGGATTGCTTTCAATCCAATATGTGGCTCCGATCATCGGCGAGTCCACTGACAGGAACAGCAAGATGTAGTCGGATGGTGGTGGCAAAGGTACGTGGTGAGCACTGCCTTTCAATTCTGCACCGACCATCGGTCTGGACATGCTCATTTGTCCCTTCCTTCGCGTGGTGCAACAACTATGTGCTTTGCGATCATCGTGCTTGTCCTCCTCTCAGCAGTTTGCAGTTCAGGGGGATGGGTGAACAGCTTAAGCTGAGATCATGTGGCTGCGCAGCGACTGAGCACTTGTTGGAATGATTCGTCTAAGTTGAAATTCACTGTTTCGGGGTGGCCTGCAGAGAACAGAATTTGCGAGTCAAGGACGTCTCCAGACTTTGCCCGAAGCATGCTCGGTGAGGAAGGCTTGAACGTTTCTGCCTCTGTGACACGTACTCCGGGCCGCGGAGCCGGAATAGACCGCAACCTGAAGCTACTATTTATCCCAAGCTAAGTACAAGACGGATCCGACGCCAAGCTTCTAGAAAGGAGCTCGACTTGGCCTTCTTGCGGCTCGCACATGCGGCTCGCCGAGGTGCCTAGGGAATTGCTCGGATCGACCCAGGGGCCTGCTTAGATTCGTTGCACAAGATGCAAGTTGGTGCATTGCAGAAGATGGCGATAGTTTTGCTCAAAGTCACCTTTCGCAGTGTTATGCTCAAGTAGGTCTTCAGCCCGCCTCGTCTCTGGCACTGCCCGAGGCGGTGAGATGTCGGAAAGCGCGGCAGAAGTTCACTCCGAGGCACCAAACCCGACTTTGCTGCCCCGCCGGACCGAGGCTGCCACGCTGCTGCACGGAGCGAAGCCGCTTGTGCCAGCAAAGATCGTTGATCCTCACAAGGCCACTTCGGCGATTGCGGAGGCATGGAAGCTTTCAGGCAAGTACAACGTGAAGTTCGACGCCGCATTGGTCTTAGTGGTTGGGCAGCAGTCCGCTGGCAAGACTTCGTTTGTAGAGAGGTACCTTGGCTACGCATTCAGTGTGGTCAGCCATGGCATGGCAACAAAGCGACCGTCGGTGCTAACGCTATTGCCTGCACAGGCGGGCAGTGAAGATGAAGTGAAAGTCACTCAGGAATTTCTTGATGGGACTGTAAGCCCTGAGGAGGTGTTCGCAGGAGTCGACGCACTGACCAAATTGAATCAGTGGGTTGTTGACAAGAACGCCCATGTGGCCAAGGAGAAGCTCTTCATCACGATCTGTACTCCCAAATGTACGACCCCGCGAAGAGTGATGGATCTTCCTGGCGTGCGAGCAAGCGATGAAGAGGAAGCAAAGGGCGTCAACGACGCCATCATTGAGATGATCTCGGATGCGATAGGGAAGCCCAACTCTGTGGTGGTTTGCCTTGCAGACGCCGCGGTAGAGCCTGCGACTGACCTTGTTTCAGCAATGCATTTGCCAGGCTGTTTTTGAGGATTCAGCCAAGTCGAGTTAGTTATCATGACTTACTGAATCATACGCAGCCCTGCCCCTTGGCAAAGGCGAACGACAATATGGTGAAGCTGTTCCGTGATCGTGGAACTGGCATGTCCAGCTTCCGTGGCAGGTTAGTTTTGGTTCTCACGAAGGCAGACAACTGGTTTGCCAGCACTCGCCGTGACGAGCAAGTGCAGGAGCATTTGGATCGCTGGAAGAAGGAGTTCTATGGCTTGGAGCCAATGCTGATGGGCAGCACCTTCGATAAAGCCGCGGACACCAAGAATGCGAATGTGCGGAACTGTGAGTATTCAAAAGCAGACCAGCGTGAGCAGATGGACATCGCCAAGTTTAGGCTTGATGTCATGAAAGGCCCACAGGGTAACAGAGGCGAGTACTGGGACAAGAAGGTCGGGTTCAAGCACGTGCAGTCTCTCGTGAAAGAGATGTCTCTCAGAATGGACATGTGCAATCTGCCTCGAATCATCATTCAGATCGAGCAGCGCAAACACCAGGTCAAGCTGAAATTGGATAAAACGAAGGCCAGCCGTGAGACCACAGATCCTGAATTCCTCAAGAGGGGATGCAGTCAGTTCGTCTCCGCCCTCCTCGCAGACACGAGCCAATCTCTCACTCGACCCTCAGGCCCGAGCCTTTCAGTTCAGCTCTCCTCTTCTCAACAACTCCAGGACTGCCTTTTTAGTCCTTCAGCTTGAGGTGTCTACTTGCTGGGTTCACATCCGTGCATTGGCCAACGGACGGGTCATGTTCAAGTGACAGCACGTGTTCAGATCGTTGTGTCGAAAGGAGACTGCGAAGACCCTCCTGCAAGAGGAAGAAGAGTTCATGCAGGCTGCCGTTTACTTCTCGTCGGACTCCATGAAGGCAGCCTGGAGCGAGCAGAAGATGTCGAACATCGACTACAGCCGCGCCGACGAACAGGCACCGGATGAGTTCAGTGCCTTCCACAAGCGGGTTTTGGCAGACAGGAACTTCACAAGCCAGGTTGCGCAAAGTGAGGATGCCCTGCTTCCTGGAGCTGCGTTGCCACGGACAGCTAACTTCTTCGGTCTAATTTCGCGACGCTACATGCACTTTGATGCTGGACTCAAGTGCGGGATGAACACAATGTATCTGTTTGTTCATTGTGCTCACAGGGTTGACCAGCATCCCTGAACCGTTTTGCATTGCCTGAGTACCTGGGTTTGAATTTCCCGAAAATGGTGGGGCCCAACCAAACATCTCAAGCCCGCGCCTGCTTCTACTAACTGCTGTGATTCAGCATCAGGCTTGGAGGAACAGTTGCGCTCCGGGGCTGGTTTGAGACTACAAGCACCAATAGCGATTAGGGCTAGCCGCTAGCCGAGCCATAATCAAGCGGTGCCGAGGATAAAGATGATGTATCTCGCATCAAGAATGCCTGCACGATGAGCCCTGACATGCCCTTCGTGAAAGATTCCCTTCAGCAGATTTTCGTCGTTGGCAACACCAAGGCTGCAAAGATGCGAGATGTGACCATGTACTTAGTGCAGAAGACATCTTACCTGATGACCCAAGGGCTGACCTGTGCCTTCAGCGGTATGAAGAAGAATGACAGATACCGGGATCTTATAGAAGCTTTGGCGGGGGGTGCGAGCGTGGACTATGTGTTTGACGTCATTCGCAAGGGCTTTATCGGATACCTCTTGGTACATGCTCAGCATGCCTACCTTAGCTCCGTAAGTGATCACAATCAGTTCATGCATCAAGTCGGCGGATTCTACCACAGTGGCCACAATTTGCACGAAGACCGTGAGTCAACTGCACAACTGTTGCGCGAAGCTATGGCGTCAGAAGTCTGCAGAGGAGACGGTGAATCAAGTGCACATAGGTTGCTCGAAGCTGTGAAGTCAGAAGTCCGCAGAGAGATCAAGTGGGGTCAAGAGCAATCTGAATTACAGGATGGAATCAATGAAGGACTAAGCATTCTCAGTGGCCATGCCGTGCATCCGCAAGTACCTGGTATGATCAGCAACATGCTGGAGGACATGAAAGCCAAGGGCATCTTGGACTCAAAGGATCGTGGCCTGCACAAGCTCCTGGGAATGACGGTAGTTGTTTTTGCAGTCTTGGCACCTCAGTTCTCTACTGCTGTGATCATGCGATGCATGTCTGGCTTGTTGGGGAGCCTCAACTCAATTTTCTACCGGCACGCTTACGAGGAAAGCATCTTGGAGGAACTTACCAAAGTTTTCATCTCTGGCGATCTCGGCGAGCGGGTGAAGGCGCTTCAGCAGCGCGAGGATGACCTGAAGGAGGAGTACGATGATCTGTGTCATGCCGTGAGCGAACTTCAGAAGCTGCGCTGAAGAAGTTCTTGCAGCGGCCCGTCTTCCTGCAGCAGTTCGAAGCGACTGTCTGTGCTCCGCCAAAGTGCTTCTATAAACAAGACGTTCTTGTATAATTCACATGCACGGACTAGTTGCGCCACAGCAGATACAAATAGCATGCCTTCTGGTCTGGTTGCGTTAAAGCCTCAGGCGACGAGCTGAGAACTACGAGCTTGCCGTACTGCTTTGTCAAGCACGGTTTGGCTTGACATGCGTCATACTATGTCGTTTGTGGGTCTCCATGCTGCGTGGTCGCTATTGCCATCGTTACCGTCACTGTTCGTCTTATTATTACGACTCTGATCATTCCGACTATTACTTGTCTTGTCCCTTGTTCTTCTTCTTCTTCTCACTGCTGCTGCTAGTGCTGTTGCCGTCGCTGTTGCCGTTGGCGCCGTTGCTCTTGGTGCTGTTGCTGTTGGCGCCATCGTTGCTGTTGTCGTTGTCGCTGTCGTCGTCGTTGCCAGTTATGACTACTCGGCTATGTTACGCCATGTCTGGTTATGCTCACCATGCTTTGTCACCTGATGTTGTGCATCCTCCTGGTGTTATTGTGCACGACAGCCGACCCCCAAGCATAATTTGAATGATCATTGTACTGTTCTGACTGAGTCAAGCGTTTTTCTGGGTTTCTGGCTGCAGCATGCCTTCGAAGACCTGTAAGTTGGAGAGCTCGGCAGCGTGCTTGAAGAATGTGCCACTCAGAGTTCTGTTGCTGCAATATGCTGCAATTCATGCTTCGCAGATTACTGCTCCAAAAGTCCTGGCTTTCGGTTCCACATGGCAAGCAGCTGTGCCCCTTGCTTTGCGCCGATCACGGGAGTTCCTGAGGCCAGACCAACTGTTTCGAAGATGTCGTTGCACAGCACAGTAGAAGTTCACTTGGAAGCGCCACTTCCAACTTTGCTGGGCCGGCCGGCCGCGGCTGCAAAGCTCCAACGTACTGCCAAGCCACATTTGCCAGCGCAAATCATTGATCCCGAGAAAGCCACTTTGGCCATTGCGGAGGCATGGAAGCTTTCAGGCAAGTACAACATGAAGTTCGATGCCGCTTTGGTCTTAGTGGTTGGGCAGCAGTCCTCTGGCAAGACTTCGTTTGTGGAGCGGCACCTCGGCTACGCATTCAGTGTGGTCAGCCATGGCCTGGCGACAAGACGGCCGTCCGTGCTGACCCTTTTGCCACTGCAGGAGGGCAATGAGGATGAAGTGAAAGTCACCGAGGAAATGCTTGATGGAACCATGAGCACTGAAGAGGTGTTCGTCGGGAAAGATGCGCTGACACGTCTGAATGCGTGGGTGACGGACAGAAACGCAAAAGTTGCCAAGGAGAAACTCTTCATCACAATCTGTACTCAAAAATGTAAGACACCTCGCAGAGTCATGGATCTTCCTGGAGTTCGGGCAAGCGATGAGCCGGACGAAGAGGGCGTCAACGACGCCATCATTGCAATGATCTCTGACGCGATGCAGATGCCGAACTCCATCGTGGTTTGCCTCGCAGACGCTACTCAAGAACCTGCAACTTAGCGTAGCTGAGCTTGTTTGACTTGTAGGATAAAGCGAGCAGGTCTGATAGTCACTTCAATCAAAATGCCTACATAGTTAGCGGCTTCTTGTGCGTCGCACTTGGACCATGCTCCTTGGCCAGGCAAACGATAACATGGTGAAGCTGTTCCGTGATCGTGGAACCGGCATGAGCAGCTTTGCTAGCAGGCTGCTGTTAGTCCTGACAAAAGCCGACAATTGGTTTACAACCACCGGCAGAGCGGACATTGTGCGGGAGCATCTGCATCGTTGGAAGAAGGAGTTTTATGGCATTGACCCCCAGCAGCACGTTCGAAAAACATGCCGACACCAAGGATGCAGGGGTGCGGAACGACCAGTATCAAGAAGCAGACCATCGTGAGAAGCAAGACATCCTCAAGTTTCGGCATGATGTCATGGGCACCCTACAAGGTGAAGAACGAAAGTACTGGGACGAGAAAGTTGGATTTAAAAATGTGCAGTCTCTGGTGCAGCAAATGTCCCTCAACATGGACATGTCCAACTTGCCGCGTATCATTGACAAGATCCAGCAGCGTCAAGACCAGGTCAAGTTGACATTGAGCGAGACTACGGCTAACCTTGAGAACACCGACCCGGACCTAGTCAAGCAGAAATGCGGCAAGTTGGTGTCAGCCCTCCTCGCAGACACGACCAAATTTCTCACTCGATCTCCTGGCGCATGCCTTGCGGTGCATCTCTCCTCCTCTCATGAGCTCGAGGACTGCCATGGACAAAGTCGTGGGCCGTAGGTGCTGCGGAACCGCCGGTTGAGGGCTGGGAGACGAGGTGTCTTTTCCAGACGTAGCTGTCTGTAATCTTGTGGCGACTGCTGTGCTTTGCCAATGCCGAAGGAGACTGCGAAGACCCTCTTGGAAGAGGAGCAGGAGTTCCTGCAGATGGCGGGCCACTTCTCGCCGCACTATATGAAGGCGGCCTGGAAAGAGCACAACATGTTAAACATCGACTATAGCCGCGCCGACGAACAGACGCCGGATGAGTTCATGGACTTCTACAATGGAGTCCTTGCAGACAGGGACTTTACGAAGCGAGTGAAGCAAAGCGAAGATCCGCTGCTGGCAGGAGCTGCGATGAGGCGAACTGTAGAGTTCTTTGAGCTCATGGCGCTGCAGTACATGTATTTTGATGCTGGGTTTGTTTTAGAACTGTTGCACAGGGGTGGCCTTACATACGTGCACACACACACACACGGTCAAAACAGCATCAGAAGATGCACCTAGGATTCAGACGATGCAGCTCGTGTCAAGAATGCGGACACGATGAACCCTGACATGCCCTTCGTGGAAGACAGTCTTAGCAGGATCTTCATCGTGGGAAACATAAAAGCTGCAAAGATGCGAGCCGTCACCATGTATTTGGTTCAAAAAACTTGTTACCTGATGACTCAAGGATTGGCATGCGCCTTCAGCAATATGCAGAAGACAGAGAAGGGTCGAGATCTCATTGGTGCCTTGGCGGGGGGCACGAGCGTCGAGCATGTGTTTGGCGTCATGCGGAAAGGCTTCATCAAGCATCTCTTGGTGCATGCGCAGCATGCTTACCTCAGCTCCATAAGCGACCACAATCAATTCATGCATCAAGTTGGCTCATTTTGCCGAAGTGACCGGCATTTGGGCGGGGATGCTGCGCCATGGTTGCTCGATGCTGTGAGGTCCCAAATTCATAAGCTTCTGCCCGGAGCACTTCAGAGCTCCCATCCAGACTTCGTGTCAGGAATCCAAGACGGGTTGGAAAGTCTCGGTGGCCTTCCCATCCGTCAGTCGCTGCCTGTCCTAATCTGCGCCATTGTGGAGGACATGAAAGCGGCCATCCTAAAAGAACGGGATCCTCACCCCAAGGCCTCCTCGGGATGACTGTCGTGGCATTTGCATTCTTCGCACCGCACTTCTCGAATGCTGTGGTCATGCGTTGCATGTCCGGCTTGTTGGGGAGCCTCAACTCAACTTTCTACCGGCACGACTACGAGGAAAGTGTCCTCCAGGAGCTCACGAAGGTCTTCATCTCCGGCGATCTCGGCGAGCGGGTGAAGGCGCTTCAGCAGCGCGAAGATGAGCTGAAGGAGGAATACGATGATCTCTGCCAGGCAGTGGACAAGTTGCAGAGGCTTCGCCTCTGTTGAGGGAGCTCTTGAAGCGGCCTGTGTTGTCCGTGCGATGCCAGTGTCAGCACTCTGCCAATGCTTTTCTATCCTTTCTATGAACACTTTCCTGTATAGCCAGATTGCCAGGCTCGATAGTCGGATGCCCCGGACAGAACGTGCATCATCAACTTCGCTGAAAGGTCTGTGACCGATGTTGCTTTCCGTTGGGCAACGGGAACTGCTGGCCGTGCAGTTGCATAATCCTGTAAACCTCCATTCAAAAACGCCCTGGTAGACCAGTTGCAAACTGTGCCCGTGACACGACGATGTAAATATTCTCGAACCTTTGATTGACATGCAACCTGAGCAGCTTGGGCCCCTCGTTGGTTGACAGGTGTGCTTTTGCAGCTTCCAAGGTGGGGCCACGCAGTGTTGCTCTTCGTGTCTCATTAAATCTTCCAGCCCAGTAAGAGCGACTAGAGCTTGGAAGCACGAGGCTAGGACAAAGGATTTGGTCTGATGCACTGCAAAAGGATGGAGAGGAATCCGCCTTATTTCTTTTTATTCCCGAGTTGTTCTGCAAATTCGGGTTCCTGTCATGACTTTGGAGGAAGTGACTCTGCTGAGCAGCAGAGTCTGCAAGCGTTTCTCTCGAGAACCATAAACCCATTCGTGTCAAGGCGCTGTCGTCTGGGACGCGTTTGAGAACTTGCTCTTCCAGTGAAGGGGATGATTGATCCATCCTGGGATGCGCTACGTGAAAAGAGGCGCTGTGTGCACTTGACGCTGGGGATGCATGGACTAAAGCGGTCGCATTGGCATATTCGCCCTCCTGCATCATGTCGTAGTGCCACATTGCCTCAACTTGTAGTGGCAAGACAGCGCCAGCACAAGCAAAGCCCAGTTCCGGAAACACTCTGCATTGCCGCATTGTCCTTATCAGATATGGCATGCCAAATCGGTAGAAGCAGCAAACTCTAGACTCTAGATCCAATTTCGATCACTCTTGCAAGCCAATGCCATGGTGTTGCCACAAGCAGTGTTGCGATCTGCAAGCCACGGGCGGGCTGCCCAGCCTGTTTTTGGCCGGCGCAGTCACGAAAGACAAGTCGCAGCTGCAACGATTCGAAGCGTCGCTGCGACGCAGCTACCAAATTAACATGCACGGTGGTAGATCTTTGCACGATAGGCCAATCTGATCATGTGGCTCAGTATGCGGCCACTTTTTGCCAGAAGAAAACCTGCCCAATACTTCAGGCCTGTCTTGGTGGAGCTCAAAAATGGCGACTCGTACAGCGGCACTCTTGCTGGCAGCTGAGAGAATCACATGTCAATCTTGGGATGACGGCCAACAGCATGCTTGTCCTTGGCATTTCTTGGCTGGAGCCTCGAGGTGCCCCAAACTTCATTGAATTCGAAGGTGTCGCTTGATGTCGCTTTTGCCAAGGTTGCCGTGGATAACTCAATGAACATTCGCATGGAGGCCTAGAGCAAGCATGTTGCAAGGCAAAGCTAGCACGGAGGCATTGTTTCCCGAAAGCTCGGTGTGGAGTCTTTTGAGTGGGGAGAGGGGGTCGGCGGCTTCTGGTCGCAAGGGATGGTGAGTCTGGGGATGTGATCGAAGAGGGGAGAGCCGCACAGAGACAGGCAAGGGACGCATGCAGGGGGCCTGAAATTGGTGAAATATCAGGGGCATGCAGCAGGTCGAGTGTTGCTCGACATTCTAGGTTTTCACATGTTGCAGCGATGATCCAACTCAAGGTCGCATTTCAGTAGTACACTGCCTTCGCAGTGGTGATCGCATTTGTCCTGCTCTCGTCCTGTAGAATAGGCCGTTGAGCTCTCGGCCCGCTCCTTTTGGTTTCGGTCACAGTGTAAGCCCCTTCAAAGGCAAGGTCCCAAGTCACTTGGCTGCAGGATGCGATCTTGACCCCGCATACCGAGCACAAGTTCGAGCGCATGAAGGACTGGACCTACCAACGGTCGTAGTTGATTTCTGGCACTTCGTCGTCTGTCGGTCTACTGCGTTGTATGTGTACGGCCTAGTATAATATGTTGAACTGCATCTTGTCGAGTGCGGAAATATACTGGGCACTATCTTTCCTGAGCGTGACGTGTGTCGTGATGTTTCGAAGGATCCTGTGTGGAATCTCTGACATTTGCGACATCTGCTTGCTTGCAGGAGTGTACGATCCGTGGGCAGTTTGCCCCGCGCTGATTTGCAAATGCGGTTCGCAGAATCATATCGAGGTATGGAGATTGAACTGTCTTCTCAGCGAGCGTCGACGTCCACAGGTTAGTGCGCACGTGAATGCTGTCTGAGTGAGCTGAACCAGAACTCGGATGAATGAGGTGAAGTTCATTCGCTTTCCCGATGACATCTTGGACCGTCCTGCCCTCAGACCGCCGACTGCAAACATCGTGGTGAGACTCTCGTTCCAGAACATGGTCATAGCTTGGCGCCCACTGTAAGTTGATCGTGTGCTTGCGTGCTTAAAGCTGCTTTGAAGAACGGCGCCTAAAGTAAAGCATTCTCCCAACCGAGGTGTCCTGGCAACGCAGGATGCTGCCCTTAGCGGCAGCAGGCAACCTGCTTCCAGCCCTCGTCGGCTTTAAAGAAGTTCAGGTTTACCTTGAATAGCGCTAACATAGCTCTATAAAATACAGCCTCATCGCGGCAAAATCTAGTTTGCTCGGAGGCAGCTGCACTAGGTTGGGCCGCCTATGCCCTGGAAGGGTTTCTGTAGAAGAGGATGCAGCTCCGAAGCATGTGCAGGAAGGGCCGCGGCAAAGATGGCAGAGGAGGGGTCACAGAGTTCAAGCACTCGATGGGGTCATGGGGCGTGTAGCTCAGCATCTGGTGTAGGCAGGACGGCTTGGTGATGGCCCGAAGCCCTTCACACACTGACACACACCAGTCTGCAGATTTGAACCTGGGAGTTTGGAGTCCCCTCCAAACCTTGCCCTGTCTCTCTCAGACTTGAGACTTCCCTTTTTGTCTCGGCGCAGGAAAGGCGGACGAAGCCAACAAGATGCTGAGCGTGCCCTTCTTCGTGTTCTCCCGTCAGAAAACGTATTTAGCTACGAAAGTATGTTTTATGCTTCAATGTAGACTATGCAAGGAACATACATACACATGGAACAACTTCCCATGCACAAGCAGTGTAGAATTGCACGTAATATATGCAGTGTGTACATGTATCTGTATATCTATATTCATGATATAGATTTGGATTTGTGCACACACATGCAGAGGCCGACTCCCCGTTCGCAGGGCCCACAGTGGAACGAAAGCGCTTCCCAGTCCCCCAACTTTCCAACTCCGTGGAAGCAGAGGTCTCGCTCCTGTACGCGTGATATGATATGATATGCTATCGGCACGTTCTTGTTGCTGCTTGTTAATTCGTATGCATGTACTATACATATATAAGTATACACATACATTGGTATGAACATATTTATATACAAGGTGCTGTGAGATAGTTGCAGTTCAACAAGCATATGTTGGCCAGGGCATGACCATGAGCTGGAAGTATCAGGTACCTTCCTCCATGATCGGAGCGATCATTGGCCTGGCCCTCAGGCCGCAAGCATTAGAGGCCAGAGCTTCCACAGAAACGGTGCAACGGTCCTGAGTCCCAGATCGCAAGCCTCGTCGCAAACCCTTTTCCCCTAAAGCCTGAAACATGAAGTACACTGCGACCGAGGCCGGGGCGGTGAGACCATCAAAAAGTTCTGCACCGAAAGCGGTGCACGGATCGAGGTCGCTTCGGCCCAGAGAGTGGGTGGAAGCGTTTGAAATACAGTACGCATTTTGACAGTCAGATGGATAAGAAGCACCAGCACCAGCACCACCACCAGCCACCATCCTGCTCGTGATCCTCCCTATATTCTCCCTCCCCATCATTGTCATCATGTGCCATGGTCATCATCATCGGCATCATCATCATTCTCATCATCACCGCTGCTATCATCGTAGCCACTCTTATCATCATCCCTGCTGTCATCATCAGTGCACCAACCTTCAACTTAGTTGCTCCGGATGGTTAGTTGCCGGAATCCTGGTAGCTCGGTGTGCACACGGTGTCGCTATATTCGCCCGCATTCACGCTTGGAGGTATCCAAAGATCAGCTTGAAACCACAGCAGAGAGGCGCGAGAGTTCATGCTCCACCTTGATGTCAGTTCTTGCCCAGAGCTCCGTCCCTGCCTGACCTCCTCGCATCCCCCATCTCCAGGGCAATCTTCCTCTCCGGCTCGAAAGAGAGCGTGGAGAGAGCGGATGCCATGATCCGAGACTTCGTACAAGAGCGGGCGGGGCTCCCGGCTTGGAGTGCAAGAAGGCCCCTGGTCAGTCTGAGGCTGTCATCATCTCTAGCATGATGCTGACAAGTCCCCTTGTGTTTGCTTGACGGCTCAAGGCTTCACACTGCTCAAACCACCTGAAATCTCCAAGGCCCATCAGTGTGAAGCTCGAAAATTGCAAGGCAAAGCACAAATCCCCATTCCGGGTCCGGGAAGCCTGGCGACCTCAAACATCTCGAATACAATTGCCTTCAGCTTGCAACCTCTACCATCGATGCACTCAAGCAACCTGAGGCTGCCAGCCGCGCCAAAGCTCACAGCCGCTCCGCTACATCAGCAGCGAGTGGTTTCGTAGCTCTTCGGGACAGTCTCAAGCCCCTGGGCCCCGTTTGCCCTACTTTAGGGAGTTTGAGGGATGGCCTCGCTTTTCTGTTCGGCCAGAAGCCCGACATTCTGAACATGCCGGCTCAGGTGGAAAAGGCCACGGAGCACAGGTCCGGCTCCTTTTCCAGGTTTAGTCTAGGATTTTTTGGAGCTGCGCTCTGGAGTTCAGGGTGGTATCTAATCATGATGACAATAGGATGTGGGTCTCGACCTGCTGCTCTTGGGCTTGCCTGCCGTGAGAACCGTGAGAACTGTTTGCATCTGAATCACGGGCACATGAAGCCGAAGTGTCACGTCTCTGTGAGCAACAGTCACAGACCAGCCGCGGCCCGCAGGGCGAGCCTCGCCCCAGAGGCCTTGGCAGCTTGAGATTTTCTGTTTCTTCAGGGACTCTTTTGGGGGTGATGGGGCGTGAAGTCATCCAGAGTCTGTTGGCTGGTTTCCGGGCCCATCTGCTTGCGGGAGCTCCGAGCAGTCAGGCTCCAGGGGACGATGGGACAAGGGTGTCGAGACCTTTAACCGTCTGATTACTGCTTTCGGCCCTGGCTTTCTGGCTTTGGAGCTCTTGGTGTAGGTTGTTGGGGGCTTTGCAGTCCAGGACCGTGAAGTGCACGGCTAAGCATGCAGTTACCGGATGCTTCAGCCACCGTTTTATCTGGTTGCGCCTGGTCCTCCGGTGGTCTCAACTCCTGAAGGCAAAGGCGGCAAGAAAGGCAATGCTCCGGCACCTGGCGGCAAAGGCTCGTGACATCTCTGGCGACAAGCATTGTAGCATGCTGGAGTCTTTGCCTTTGAGAGTTGGAAGACAGTTCCAGCTGAGAGCAAGACATGCCTGACCGATAGATATCTGGAAAGGTTACAAACGTAACGTCGAGGATGTTCGCACCGCTGCACGCAGCCCATGTCAGGCTTCTCCAGCCTGGAGCCCATGTCGTCCCAAGCTCAATATCTGAATGTTTGTTGCTGTCGGTCGTGCAAGCTGCAGGGTTTTCGGAGGACACCCCAACCGTCTGACGGCCTCAAGCCAGGGTTCTTGTCAAAAGCAGACAGCATCGACTTCGTTCGGGCTCGAGGCATGTGTCAGAGCAACTAAGACGGCCAGTAAACTCAGTAGGCGAACCGTATTTAGACAAGTCACTAGTAGTATGAATCAGCTGGTCGCCGGATGATTGGCCAAGTCCAGGACTGAAGCGGCATCTGGTCTTAACACATGGGCCATGCATCCCATCCGAGGAACCCATGTATACCATGACAGAGACCTTCCTCCTTCCAGGTCGTCTATTATAGCATATCCCTAAACCCTGTTCTGCTTATGAAGGCCCCCTTCAATTTACCCCTTGGCCGATTGAGCGAAGCTCCCCACTTGGCCGAGGATTCCGCTCTCCTCAGACAGGTGGCCGAACTTCCAGCTTTGACCTGCGCCCGAAAAAAGAATCTGCAACTTAAGCTGAGCAAGTTGTGTAAGACCAGTCTCATCAGTTTGATGTCCGCTGCAACTCTCACAAACCAATGCGCCCGCGGCACGATAGACTTGCATTTGGCTCGAGTCTTGCGCTGGCCTAGGCGAGCGAACCAAGACTACTCTTGTTGGTTACACTGCTGGAACGAGCCATGCTTGCAGTGCACGCAGTTTCGGGCTAGCATGGGCTAGCGACGTGAATTACTGCCCCAGCAGGCCTTGAAGCATCATACTGGCCATGCAGCCGACAGCATGCCACGGCTGACTGGAAGCATCAGCTTGATGGATGACGGCTTCTCGAGCGCGTCTGGGACCAAGTCGAACTGTCATCTTCAGCTCTTCCTGAAAAAAGCGGGGGAGGCCCTGGCGCAGAATAGCATGGCCTGCAGTCTTTCGTGTTCAAGCGCCGGTTGCAGGACGGATCGCATGGCGCTGCTTTTCAGGCGGCACAGCCGTGCTGGGCGTAGGCCGAGAGCTCCCTGCTTGCAGCTTGCGGAACTACGGCTCATGTCGTGGGCTCGATATGGCCTGCATGCGCCATCCGGCAGCAGGTTCTCTTTGCGACCAGCCCTAAAAGATTGCCTTAAATCCTTCAACTTGCACCCACATCGGAGCTTCTTTGGACCCCGCTTCCAAGCACGCGCAGGCCTGGCTGTCCGGGAGCTGCAAGACACCTTCTTCCAGGCCTGCGCGTATCCCGCCTCCGGCACTCCACTCTAGCACCACCTTGCTTAGGTGTACGGTCTAGAGTCTGGTTTCGCATGAACTGCCTTCGGCTTCTGCGTTCGTCCGTTGTGGGGTCGAAGGCTAGGCAAGCGGGCTGTCTTGCAGGAGGTGCAGATCGACGACAGAGCACAGTGCAGAGCCCAGCAACTATCACGTGGAGAGAAAGCTCATTGTCAAAGCAGTATGTTCTTTTCGATGATTCATGGGTACTGCTATGAATCATGACCATGGGGGCTAGTCGGCTAGTGTCCATGCTACTTCCATTATTACCATTGGTTTTTCTATTTAAGTTCAGTACTTACATAACCCACGCAACTTCTGGAAGGAATACGCGCAGCTCAGGTGTGACTTGTAGTGAGCAGCACCGGGCCTCCTGCCCACGCTTGCCTCAAGAAATGAAAAGCAATTGAACCTCCCCACCCTTTTGTTGAGCCTTAAACTCTTTAATACTTAAGCCTTCAACCCAAGTTCCTTTATTCTCCGATGGCGGTCATGCTAACTCAACAGCCGAGCCAGCTGGAAGCCCAGGCTGCTACTGGGACTTGACCAAGGCCTTTTGAGGGCCAGACGGGCCGGGCACTGAGAGGGTGGGAAGCGAGAAACGGTGTACGGCTTGGGGTAGGATTTAACTCCGGCTTCGTCTTCCCATGTGCAGTTTCTGCTGAACGAAGGAACGTGAACAGAAGCTTCGCGACATTATGGCTTCGGCAGACAGGTGCTGCCCCCAGCTTGCTGCAAAACATCAGGCCATGCGAAAATCGAAAAAAGCTTTACGACACCCTAAACCGCTTTCCTTCCTGAGGCGGGCACGCGCTGTCGCGGCGACAGGCCGTGCTGCCATGATTCAGCTTCGGAGTGTTCACTTGTTTGTAGCCCTAGTGCCGTAGTGTCACAACCGTTGTCGTCTGTAGTTAACTACAGCGCCCCTATCGTGCATAATCGTCGTACTCACCGTATCGTATAAGTATGCATACATATACAAACGGATAAGTATAGAAGTGTGTGTGTGTGTACATATATATATATATACATATACACACATACATCGATAGAGGATTTGTCTTGGGTCCTGCATTTGGCTGTTGTGGTCGAGTGAAAGCCAGTTTCTGGCAGCTGGCGACGGCGACTCCGCCCAAGCGCTGCTGAAGCTCCGTGCGCAGCTGGTAGAAGAGGCCACGGGCCAAGGGCAAGTGGATGCAAGTGGTCTTGGTGACTCGGTGCTATGCCAGTGGGCTTGGACAGACAAGGTCTGGGTCACGTGCTGACATGTTTGCCACTGACATTTGTTGCTTTCGACCTACAGCATCCGGGCTAGAAATCAAGGCAAGGATCTGCCTTCGGGTGGACTTCGCTTGATGGCAGGCGCATCGCGTGATGTACCCTTCGCTCACTCGCGAGGAGGTCGATCAGAGGTGGACGCCTGAGAACCGATGCCACAGTGCTCACAGGTTAAGACATACCCGAGTCTACACTCGATTGGGCTACAATGACTCGGGGGGGTTCCCAATCGTAGTATTCTTGCGTGCGGACACCGACTGCGGAAGCCTAAGCAGCGGTTGGAAGCCGTGAAGTTCGAAGCTACGGCCAAGGCGCCGGACGTTCGGGAACGTGAAGTGGACGGAGGCCAGTGCTGAGTTCATCAGTCTGAAATAGTAATCCCTTCCCCTAATAATGAAACCCCCCTAATATACAGAATAATTTCCGGGATTTTGTTTTAATATTAGGGTGGATTTCGGGGTATCCGGGTATGAGTCGGATTGACAGTAATCAGTATTGAGCCAGACGGTCAGACAAGTAACAACGACCGTTTCCTACGCAGCCGTTCCGGCTGAGAGCAGACAGCCCTAAACCCTAAAGCCCTAAGCCCTAAACCTTGAGCCCTATTGTAAAACCTTCAGCCCTAAGCCCTAAACTCTTAAATCCTAAAGCTCTGATCCTGTCGGTTTGATGAGTACTGCTGTAGTCTTGGCTCTATTAAAACTACTACAATCCTGCGCCGCCCTAGTGCTTTTAACTACCTTTCAATTGTGGGCCCGAAACAGCGCAATTCTAGGGACCGGGAGTTTTCATGTGAGGGGGGGCTTTATTGTTAGGAGAAGCGATTACAACACATGTTCAGGATTCAGGGTTTGAGCGAGGTAACACTCGTGGCTATCATTGTCTCTGAACGTATTACAGGGAAGAAGAGCGACAGCATGACAAACCTGTTGCCCGACGGCTTTCTTCCGCTCCCTCAAGACAATACCAGCCTTTATTGATGCCAATGGCTGTATCTTCGGCTGAACTCCAAGGTCCGGTGTGCCCTCAATTATAGACTATAATATAGTCTAAAATTGCAAGAACATATTATACTGTAACATACCACAAGGTGCCGCAAGATACTAAGGCATGCTACTATGTACTAGAAAGGACTACGTAGAAGATACTAGCCCTAATCCCTAAACCCTAAATCCCTATACCCTGAACCCTAAACCCGTGAACCCAAACCCTAAACCCTATGCTACTAGTATATTGTAGTCCTTTCTTAGAGCGAATCCTGAGCTGAGCAGGCGGCTCTGCAGCTGGTGGAGCGCTTCTCGCCTTTAGTGGAGGTCGGGGGTCCGAGCCGCCAGAAGCTGATGGTCACGTTCGACGGGGATGATATAACAATAATGGTAGTATTGTTCTTATTATTAGTACTACTTTACTATTAGTACTATTATTGTTCTTGTTATTCGTTATATTTCTTTTATTCCTATTATTATTACTGCTATTATATACTGGCATGACTTAAGACTTAAGGCGGCCGCCTGGAACTTGAAGTCTCACTCTGCATCGTCGAAGAATTCCGCGGAGTGGCAATGCAGATCTACTCCTACGCTATGAATATATTGAGGAACCCCCTAAATCAGTATTGGCAATTTATTTCGGCCCCTACATACTGACTCCTTAGTCGGGTTGTCCTCTGAGGTTGGGGCTGGCGAAGGCCAGTGGCAGTCTGAACTCCGGCGGCGAGGAGCAGATGTGGGGCCCCTCAGTTAACAGAGGGGCCTTGATAATTAGAACAGGGTTTTGGGGGTACATTGTACTATAATTGTAGTAAGGAACCCCAAAACAGTATTGGTAATGATTTAGGCCCCTAAATCACAGAGGGGGCGATCACAAGTCCTTGGTAGAAGAAGGGAGAGGAGACACGTACTCGGACAGGAGGGACGAATCCCCCGCCCCCAAACCCCCAAGTGGTGCTATTGTTCTTATTTTTTATGGTTTATATTGTTGCAATGCAAATAGCAATAATTGCTATTGATTCATGAATGACTAACCCCACCCCGCACGAAGATTTTTTCTGGTCAGGTCACGGCCTTCGACGATCATTCGAGCCCGAGTCGCTTCGGAGAAGCGAAGAGCTCACGGCGAGCCCGGGGCGTTTTCGGGGGGTTTTTGGCGGCTTAGGGGTTTGGGGTTTCGGGTGGGGGTGGCTTGAAGGGTATAGGGAGCTTCTTAGTGATCCTTTAGGGTTTGAGGGTTTCTAACATGTTCAAATATCTTTGGATGTTGGAGCTCTGTAGGATTTCTTGGTTATGACTTCCCGTGGCTGATGCCTGCACTGAATTGTCACGGCAAGTTCTGGGCATGCGTCAGCCGGGGTTTTCTGCATCAGGCTTTGGCATGTTCGAGTTCGTGTCTGTGCCCAGAGGGAGTGTTGGAGTGATGGAAATGCCATTGGGAATTCTTGGTGCGCGCTGCCGCAGGCTCGTCGTGAGTGGCGCAGATGTGCAGCAGGCAGATGCGGAGGACGGAACTCTGCACACACGAAACCTTCATACCGGTTTGGGGCTCCAGTTGCCTGTAGTGTTGAGCCTTGTTAGCCTCCGTGGTGCCCAAACCTATGCCTTGCGCCAACACGCATGTTTTGCACCTATATAGGCTGAGTCGAGTTGCAACCTGGCTAGCACACGGCAAGATCAGATCTCGCCAAAAGCGCAGGCTCGCTTCGCGTCACTCTGCATCAAGAAGTGGCACTCTTATTCTCCAAACGTACTGTTACTTGCACCCGAACTCACCTGCGAATCTCTTATTCGGATTTGTAGTCGGGTAGGAGCCCGCCTGGCTAGCAGTGGCAGTGACAGTAGGAGGCGTTAGAGAAATGGTCGAGTAGCAGTATCCATAGTACCGTGGCATGTAGTATGCCGTGGAAGCAAAAAAAAATCCAGTATTGCTACTACAACTACAAGTACTACTGCGTTACTCCCTTTTCCTCCTACTGCTACTACTATTGCTGTTGTTGCAATGGCAACGGTGGCGGCTGCTACTTACTGCTGCTTATTGCAGACCATATCATAACTGCGACTGCGAGCGCGCTTGCCAGGAGGCCCTGCGTCGGAGTCGTGGCCGGACACTGCTGCTGGTCTATCCGCCACCCGGGCCCATGGCAATGAGGCACGGTGGAGTCTTAGAGGCTTCAGGGTGCAGAGTGATGAGAACGTTTTTTGCGGTGTATTGGCCAACACGAGGCCCGAAATAGAGCTGATTCGCGAACGAGAAAGTCTGGAGATCTGGTTTCCTGTGAACACCGCATAATCCTGCTGGTTGTCCCGACATGCCGCGCCAGCTTTCTTTGCGCAAGATACAACTTTTGATTCAGGCTCGTGCCGCTTGTGAGATCTGCCTTTCCGCACCATCGTCTGCATGTGTGAAACCTCACTGCCGTTTCAACTTCGAAGCCTGCAAGCTCTCGATTTTCCCCACCGCTTGTCATTCCCACGACAAGCAGCTCTGACACCGACCTGCAATTAGGGTTTGCACAGGGTTTAGGATTGTGATGTTTTCACGTCGTCTGGACGACCGTGATGGCTGTGGAATGTGCGTCATGGCGTTTGCAAAGCATCGAACCCTTGTTTGCCAGGTGTCTCGCCAGCTACACCGGAGATGTTCTTCTCTATGTAGGGGAAGGCCTGGGGGGATATTTTTGCTTTGGTAACTCTGCCCGTCTGCACCGAGAATAATTTTAACGCTACGCCGCCCGCCTCGGCTCTGTAGCGGCAGGGCGAGGCGGCAGTGGATTTTGTATACAGCATGCTAAGCGGGCCTCTCAACCCCAACCTCGAAACGGGTGAGTGTCGATTGTGCGAGCGCCGCAGGGGGGGAGGGTGGGGCGGGGGGGGGGAGGCAGGGGGGGGGGAGGGAGGAGGAGGGAAGGGGAGCGGTCTGGGAGGTGGGGCAGGCCGACAAATCAGGTAAAATGAAGGGAAGCCGGACAAGGGGATGGCAAATGAATGCAAAAAACGGGTGTCACCAAACATTTGGACTGCAGGTGCAGGGAGGAGGATTAGGTGGAGGGTACCTGAGGTAACCATCAAGACGCCTGGGCCTGTGGCCTCGGCGGATTCTAAATCTTGATACAACTATTATCAGATTTTTAATACGAATATCGCATGGGGGATTTCGGACTTCCGGATGCAAACTTGCAGCCGAGGACTTGGACGTGATTAAACAAGCAGGTTCTTTTGTATAGGCTTTGGGTTGTGATTTGGGGTTGAGCTATACTGAATACCGGTACCCTGATGCATCATCCTCAAAAACTCCTTTGTCCTGAGACCCAACCCTGCAATCCTGTTTCTCTGGTCAGGCAAAGTAGGTTAGGATTCAAGAATAGTGCGTGCTGGACTCCTTGCCCTCCTGGGAGCTGTGGTACTGCTAGTCATAGCCATAGTGACCATGACCAAGTAGACGTGGCCGAGATGATCTACTGCTCTTGCTTGATGTTTTGTTCCTCTGACTTGGAGTCGGCGGAGACAGCTGCACCCTGCATCGATGCAATACACTGTTAGTGGAGACTGCCCTGCATGAAACTATTCATGTCAGTGTCATCTGCCACTGACTTTCTTATCACCTTCTCGGGGCCTTGGCCAGGACGTGGCGGAGTGAATGCTGATGGTCCTTTCTTCGACGCACTCAGCGTGGGCTGGACACTTGAGGACTTTTTCCTGGGGTGTTCGATGACAAGACCCTACGCGATCTCTGCAGTCCATTCTAGTTATTCTAGTTCTGAAAACCCTAAATCCCGAAGTTCTGCTATCTTCAACTTTGCTAAGGACCGCCTTACGTTGTTGCCCTGCGCCACACCACATCAATGATTCCTTCGAGTCTGCCGTTTTCCCTGACTCGGATTCCTCAAAGGAGACCATCGGGCTGGACACTCTGCCTGGGTAGGGCTCTCAGAAACCGCGGCAGTGGATTCATCGTAGTATGTTCAGTACGTATGGTCAGAGCACGGGCAGTTTTCATCGTAATATCAGAAGACGCGGCGTTGTATACTGCAAGGTAGGTTCAGCTCATGCGACAATATCGTCGTTCAGTCGTATCTGACTGCTGTAAGAAGAGGTTCACAAACACTTCTCCAATGCTTCTCAGCACCTAGGAGCTACGAAAAGCTCTACCTCTTGCGGCGTTCGGCTGGCTGAGTCCTCCCCACGATCCTTGTACAAATGTGCAAGACAAGAAGCGGCATGTACATACAAGCGGGCCTTTAAAGTAGTGGCTCACTGGCTGAACAAGCTGCAGTCAAAGTTGTTGTGCCACACTGCTGTACTTGGACTTTACGGTATGTTACTTCTCTTAGGCAAAGCCAGATATTCTTTCGATGTGTTGAGCTAGTTGACCTTTGCAGGCTTTGTTGCCACGGCGATGTGGCTGTACTCTGGTGCATTGCGAGGGAAAGACCTGGACAGACAGACAGCATTGACATCATGTCGCCTGGGCTGTTGCTACGGGCTTTTTCACATGGCCAGTGGACAGCAGTGTTTGGCCGGGGAAGGCCTCCCTCCCTCCCTCGCTCTCTTTTGATTCCTCTGTCTCTCTTTCTCTCTCTCTCTCTCTCTCTCTCTCGCTTTCTGTCGCTGTGTATCTACATAAAGCACAAGATAGAGATTGCTGGATCCGCCAAACTCGAAGTATTCGAAATACACATTTATGAAATTAGCCTGCGACTCATCTAATCTTCGGTTCGAGTGTCTGGCGACTCCGTGTTCGCATTATCCTTGCGCCTTGCGATTCTCGTGCATTTGCCCTTGTTTGTGTTTCATCTGATTCGTGTCATTTGTGCATCTGTTTCGCCGTGTAGTCGTCTCTGACTTTGTTTTTTCGGCCACATCAAAGCAGGACCACAAAGAAATCACATTAACATCTCGAACAAATGATAGAAGCATCACAACAAGACCTCAGCCATGTCATAAGAAAACGAAGGCACGGCCTAATCACACTTGCGCCGAGTCCATGAACCCCACCAACGGCAGAACCATGGAAAAAGCATAGACCCCAATCACAGATACACGGCCGAATGTTGATTGCCAGATTCCTGGAGCTTGACGGGAAGTGGCAGGTTCAAAGATCACATCCAATGCATCCGTGTAGATGCATATGCATGCAACTGTGCACGTCCCTATGCACCTGCCCCACTATGCTGAGATGGACGGATGGACCGACAAGATGGATGGAGGGATGCCCGGAATCAGTATATATTTATATGCACGCCTACATACATACATTGCATACATACATACATGCATGCATGCATACATACATACATATATACACACACATGCACAAGAGCAATGTACAGGCGCATAGGGGTTCGTGCATGCCAGCAGCATCTGCAAGTTCATGGTGTTTCGTATGCTATGGATGCTCCGTGTCGCCGTCTGAGCTGCTTCTGAAGGGGTTTGCCGGCCCATTGCATGCCACACTGCCGCATTGAACACCTGTGGGTGTTAACGCACGTGCTGTAAAGGCTTGATCAATGGACCTTGGTATGACACTGACATCTCCCTAAATTATGACCACAAGCTACATCGCAGTGAGATTCGTAGACTGCGACGCGATGGCAGAGTGTAGCGCGGTCCCGCTATGCTAGTCGTGCGCCGAGTAAAGGAAAGGCAAAGCAGCTTCTACTGCCGGGATGTTCGTGATCTGTTGGGGTCTTCAGGCGGAAGTGCCGTTGCTTCCTGCTGAGGCCTACAAATATGCGGGCTCCTATGTCGCCTGACTGGCAGAGGCAAGTATGATTCCGTGTCAGAGAGGAATTTCTCCACGGCAGTTCCGCAATATTAAATCTTTCGAGGAAAACCGTGGTTTTGAAGTTCCAAATTTTGTGCTGCACCTTCTGAAGGAGCCATGTGGCGGAGAGCCTGTTTAGCGGTGAGCTCCGGCGATTTGACTGTGGTTGGGGACGGCAGGTCCTGGGATTGGGTACTCGTGGTGGAGCCATATGCGCCACGTTGGAAGTGATTGCATGGTGCATGGCTGCGCAGGCGTGAGGCAGATGTTGATACTCTATGCGAATAGAGCTGACAAGCAGTGCCTACAATAGTACATGTGCAAGGCTGATGCTGGCATGATTGATACAAAGTACGCGAAGACTGCGACACACCCACTTTCACCGCCGGCACATGCATCTAGACGGCTTCTGTTTCCATATGCTTCGTCTCACATTTGTCACAGCTGGCGTAGCCAGGTACAAGCCCCACCAAAGTCGCGGTAGCCTTGGACAACGTTCGCGCCCCACTCCGCTTGCCATGAAGCTTCGAACGGAGGTTGGCCCCAAGCTTCCTGAGGCTTGAGCGCTTGGAAATGAAGTGATATATATATATATATATATATATATATACACAGTTTCTTTGCAGTGTCTTTGCCAGAGCCGCGCAGTGAGTGCGATGGCTTCACGCGCCATAGTGGCTCGAGCGATTGAGAGTTCGTCATCGGAGGCCTTAGGAAGGCTCTGTTCCACATCCAGCCAGAGGAATGGCACACGGCGGCCGCCGAGGAGCAGCGCAGGCTCGCGCCTACTCCTTCCCTATCCTCCGCAACATGGTGAAGCCAGGCCGCCTGGCAAAGGCCGCCCGTGAGAAGGCCGGTCTGGAGCGGAAGCGCCATGGCAACTCTCAGCCGGAGGACAAAGACGCTCCGCCAGCGCTTGCCGACGAGCTGTTCGAGGAGGAGGAGACACTTTCCGGGGACGAGGGGGAGGGCGAAGAGAGTTGCGGGGTTTGCTCCGTCGGGTTACTGGGTTCAACTGGGGTTGCTCTTACTGATGCCTTGGAGGCGGAGCTGGCGGAGAACGAGGGCTTCATGGACTGTGAAGAAGTAATCTCTACCGACCCGCATGTTTCCGGCGCGGTAGAGAACATGATTGAGGAAGCGGAGCGCAAGGCAGAGCTTGCCTTAGCGGAAGCGGAGATGGCGGCTGCAGAAGCCGAGAGCGCCGAAATGGAGCTGGACATGCTCCTGAAAGATTTGGGTTTGAGAGACTGACGCGTCCGTGTTAGGGGCTGCAAGCTGTCTTCAGAGATCCAGACAGATTGAAATGCCTTGCTTGGGTGCATGAGCAGCAGGGTCGTTTATGTATGCTTGCGACCCACTAAGACGGACGCTTTGTCAAGTGCGTGAAATTGGCACGTCGCCTGAGTTGGGATTTGAGGTTTATCGTTTAGTGCAGGATTTAGGGTTTAGGACGGGGTAACGTAGGATTCTAAGATTTGGGATAGAAGCTTGAGCGTATTTGCAACTCTGCGACATGCCGCTGTCCAGGACGTGCCAGGTCCCAGGGGTCCAAGTCGGTCTAATGCAGGTGCTCACCTACTTTCGTATGAGTGTTATCGTGCTCCTTTACAATCTCTCTTCTATGTAAACTTTACTGTACCCGAAAGCCATCTTCTAATCATTGAGGCGGCAGGTTGGAGCTCTGAGGTGAAAGCCTCTTTATGTGGAGACGTGTCTTTTGGACCGTGGGAGGAATCCAAGGGCCTGCATGAGCTAGTGAATCCAAGAAACATGCCCTGTTTGGGTATAGTTCTATTTCCTAGCGTCGTTATTGTTTCGCGTTTTGTCCTATCCATACTGGAACCTTCTAAAGCGTTGTTGAACCCGCCGATACTTCGCTTGCTCTTGCAGACAGGGAGCTGCCCGGGCCGAAGTATGAGCATACCCACTCGGACACTAGGAATGGGGAATCCTTGCAGTGCCACTTTGACCCCGGCAGAGCCATGTGCTAACGCACGGCCGCATACCGCTGCATGTGCGAGGTAGAAAGGCACTGGAGCTGAACATGCTGCTCGAAGACCAAAGTGTCTGAGGCTTCACTGACGTCCGTCCTAGGGGCCGCAAAGCTGTTGTCAGGGCCTAGGGCTGAGTCCGATAATGACCTCAGCCGCAAACCCTCGACCGGGCAGGGTATACATAAATGTATTGCGACTTGCTTGGGTGCATGATCAGCAGGTTCGTTTATGCATGCTTGTGACGCACTAAGACGGACGCTGGCCGCCAGTATGTTTCAAACACGTGAAATTGGCATGTCGCCTGAGTTGGGATTTGAGGTTTATCGTTGAAGGCAGAATTTAGGGTTGAGGACGGTGTAATGCAATTTCGGTTGGAAGCTTCAGCGTGTTTGCAACTTTGCGAGATGCCGCTGTCCAGGACGTGCCAGGTCCCAGAAAATCTGCCGGGGCCGAAGTAATGTTCACTTCATATTAAGAAAGGGCCCCCCCCCCCCCCCCCCGCAAGGATGGGAGCTTCAGCCTCCGTAATAAGATTCCGGGTCCAGCATGAGAGCAGAGTTCAGAAGCCAGACGTGTCAGAGCCCTGCTTGGGGCCCCTGGAGAATCCCCAACAGTCCCAAAGCCTTTTCAGCTCCTGTAGATTCTGCTTACAGTTTTTTCCGCTTAGGCCGATTGGATTCTTCAAATACGGGGGGGGTTTCTAATTACGTTCTGGGAATCGGATTTTGCAATTACGCGGGGGATTCTAAACATGAGGTTAACATTATGATTATACCCAGTACGAATGGGCAAAGCGTGAACTTGAACCCACAGAGCTCTGGTCCTTCCAGTGATTGCAATGCCACTTTGACCCCGGCAGAACCGGCATGGGGACAACGCTCTTCGCATATCGCTGAGGGTGCGAGGTGGAAAGGCACGTTAGGCCGGCAGATTCCAGGTCACATTGATTGTCAGATCACTCCACATCGCACGTAGATCAGCGGTCAAAGTGCTTTCGGAGGTGACAATGTTTCGCAAACATGGCGATTGTAGCTTGCCGCGGTTGGGCCAGGAGAAGTGGAGTGATGTATAGCTACTTTGTATAGTGTCTTTGTCAGAGTCGGTTGTTGTCGGATCGATTTGACAGCGGGTGCGGTGGCTTCACGTGCCACAGTGGCTCGAGCGATTGAGAGTTCGTCATCGGAGGCCTTAGGAAGGCTCTGTTCCACAACCGGGTCCAGCCAGAGGAATGGCACACGGCGGCCGCCGAGGAGCAGCCCAGGCTCGCGCCTACTCCTTCCGTATCCTCCGCAACATGGTGAAGCCAGGCCGCCTGGCAAAGGCCTCCCGTGAGAAGGTCGGCCTGGAGCGGAAGGGCCATCGCGAGGACAAAGACGCTCCGCACGCGCTTGCCGACGAGCTGTTCGAGGAGGAGGAGGAGACACTTTCCGGGGACGAGGTGGAGGGGGAAGAGAGTTGCGGGGTTTGCTCTGTCGGGTTACTGGGTTCAAATTGGGGTTGCTCTTGATGCCTTGGAGGCGGAGCTGGCGGAGAACGAGGGCTTCATGGATTGTGAACAAGAAATCTCTACCGACCCGCATGTTTCCGACGCGGTAGAGAACATGATTGACTCAATCATGTTCTCTACCGCGTCGGAAACATGCGGGTCGGATTGAGGAAGCGGAGCGCAAGGCAGAGCTTGCCTTAGCGGAAGCGGAGATGGCGGCTGCAGAAGCCGAGAGCGCCGAAAGGGAGCTGGACATGCTCCTGAAAGATTTGGGTTTGAGAGACTGACGCGTCCGTGTTAGGGGCTGCAAGCTGTCTTCAGAGATCCAGACAGATTGAAATGCCTTGCTTGGGTGCATGAGCAGCGGGGTCGTTTATGTATGCTTGCGACCCACTAAGACGGACGCTTTGTCAAGTGCGTGAAATTGGCACGTCGCCTGAGTTGGGATTTGAGGTTTATCGTTTAGTGCAGGATTTAGGGTTTAGGACGGTGTAACGTAGGATTCTAAGATTTGGGGTAGAAGCTTCAGCGTATTTGCAACTCTGCGACATGCCGCTGTCCAGGACGGGCCAGGTCCCAGGGGTCCAAGTCGGTCTGGTGCAGGTGCCCACCTACCTTTGCATGAGTGTTAGTGTTCCCTTGTAGTCCCTTTTCCATGTAAGCTCTACTGTACCCGAAAGCAATCTTCCAATCATTATAGTTCTATTTCCTAGCGTCGTTATTGTTTCGCGTTTTGTCCTATCCATACTGGAACCTTCTAAAGCGTTGTTGAACCCGCCGATACTTCGCTTGCTCTTGCAGACAGGGAGCTGCCGGGGCCGAAGTATGAGCATACCCACTCGGACACTAGGAATGGGGAATCCTTGCAGTGCCACTTTGACCCCGGCAGAGCCATGTGCTAACGCACGGCCGCATACCGCTGCATGTGCGAGGTAGAAAGGCACTGGAGCTGAACATGCTGCTCGAAGACCAAAGTGTCTGAGGCTTCACTGACGTCCGTCCTAGGGACCGCAAGCTGTTGTCAGGGCCTAGGGCTGAGTCCGATAATGACCTCAGCCGCAAACCCTCGACCGGGCAGGGTATACATAAATGTGTTGCGACTTGCTTGGGTGCATGATCAGCAGGTTCGTTCGTGTATGCTTATTGTTGCACTGAGACGGACGCTGGCCGCGAGTATTTTTCAAACACGTGAAATTGGCATGTCGCCTGAGTTGGGATTTGAGGTTTATCGTCGAATGCAGAATTTAGGGTTGAGGACGGTGTAATGCAATTTCGGTTGGAAGCTTCAGCGTGTTTGCAACTCTGCGAGATGCCGCTGTCCAGGACGTGCCAGGTCCCAGGGGATCTGCCGGGGCCGAAGTATGAGTATACCCATTACGAATGGGCAAAGCGTGAACTTGAACCCACAGAGCTCTGGTTCATGCAGTGCTTGCAATGCCACTTTGACCCCGGCAGAACCGGCATGGGGACAACGCTCGTCGCACATCGCTGAGGGTGCGAGGTGGAAAGGCACGTTAAGGCCGGCAGATTCCAGGTCACAATCAACAGATCACTCCACATCGCACGTAGATCAGCGGTCAAAGTGCTTTCGGAGGTGACAATGTTTCGCAAAAATGGCGATTGTGGCTTGCCGCGGTTGGGCCAGGAGAAGTGGAGTGATGTATAGCTACTTTGTATAGTGTCTTTGTCAGAGTCGGCTGTTGTCGGATCGATTTGACAGCGAGTGCGATGGCTTCACGTGCCACAGTGGCTCGAGCGATTGAGAGTTCGTCATCGGAGGCCTTAGGAAGGCTCTGTTCCACAACCGGGTCCAGTCAGAGGAATGGCACACGGCGGCCGCCGAGGAGCAGCCCAGGCTCGCGCCTACTCCTTCCGTATCCTCCGCAACATGGTGAAGCCAGGCCGCCTGGCAAAGGCCTCCCGTGAGAAGGCCGGCCTGGAGAGGAAGGGCCATCGCGAGGACAAAGACGCTCCGCACGCGCTTGCCGACGAGCTGTTCGAGGAGGAGGAGGAGACACTTTCCGGGGACGAGGTGGAGGGGGAAGAGAGTTGCGGGGTTTGCTCTGTCGGGTTACTGGGTTCAAATTGGGGTTGCTCTTGATGCCTTGGAGGCGGAGCTGGCGGAGAACGAGGGCTTCATGGATTGTGAACAAGAAATCTCTACCGACCCGCATGTTTCCGACGCGGTAGAGAACATGATTGACTCAATCATGTTCTCTACCGCGTCGGAAACATGCGGGTCGGATTGAGGAAGCGGAGCGCAAGGCAGAGCTTGCCTTAGCGGAAGCGGAGATGGCGGCTGCAGAAGCCGAGAGCGCCGAAAGGGAGCTGGACATGCTCCTGAAAGATTTGGGTTTGAGAGACTGACGCGTCCGTGTTAGGGGCTGCAAGCTGTCTTCAGAGATCCAGACAGATTGAAATGCCTTGCTTGGGTGCATGAGCAGCAGGGTCGTTTATGTATGCTTGCGACCCACTAAGACGGACGCTTTGTCAAGTGCGTGAAATTGGCACGTCGCCTGAGTTGGGATTTGAGGTTTATCGTTTAGTGCAGGATTTAGGGTTTAGGACGGTGTAACGTAGGATTCTAAGATTTGGGGTAGAAGCTTCAGCGTATTTGCAACTCTGCGACATGCCGCTGTCCAGGACGTGCCAGGTCCCAGGGGTCCAAGTCGGTCTAATGCAGGTGCTCACCTACTTTCGTATGAGTGTTATAGTGCTCCTTTACAATCTCTCTTCTATGTAAACTTCACTGTACCCGAAAGCCATCTTCTAATCATTGAGGCGGCAGGCCGGAGCTCTGAGGTGAAAGCCTCTTTATGTGGAGACGTGTCTTTTGGACCCGTGGGAGGAATCCAAGGGCCTGCGTGAGCTAGTGAATCCAAGAAACATGCCCTGTTTGGGTATAGTTCTATTTCCTAGCGTCGTTATTGTTTCGCGTTTTGTCCTATCCATACTGGAACCTTCTAAAGCGTTGTTGAACCCGCCGATACTTCGCTTGCTCTTGCAGACAGGGAGCTGCCGGGGCCGAAGTATGAGCATACCCACTCGGACACTAGGAATGGGGAATCCTTGCAGTGCCACTTTGACCCCGGCAGAGCCATGTGCTAACGCACGGCCGCATACCGCTGCATGTGCGAGGTAGAAAGGCACTGGAGCTGAACATGCTGCTCGAAGACCAAAGTGTCTGAGGCTTCACTGACGTCCGTCCTAGGGACCGCAAGCTGTTGTCAGGGCCTAGGGCTGAGTCCGATAATGACCTCAGCCGCAAACCCTCGACCGGGCGTCGTATACATAAATGTACTGCGACTTGCTTGGGTGCATGATCAGCAGGTTCGTTTCTGCATGCTTGTGACGCACTACGACGGACGCTGGCCGCGAGTATTTTTCAAACACGTGAAATTGGCATGTCGCCTGAGTTGGGATTTGAGGTTTATCGTCGAATGCAGAATTTAGGGTTGAGGACGGTGTAATGCAATTTCGGTTGGAAGCTTCAGCGTGTTTGCAACTCTGCGAGATGCCGCTGTCCAGGACGTGCCAGGTCCCAGGGGATCTGCCGGGGCCGAAGTATGAGTATACCCATTACGAATGGGCAAAGCGTGAACTTGAACCCACAGAGCTCTGGTTCATGCAGTGCTTGCAATGCCACTTTGACCCCGGCAGAACCGGCATGGGGACAACGCTCGTCGCATATCGCTGAGGGTGCGAGGTGGAAAGGCACGTTAAGGCGGCAGATTCGATTCCAGGTCACATTGATTGTCAGATCACTCCACATCGCACGTAGATCAGCGGTCAAAGTGCTTTCGGAGGTGACAATGTTTCGCAAAAATGGCGATTGTAGCTTGCCGCGGTTGGGCCAGGAGAAGTGGAGTGATGTATAGCTACTTTGTATAGTGTTTTTGTCAGAGTCGGTTGTTGTCGGATCGATTTGGCTTCTCACTGGGCTGTTGGCTTCTCTGTAGATTTTGGATGCAAGAGGTCTTTACAGGAGCAGCAGCTGAAGTTTTATGGATGATGGCCTTGGGCTGAAGGTGGCTGCCACCTTAGAGAAAGACCTCGAGGAAGAGCGCAGGGAACGCAAGGAGCAGGCCAGTTTTGAGGGTTTCGGGCAAGCAAAAACCCAACGACAGAGTTGTGGTTGCCTTATTTTGCAAAGGTTCGATGTGGCTGCTACTTCGGTGCACTGTAGTCACTGTAGTAGTTAGCCTGCACATGCGTACTTAGGGCATTTTGGCATCCTTCAGCAAGGTTTCGGCAAGCGATACTTTGCTGCGACTCGGTGAGTTCTCACAAACTCCTGCTGCTTCGGCCCGCATCCAGCCATGTGGAGGTGGGCTTTCTCAACCGGATCTGCCTGAAGGAGCGGGAGCTTCTGATAGGCCAGGGAAAGAGAGAGAGTGAGGGTGAGAGAGGTGAAGGTCCATGCGCACGGCGGGATGGAACACATGGCTTTGGCAGGTCGGGCAGAAGCCTTCCAGAGGCAACTCGCCGAGGTGCACTGCTTGCTTGAGAGCCTTCGGCGTGTCCGCCCGCTCGCGCCACGCGCAATGTTTGCAGGCTCAGGAGCTCTGGGAGAAGGAAAGAGTCGGCGCCTGTCAGCTTTTCTCTTGTTTTGGTGGTTCTGAGCCCTGAGCTCTGCTGTCGAGTGTCGGTCTTGCTAGTTGGGCGATCAGCGCAGTTGAGCCAACTTGTGACTGTGCTCCTTGACTGGAATTGAAACGGGCTCCTCACCCGAAGCCTAACAACCCAACCCCTAAAACCCCTAAAACCCCTAAAACCCCAACACCCTGCGCTTAAAGTTTTTGCTGAGGTCCTCTTCCAAGATCGTCTCGCGGCTTCCGAGGCCATGGCCGGAGCTCAACCCGAGCTCCGGGCACTGAGGCCGGATTTTGTCACGAGCCATGCTGCAAATGTATATGTAGACTCAGACGTAGTACTTTGTACTAATATTATGCATACTTCTTCCTGTCTCTCAGTCTCCGTCTCTCTCTTTGTCTTGTTCTTTCTCTCCACAGAAAGATGGACGGAGGCAGGTAGAGTTGCATCTGCCAACCCTGCATCCCGAACACGGAACGGGAGGCTCGAGCTCGAAGGCTCCAAGAAGGAGTCAGCTCACGTGCGAGCCGAGATGAAGGAGTCCGCAACCCTGCAAGGCCTAAATCTCACAAAAGTCTAATTGATCGGTCTTCAGGTTTTTTGTGATCAACCACCGAACCAAACGGCCCGACGGCTGAGTTCGACGAACTGAAAGCAAAGCGGTTGCTGTTGTCCCAGCATCGTTCCGCTGTTTGGGGCCTGCCAGCAACAACAGCAATGGCGACGGATCCATAACTGTACTGTTCCCACTCACAGCCTGGCACTATGAATAAGTCCTATAAACCCGGGACAGTCTAAACCCCAAACCCTTCAACCTAAACCTCGAGCCTCGAATCAGCCCAAATGCCTCGATCTCAGCACTTCCAAACTCAACTGGAGTCCCACAGGAGCTGACAGAAGAGCTGCGGGTTTGCCAAGCCCAGCGCGACACGGCAGTTTCGTCCTTTCAGGAGGTCCGGCTGAGGGTTTTTGGAGGCCATCTGATCTGGATCCCTGGGGCTTTTTAAGGGTTTCACGGTTATAGGGGCTGGATTAAAATTGGCTGTTGGGTTTGGGGTTTGATAAGGCGCTTAAGTTGGGTGGAAGGAGTTCCGGTAAGGATTCAGGGTTTGGCGAAGTATTTGAGTGGTGAAGCAATCATTACGACACTAACTTTGGTGCTGATCGAAATACAAATCAAGCATGACGAGCTCTGCTTACAGATTGCACATGGATCCCCAAAGATCTGTTTGTTTGTTATCTTGCGGTTGCGCTCCGTCTTCTGAAACCGTTCGAGAGCCTAAAATGTGCTGTGCGGGGCCACCATGGGCCACCTGTATGCAGAATGAAACTAATAATACCAATAACCATAGTAAAAATGGTAATAATCGTAACAGGAGTTCTCGGCTCCTAACCTTCCATCCCGCCCCTTAGCGGCCTGAAAGCTTCCCGGATTGCGGCGGACTTGACTTGAACAGAACATAATGCAAGATAGTGCGATATACACTAGTGTATAGTATGGCATAGTTAGTACAGTCTAGCCTAGTATACTCTAGTCTAGTCTAGGCTGGTCTAGTCTAGCCTAGTAGATGTACAACGAAGGACAAGATTCGAAGCCTGTGCCAGGTCCAGGCGAGGCAGTTCTCGCGCGAGGCGGAGGACGCCGTTGGCAACAGAGAGGAAAGAGAGACCGGTGCCAGCAAAGACAGACGCCCATATTACATTATATTTGATTATGTTGTGTTGTGTGGCCGTATTACAATATGACGTTATGCTACCTTGTGTCATTGTGTTATATCATGCCATTATGCACTTATACTATATTCTACTCTATCCTTTTTGATTTTGCTATCGTACATTGTACTATGTTGTTTTCTGATTTTAGCCGTAAGGAGGAACAGTCAATCATGCCACACCTGTCTTCCGAGCCGAGTTTTTCCTCCGGAGCACGCAGCCATGCATGGACACGTCTCATGCGTCGCATGAGCACACGTGGGTGTCACGTCATCCTCGTTAGCATCACCACCATGACCATGACCATGATCATCACACCGTCATCACCATCACCACCACAGTCGTCGTCGGTTGCATCCGTCATCCACAACCTGAATTAATTCATACCGTGTGAGTATGTCGTCATCACTGTCACCGTCATCATTGGCATGAGCGTCGGCATGAGTGTCAGCATTAGTACATCCTCCTCCTTCGTCGCCTTATCCCCTAATCGTCCTCATCGTTCTCACCATCATCGTCATCATCATCACCATCGTCATCACAACATCGGCTTGCCGCTGTGCATCGGACGCATAGTTTCGTGCGTTGGTAGTGCCATACATAGACAACCGCAGTCAGTTTAGCTATTGATTTTGGGGCAAGTGTCGAATGTCGAGCCGGTCATTCGCAGGCCACCAATCGTCTGCGGAGCGAGTATGCCGAGCAGCGGCAGGTGCGCGCAGAGTCGACGTGAAAACATGCCACATTGTGCGAGTGTAGCACGCATACATGAAATTCATGCCTGTGTGTGTACATATAAATGTATATATGTATTATACATATTCTGTGTGCATGCAAAATATGTATATATTATATACATATATATGTGTCTCTGTATACACAGGTACATACTCACGAGCACGAGCAAAGAGGCATTCAGTGCGTCTATGTATGCATGTATATGTGCACTTAATACATATGGTGTGTCTATCGGCAATGCTGAGGTGTTTCTGGAAGAAGCATCCGTTGAAGTGCAGCTCTCAGCATTACTTGCTCTGCGCATTGTTGGTCGTACTTGATGATAAGAATGCTATCAGTACTCTCAACAGTAGCATAAACACCGAGCATGTCGTAGCAAACGTAGTCTTCATCGTCGTAGTCTATCTGGTAGCAGCAGAAGCAGCAGGAGTGGTATTCAACGTGAGCAGTACGTGCGATGACAAGAGACAGTGGCCATGCAGGCGATGTCGTAGCACCTGCAGCTGCAGTGTTGAGGACAGTTGCTATCGCGGCGGCAGGACATGATATCCTAGTCTAGTCAGCTTCTTCCGTGCCGAGAAATGCGACTATAGATGGACTAGTCCTTACCAAGGTGGCTGCGCTGCGGCAGCAACTCCAGACTCTGAAGCATGGCGCTTGGTCCACTCAAGAGAGGCAATCCTCAGTGGAGCCCATAATGGTGAGCTTCGCTCCGCCAGAATTACGCCGCCAATGGTGTTGTCTTCAAGTTGCACAGAAGATTCGGGACCAGCTGAGGCAGGAGAAGGAGCAAGCCGCGGCAGAGCTTCAGAAGGCGCCCAGCTGACTCTTATGCTGGCCTGTAGGTTGGTTGGTCTAGAGTCTAGAGTCTAGGTGACCGTGCAGCCCGTTGAAGCCGTGCAGAGGCGCGCCAAAGTGAGGAGGAGCTGGCAGCCACGCTGAGGCAGTGCCGAAACTAAGCGCAGTCGCAGCTTGCTCTTTCTTTGGTCTGGCCACTTGCAAGAGGTACGGGTAGAGGCTCAGAAGCTATGCCTACTGTGCATCCAGTGTTGCTCCAGCTGTGAGGCAGGAGAGCGAGGAGGAGAACCAGAGTGCGCTGATGAGGGCCATCTGGCAACTCCAGGCCAGCACTCTTACTCTTGTTGGTAAGACTGCAACTGCTAGCTTTATTGCTATGGTTGCTGTTGTCACAGCTGCTACGGGTATTGCTAAGAAACTTGCAGCGGATCGAATTAATAAACGGCAGAAGCAGGTACTGTGCAGCTACAACCCCAACTAGGTCGAATGAGCATGGTGCATTACGTGATCCTCTCAGTGCTCTGAGACCTCGAAGAAGAAACAAAAGACTCGCTTCCGAAGCCTTTCAAAGCCCCCCACGAGAAGAAGATGCAGAAGATCCCAGCTGGCAAGCATCACAGAATGAGGTGGCGGACGACTGCGTGGTGTCTTTGCAGGGCCGCTTGCAGGAGGATCCCGTGGGGATAGCAAGGAAACATAGCTACCACACCGATACAAGCATGCTGGTCATCTTCCTTTTTTGGACAAGTGCCGCAGTGACTGCAGCGAGTGACAGTGATCATACGGAAGCAGTAACTGCCGTGTTCGCAGTAGCTGTAGGAGATGTATTATCAGCTGCATTTGGAGCTGCAGCAGTGAGCAGCATTCCTGTCCCAGTGGCAACAAAGGCAGTGCCCGCGACATTGCTGATGAAAGGCCAGTCGACTGTGGCCAGAATCTAGAATCGTGTTTCCAAGAGACTAGTGAAACCCTACACAAATACATATGATATAAACAAACAAACACACACACACACACACACACACACACACACACACACACACACACACACACACACACACACACACACACACACACACACACACACACACACACACACACACACACACACACACACACACACACACACACACACACACACACACACACACACACACACACACACACACACACACACACACACCCACACCCACACACACACACACACACACACACACACACACACCACACACACACACACACACACACACACACACACCCACACACACCACACACCACACACACACACACACACACACACACACACACACACACACACACACACACACACACACACACACACACACACACACACACACACACACACACACACACACACACACACACACACACACACACACACACACACACACACACACACCACACACCACACACACACACACACACACACACACACACACACACACACACACACACACACACACACACACACACACACACACACACACACACACACACACACACACACCCACACCCACACCCACCCACCCACCCACCCACCCCCCCACCCCCCCACCCCCCCACCCCCCCCCACACCCCCACACCCCCACACCCCCACACACCCCCACACCCGCACACCCGCACACCCACACACCCACACACCCACACACCCACACACCCACACACACACACACACACACACACACACACACACACACACACACACACACACACACACACACACACACACACACAGAGACACACACACACACACAGACACACAGACACACACACCCCCACACCCCCACACAGCCACACACACCCCCACACCCCCACACCCCCCACACCCCCACACCCCCACACCCCGACACCCCCACACCCCACACCCCCACACCACACTCCCCAAACCCCCCACCACACCCCACACCCACACACCCACACCCCCACAAACACACACCCCCACAACCCCCACACCCCCACACCCCCCACACCCCCACACCCCCACCCCCACCCCCCCACCCGCGTGTACCCCGCTTTACAACCAGAATCCCCACTTTACAACCAGAACCCCCACTTTACAACCCATGAGCCTTTCCGGAATCCCCACTTTGCAACCGGTTGGGAAAGCTTCTTAACAACCCTATTAACTGATAACGTCAAAGCCTAGAATCTCTAGCATCATCCTTTACGGCAGCCATGCAGGTTGGAAAGTGATGTTGGTTGCAATGTGGGCGTTCTTAACCCGAAACCACGATAGATATGTGTGTGTACATATATATATATATATATATAGATGCGTGAGGGTTTGGTATCGATGATACTGTTTAGATGCTCACCTCAGCGAGCGTGTTGTTGCATAGTGGTTTGCACTTTACGCACTTGCGGCCGTCAAGCTGTATCCAACTCACTCCCTGCAGGCAAACTCGGACCGAGTGTGTTTGTATTGGGGAAAGCAGAAAGAAAACATTAGTTTTAGAAACGGATTCTTTTCTCACCAGAGCGAGAGATATATATATATATATATATATATGTATATTTATAGTAAAGCCAATACATGAACCCGAACATTTTACTACATTTGATGTTGTATTTACGGTGTTACGCCATACAAGTACTTTCAAAAAATGATTTTCCTTTTTTGTGTGCTTGTATTGAGGAAAGCATACATAAAACATGGCACCCACAGACGACAAAGATCAAAGATATCATGCGACGAAGCAATTTGAGGGATGTTCGAGATCTTAGTAGTTTGGGGCCACGGTCGGATGAAGGCCACGTACAACACTATAGGGGGTCAAAGAACCAACAAACTATTAGGAATCTAGGTAGGTTTGTTGTAAAAAAACTCATGAAATCCCAATAAGTCTTAATCATGGGTAGACGGGTTGCAAAGTGGGCGTTCTCACGTTCGGCAGTTGTAAAGTGGGGATTCTCACATGGAAAACAGTGTCTGTGGTTGTAAAGTGGGGATTCTGGTTGTAAAGTAGGGATTCTGGTTGTAAAGCGGGTTAATCTCCCCCCCCACCCCCCCCACCCCCACCCCCGCGTGTACCCCGCTTTACAACCAGAATCCCCACTTTACAACCAGAACCCCCACTTTACAACCCATGAGCCTTTCCGGAATCCCCACTTTGCAACCGGTTGGGAAAGCTTCTTAACAACCCTATTAACTGATAACGTCAAAGCCTAGAATCTCTAGCATCATCCTTTACGGCAACCATGCAGGTTGGAAAGTGATGTTGGTTGCAATGTGGGCGTTCTTAACCCGAAACCACGATAGATATGTGTGTGTACATATATATGTATATATATTTAGATGCGTGAGCTCGTGAGGCGTGAGGGTTTGGTATCGATGATACTGTTTAGATGCTCACCTCAGCGAGCGTGTTGTTGTATAGTGGTTTGCACTTTACGCACTTGCGGCCGTCAAGCTGTATCCAACTCACTCCCTGCAGGCAAACTCGGACCGAGTGTGTTTGTATTGTAGACAAGGGTTCGGGTGCATATAATCCGGAGCAGCCCTCAACTACTGCTTTGCCTCCAGCCAGGCGCACAGAAGCACCCACAGACGACAAAGATCAAAGATATCATGCGACGAAGCAATTTTAGGGATGTTGGAGATCTTAGTAGTTTGGGGCCACGGTCGGATGAAGGCCACGTAAAACACTTTAGGGGGTCAAAGAACCAACAAACTATTAGGAATCTAGGTCGGTTTGTTGTAAAATACTCATGAAATCCCAATAAGTCTTAATCATGGGTAGACGGGTTGCAAAGTGGGCGTTCTCACGATCGGCAGTTGTAAAGTGGGGATTCTCACACGGAAAACAGTGTCTGTGGTTGTAAAGTGGGGATTCTGGTTGTAAAGTAGGGATTCTGGTTGTAAAGCGGGTTAATCTCCCCCCACCCCCCCCACCCCCCCCCACCCCCACCCCCACCCCCACCCCCACCCCCACACACACACACACACACACACACACACACACACACACACACACACACACACACACACACACACACACACACACACACACACACACACACACACACACACACACACACACACACACACACACACACACACACACACACACACACACACACACACACACACACACACACACACACACACACACACACACACACACACACACACACACACACACACACACACACACACAGAGGACACAGAGACACAGAGACAGAGACAGAGACAGACAGAGACAGAGACAGACAGAGACAGACAGAGACAGACAGACAGACACAGACAGACACACAGGACAGACACAGACAGACAGACACAGACACAGACACAGACACACAGACACACAGACAGACAGACACAGACAGACACAGACAGACACAGACAGACACAGAGACACACAGAGACACACAGACACAGACACACAGACACACAGACACACAGACACACAGACACACAGACACACACAGACACACAGACACACAGACACACAGACACACAGACACACAGACACACAGACACACAGACACACAGACACACAGACACACAGACACACAGACACACACACACACAAGAGCCCACGGTTACACACGTACATACAGACATACGTACATACAGACATACAGACTTACAGACATAGAGGCATACATGCATACGTGCATACATGCGTACATGTATACATACATACATACATACATACATACATACATACATGTTCAACTGTGCACGGACATCTATACAAACACCTGTATTTGCAATTATGCTTGTATGTTTTCAACTTGTGAGTGTATGCATACGCACATATATATATATATATATATATATATATATACATATATATATATATATATACATATATATAGAAACAAAAATGTAACGCACATGTGTGCATACCTACATACGTTTACATACAGATGCAAATCCGTGCACATATTATGCAACATGTTTGTAGCAACGACATTGCCAGCCAGGGATGATGCCAGAAATGGATAAGAATCACAAGACTCGGGAGTGACGATCATGACGACTAGAAGGGAATGATGTGAAGAACGGCAATGGTGACAGCAGCAGCCACTCCAACACGAAGGGTGCCATGTTCATCAATCCGGGTTATCATGACATACTGTTACCTCGGTAATGATCGAACTTACGGTTACTGAGAAAGTTTGGGGTGGGGGGCAGTAATTCGGGATGACATTGGCTGGGCCGTGCATATGATACTGCTGATGGTAACGATGGTTCATGATGCTTGACTGATTGATTGGTTGATTGACTGACTGACTGACTGACTGACCGATTGATTGATTGATTGATTGATGGGCAGATTGATTGTCTGATTCACTGTTTGATGTTTTTGTTGATTGACTGGTTGACGGATTGTTTAGTTGATCAATTGATTTGCTTGCTCGGCTGATTGATGGTGATGACACTGGTCAGTATGCTGCGCTGACAGCAATCTCTTCCTCCGTCTCCTCCTCGTGGTCCAGGCACGCAGTTGCAGCGATGATGCCAACAATGAGCTGAATACAATGCCTCGCAGCGCTCGACACGGCCGCTGGCAATGCTAGCACTAATGAGCAGCAATAACCAAAGCATTTCCGGCAGCAATTGCAGCAACATAGGGGCTTAGATGGTTACTAATACTATTTTGGGTGTTCCTTATTCTAACTACAGTATAACATACCCCAAAACCCTGTTCTAATGATCCAAGTCCCTACACTAACCGTAGTCGGTGTCGTTGCCCCGAGGAGTCTGAGACCTACAGCGCCTTCCACTGCGAGCTGCTTCCTGAGCTGCTTACACAATCGGTCATATCATGTTCGTATTCGGACATATGTATATGTGTGTACACATACATATATGTATACGTAGAGGAGTTTTTTTTGCTTTTTATGTGTTCATTGGTTTATTTGACAATGCACCCTGTTGTATATGATCAGGTCATGTCATCTCGTATCATGTCATGCCATGACGTATCATATCACGTCATTCGGTGGGTGGACAGAATTGTGCCTGACCAATCCAAAGACGAGCATGACATGTTAAGTCATGCATACCATTTCCAGGAAAACTGTGTAAACTTGCGTGAAATTACAGTTGATGGGGAGAATGCCGGACACGCGATTCCGTCCATTCAAACGTATGCAATCGTTGAGGATGATTGGACATCAATGTTAATGAGGCGCATGTGTGATGCCTGATCTCATGCATTCGCATACATGCGTTTTCGAGAGTTGCTCGACATCCGTACCAAGATTCAGGGTTTGGAACATGGGGGCAGCAGAAGAGTGAATCAGAAATTTGGTCAGTTAGCAGTGTCACTACATATCATGCCGGGTCATACCAAATCTCAAAACATGTCATGTCACCTTATGTCATGTCATATCATGGCAAGCCGTCTCATAGTACATCATATCATACTACGTCATGCCATGTCATGTCAGATCATACCATGCACATGGTGCATATATGTACCGAGCATCGCAATCGTACAATCCATGCGTGCATACGTACGTGCATATTTACATATACCTACGTACATGTCCACGTGCATACATGCGTACCTACGCACGGACATACGTACGTATGCATACGTACATACATACTTATGTAAATACAGATCATACAAGTGTGCGTACGCACATAAACTCTCCCCCCCACACACACACACACACAAACACACACACGCACACACACACACACACACACACACACACACACACGCGTACATGCATACATGCATGCACATGTACATACATACGTATATACATATGTACATACATGCACACATACATACATGCACACATACATACATACATACATACATACACACATCCATACATACATACATTACATACAGAAAGACGTATATAATGTTTGTTTACTTCTTCACCCACTCATTTGTCAGTTCCTGTCTGCAGAATCGATGTGATCCGGCTCAGTCACACCTGGACGAGGCTGTTAAGTTGTCGCCAAGAACTGACGGAGGCGGGAGTGCATGCACACAGCTTAGGGTTTTGGTTTCAGTGTAGCGCTGCTGCAGCTTCTGTGTCGGTGTTCTGACTCTCGTCTAGAATCAAACACCCCATAAAGCGAACTCCCCGGTGCTGTGCGACTTTGAGGGTCACAGCGCATCAGAAGCAGCGGCGCGATTGGGACATTCGATGCAGACTGCAGTGTCTGAAAGAAGTCGTCGCGCGAATCGGACGTGGCTTTGCCAGGCTTGCCAGGCATGGGCAATCTACGACTGAGTCCCATGCATGGCCTCTGCCAGGAAGCCACTAGCTCACGACGGCTTGCGGCAGCGCTGTCGGCAAGCGAGCAGGAGCATTGACGTTTGTGTTGCTTGCCGAGAAATCCGACTAGTTGTGCCAAGCCAGAGCCGTTGAATCCGCAAGGAGCAAGAGCTTCTGGAGAAGAAGGTGCCGAGGGGGCGTGGGACGTTGAACCTCTTGCGGCTGTTGCCTACGGATGTATCGAGCGGGGAGGCCGCTCCAGCTGATTCCGGCAGGGATGACTATAATGCACCGTCGACCCAGAATTTAGGCTTCGCACACGGCACGCCAACGGTTGCCCATCCTTTCCCGAAGCTGACAGGTTAACACCCTCGAGTCCTCGCTGAGGGGCGACGAGAGCCGATGCGTGGGCCTTTTACGGAGTTTCTGCCTCTGAATCCGGAACCTAAAAGCCTGCACCTTATGTAAACCCCTAGACCGTAAAGAACGCTACATCCTGCGCTCTGAACCCGGGCTCAGCATGCTGCCACTTCCAGAGCAGAGTTTGGCTCTAACAAAGCGAGCACTCAGATCGTGCCTCTAACAGACGACAGACATGAAGTATCCAAAGAAGCCTGGAGAGTTACCCATAGCATTCTTTAGGGCTCCTTCCTAAAACTGAACTAGAGCACCGCCCAAACTTCTGTTCTAATTACTAAGGCCCGTATTCTGAAGTTTGCGCTTGATGGCAAAGCACTGCTGCGCTGTGTGTCTTTGATTGGCCACTGCAAAAGAGGAGCAGCCATGGGCAATGCGACATCGGAGCCCGACGGTTCCACTGAGAGTCTGAGCATTCAGTCCGGGCTTTCGGGAGATGTGATTGCCACCATCCTGGTCCAGGATTTTGAGGACGTCAAGACACTGAAACGCCATCTGCAAGGTCTTTGTGGAGTTCCGCGGTTCCAACAGAAGCTGCTGCACAATGGGATAGAGTTGGATGACGATGCTTCCCTCGACGACTTAGGCGAGGTCCAGCTGATCCTGATGTGTGCTTATTCTGATGCTTGTACTGAGGGAGAGATGGCCTTAGCAATAGGCCAAGGCAATGTGGCGGCAGTTGAAAAGATGCTGGCCCGGCCACAAGAGCCAAACCCCGCCTGGCAGTTTCCGCCTCTTGTGCAAGCGTGCGCATTCAAGAAGCCGGAGATGGTCCGCCTTCTTCTGGAGGCCAGGGCCGATCCTCATCACCCAATCGGTGATGGCAGGTGTTTTAATGCGTTGCATGTGGCGTCCGTTGCTGGAGACCTCGAGGTCACAAGCATACTGCTGCGTGCCCGGGCTGATCCACATCGCTGTGACGACTTGGGTTACACACCACTGAGCATGCTGCGTCGGATAGCAAGGGACTCGCCGCACCAGCGGATAGACATGCGAGAACTGCTGAAAGAAGCCATGAAGCAGACCCCACGATGCGTGGCCGGTCAGGCTCACGACACGGCTGAGTCAACGGCGGAACCAAGCCGTTAATTGAATTCTGCACGAAGTGCACTTTTCGACTTTCACCTGCCGGTCGACAGACGTGCCTCATGGGATCTTGAAGCTGTCGTCTGCCGCCATTTGTACATTTAAAGGGGCATCTTCTCGGCAGCGAGCAGAAGAGCACGTCATGTTCTTTGAGCCTTAGTTGTATATACGTCCTAATAATCTATATCAGTACTTATTTTTTACTTCGACATATATATATATATATATATATATATGTAGAGTATATATATATATATATATACATACATATCTATTAAGTAATTCCATAGTTGTAAAGTAAGTTTTTCTCTTCGGGTTTCCTTTGCAAAGCCGGGGGATTGTTGGAAAGCCGACCGAAGGCTCGGACATGCCGGAGACCTCTCGCGAGCGTCAGCAGGCGCCACTCCGCATTGCAGGTTTAGGGTTAAAGGGCTCCTTCTTAGGGTTAAGGACCTTAGGAGATGTGGATTTGGGGTCCGGGGCTTTTGGTTTGGGTGTAGGGTTTAGGACCTTAGGAGATGTGGATTTAGGGTTCAGGGCTTTTGGTTTGGGTTTACGTAGGGTTGAGGAGATTTGGATTCAGGGTCCAGGGATGTCTAGGGCTTGGGGCTTACTGTTCTGTGGGGCTGCATGTTGCGTGGACATCTGGATCTCAGTCAACCCAAGCGCAGCCGCATCTTTGCTGCCACGTCTCCTTGGGCGCCCGTTTCCGATACCATCGGAGCTAGTACCTTCGCATTGGAGGTCGAGAGCCTTGAAGCTGTCGAAAAGGATTCCATTGAGTCCATTGAGGATGCAAGGCTGTCGGCATTGTAGGGGTCTCATCAGTGTTTATCGGGTCTGGCCCTGCAACGCTCCGCAGACCTAACACCAATCTGCAAAGGCAGAGCTACTTGTAAGCTATTCTCCTAAACCCTGAACCCCGAAATGCCCCCAAATGCCCCAAAGCTCCCAGACCCCAAAAGCGGCCCTAATACGCGCCCCTCCGCTATGCGCTATGAGAGCCCCGACGAACAACGCAGGCCCTGGCGCTGATCCAGCGGCTGCGAGCGCGTCAGGTCGGGAGCCTCGCGAGTCTCGAGGATCCCCTCTGGCCCGGGCCTCAAAACGGGCTTCTTGTCGCGAATCAGAAAGTCAGATTTATATGTATATATATACACATATATATATATATATATGTATATAATATGTATATATATATATATATATATATAGATGGAAAAGAATACAGTAGCAGCCGCACACTCTGTCGGGATCACACTGCCTGCGGCTGTTCAGTGCTCACTCCGTGCAGAAGTGAGATTGAGATTGCGCGCATGAGGTTCCGGGAAAGTCTCTACCAGCTGCAGCCGCCCAGTCCCGAACCTGCTCTTGTCCTCTCGTTTTGCCATGTCGCCATCTCCCTCCGTGCACTCGGTCATGGACGAAGAAAAAACCAAGGAGGCTTCCCCCCCGCCCTCTCCATCCGGGCACTCGGTCAGGAAGGAAGAGAAAGCCAGGAAGGAGGAGGAGGAGGAGGCACACTCTGCATCACAAAATCCTTCTGATAAGTTGCTTGCCCTGAAGCCCTCACTCAGACATCGGATGCTGCCTGGAGGCGAATGACTCCGACACCTCCACAGAAGTGGCCAGCAGCACAGGCTCGCCAAAGGCTCCCGAGACCGCTGCCGATTGCCATGAAAAGTTCACGCTTTCTTCATGCATGCCATCTGTTGCCATGTTGCAAGGGCCAATTGCAAGAGTTTACGAGGGCAGCAGCACGACAGCCAAGGTCAGCGAGCCCCGCTCAAGTCCTGCGCGCTCCCCTTCGCAGCAATCCCGGCGCTCCCGCCGCTCGCCCTCCCGGCGCTCGCCCTCTCGACGCTCTCGTTCACGGCGGTTCTCCTCTCGGCAAGGTGTGAGCGGAGACAAGTCGCGAGAATCATCTGCAGATTTAGATGGAACCCACTGCTGCACACTGCACATGAAGATGACAGGACCCGGAATTTCAAATCGCCATACCATCAATTGCTGGCACGGGCGTGCTTGCACACGCTTCACCTGTTGGCTTTGGCCTTGGCTGCACGAGCGAAGGTTTGAGGGCTTAAAGGGTTGAAGCTGCCCAGATGTGTGTGTGCGAACGTCAGGTTCAAGCACCCAGAAGGTCGTGAGATCGACGAGAAGCCTGGCAGCGGTGGTAGTAAGGCGATGCTTTCATGAAAGTGCAGGACTTCATGTGTAGCCACAAGCCTGATCATGTTTGCCTCCAGGGCACTGGCAGAAGCGGCAAAAGTGGAAAGGCCAGTGGCAGGGGCGGCAAGAGCTTTCCTTGCACTTTCCGGCGCCGAAGCAAGACTCCTTGCCGACGGGGCCGGTCCCCACGGAGCTCCAGGCGAAGTCCATCGCACAATCCTCGCTTCGTCAGCCGCTCTCCTTCTCAGAAGAAGCCGGCGCCAAAGCGCCGGCTCGCCCGGGCGCCTTCGGCCCCGTCGGTGCCAGCACCGGCAGAGACCCAGGCAAAAGCACCCGCAAAGGATGCAGGGCTGAAGGCAAAGGAGGCGAAGGCGGCAGAGCCCAGTTTCCGGGACTTTGTGTTGAAGCACGTGTCCAACGAGGACTCTCCAGATTTTGTCATGAACAGGTTTCAGCAGTACATTCAGGAAAGGCTGAAGGAAGAGCTGCAGGCAATCAAGCAGATGGGGCTCTTCTTCGACCTTTATCATCCTCTCTCTCGGCTCCGGCACCATGAACTACGTCTTGGCACGACGCAGCTGAATGCCGCAACATTTGCTCAGGACCGGGCCAGTCACAGCTGCAACTGTCAGCATGGCATGAGAGTACATGTGCGCGCCCTCCCAACTGAACAGCTCTTGTGGCGTATCAGACCGTGGCCTTCGTCTCGGGCCAAAGGCAAAGGCCTGACGACGTCAGTGGATGAAATGATGTTTCAAGTAAACTCCATGCGAAGCGCAGTGTCAGACGGCGGGATGGCTCTCGAAATTGCCACAAGCCATAGCAGTGGTAGCACCCCGGCGCAAAGGTGTCCACACGAATTTGACCGCGGTAGCGGAGGGACCCTGAGGTCGGGCGGAAGTCAGCAACTCTGAAACCCTCGAAGATGTCCCGGCGTGGAAGGGTTTTGAGAAGAAGACTTGTTTGTGTCACAGAACGGGAAGTGGAAAAGAAGCACTGCCCCCCACTGAACGGGAGCAGATAATGGTGAGTAATCGCCCAGGCTCCCAGTCTGCCGTTCTCCCTCCCAGTCCTCTCTCTTTCGTCTCGCGATGTGCGGCCTTAAAGTCCAGCGAAACAGCAGTCCTGCGTAGCGCTTCTCCTGACAGGACCTGCGAGAGGGAAGGCACGCTCGGAAACATGCTATGACACATATATGTGTGTGTATATATATATATATATGTATATATATATATATATACACATATATATATATATATATATATATATACATATATTTATTGTAGATTTACATGTAAATGTAATAAGTAAGAAAACACACACACATATATATATATATATATATCTGTATATGTATATGTATATATGTATATGTATATACACACATATACACACACATACACATACACATTATTCCTTGCAGCACATGGTTGCTTTATATAGCAACACTACGTCAACATGATATACTATAACATACGATGCCATGATATACATCCCTATTTCATCTCACTGCGTTTCCTGCGCAGGTACCGCGAGCTGTCCCTACGAACAGGCAAGGCGCGACGTGGAGCCACCTGCCCGGTAGCCGGGCATCTGCAAGCGCCCGAGTTTGCCTTCGACCCGGATGTGGGTTCCTTGGTGATTCGCAGCTTGGCAAGGGTAGGACAAGATGCAGGTTTGTACCTGAGATGTCAGAGCCTGGCGTAGAACCCCCGTGCGAATTGCCCTTCGAGGTAGCCTCCCACCGGCAGTGAGTGTATGGGATGTCTTGGATGTGATTCAGGAGCCGACATGCGCAGTTCTGCAGCATGCTGGTCGATACATGGCCTGCCCACAGGATCGCCCGGGGTTTTGCACTGCTGCCTGGACGAGTTTCGAAGGAAAGGACCTGGCCCGGGACTTCTTTGCCAGGTAGGGATGCAGGGTTGCAGCATGTCTTGGCGTGGTGTTGTCCGCATTGGGCATTGCAGTCATGTGGCCTCTGAAAGGTTCACTTCAGCAGACGATGCCACCGCGGCCGCCGGCGTGCTCATGAGAAGCGCGGAGACCCTGCTCAGCAGACCAGGCAAGCTCACTCGCACAGGGTCACACGGACGTATAGGAAGCATAGACTTTTGAATCAAAGCTGCTCCTGCCAGGAAGCGAAGGGACGGGCCGTGCATCCGTTCTGAGCCCGAAGCCTGACTTGGCTGCGCTGGTGCTGCCGCAGGACGCAGGGCTTCCCGAAAATTCGCCTCAGGGTCTCTGCTCTCTGTGGATTGTGGCAAAGGAGATGTCACTTCCGGAGCGGCTTCTCAAGGACTTGGCTCTCTCCGAGCAGGTAATGCAGCGCCTGGACGGCCTCACAGAGGTGCCCAAAGAGATCACGGCCCTGGTGCTGAATGCCTATGGCACCACCGAATTCAAGCTGGACCTTCGCATCACCTACCTGCGTCGCGTGCACCACTTCTGCTTCTACGCCGCGCGCTGGTGTGATGACGAGTGGTCAATGCGCGATGCCTGCGGCATCGCCCCTTTGCGTGCGCCGGCGCAGCCGGAGTGCACGCCCGGCGAGTGGTCCGCAGCTCACGAGCAGCGACTGGAGAGCTTCCTGGGCAGCGTGCATCTTGGCAAGAGAAGACAGGTGTCAACACAAAGCCATTGGTCTTCTCCGCACTCCCTGCCCACACGCAGGTCCTTCGACAAACCTGCAGCTGCCCCGGACTACTCCAATGCCCACGTCCTGCAACGTCTGGCCGAGGCCACGAGTCGCGAGTTTGCTCTGATGTCAAGCTCTGAAGCAGGAAAGGGAGAAGGCGATTCTGAAGATCACGGATGAGAAGTTCAAGTGCAAGTTGTGCAGCAAGCTTCTCGTCGTGAGCCAGTGCCCGTGTGTCTAACGGGTTTGGATAAGCACTGTTGTCTCCGAGCGGCTTGACGGTGCTTTGTTCTTGTGTTCAGGCTCTTCCGTGGAGCGGACTTCCTTCGACAGCACGTGGGGCGTGCTACAGCTGCGGTTGGAGTGCACCCCATGTGAGTCTCCAATCTTGCTGCAACGACTTCAAGCAGATGACCCAACACAAGCTGAGGCATGCACATGTCGCTGGCAGAGGCGCATCGCAGTGCCAAGCAATTGGCAACCCCGGCATCGCAAGCACTCCAAAGCCAGAGTAAGAGCTCTTCATCTTCCAGCATCTAGGAAGCCATTCCAAATCTCCACAGCATCTTCACAGCTTTTATGCTCGGTCCAAGGATGGGAATAATTACGACCCTGCTGCAACAATTTAACTAACCTGAAAGCTACTCAACCGTCCTACAGCCCTCAACTCGCAACTGAAATGCTCTAAACACTAAGCAGCCCGCGAGTGAACTCTCCCAAACCCCGAAGCTGTGCCCTTGATTTCAAATCCTGAGCCCCTGAACCAGGCCTTTATCTAAGTTTTGTTATTTTTGGGTTTTGGTTCAGGGTAACTCTAAACCTAAACCACAAACCCGAACCCGAAGCGCCGATGCATCTGAACCGACCGCAGGCTGCACGTGAGGAGCTACTCCAGGACATGGCCTCCCAGGTCTCTCTAAGGGTGCGATAAGGAGTCTCGAAAGGTTCTTTAAAGTTTCTATACGGTGTCTGTAAAGAGTCTACACGGGCCGTTCACGATTTCTGTAGCGTTGCTGCTTGATTTCTGTAAGGGCTTTCTGGAGATTCGAAAAGGATCAAAAAGGGTTGTGGTCGGTTCTACTAAGGTGCTGCGAGGAATATATGAGGGCTTCCGCTCTGTAACGGATACTCGAGAGGTTTTAGAGGGTTATCTAAAAGGTGAAGGGTTATCTAAAGGTGATAGCGATTTCTGTCAGGTGCAAAGAGGGGTGTCTACATGGGTTGGGTTGGAGCTTTGAGGGTATGGGGGCTTAGGAAAGCTGGGTTGGAGCATGTTGAAATCAGGGGCTTCCGAACCCTAAGAACCCGAAGGCCCGAGGTCATGTTTTTGGCTTATCTAGGAAGTATTATTAGGGTTAAGATTGTGCTTTCTTCGTTGCTAAGCTTGCACTGGCTTAAAGTAGGAGTGAACGCATAATCCGTGATTTTTGGAGTTGCCATGAGCTGCCTCGTTTAGTGAAGTCACGCATTTTCGGAGGTATTGGTGCCGGCTGCTGGTGTAATGCAGGGTTCACATGAAATCGGTTGGAGGGGGTGCACACCCACCCACCCCTGAGCCTAAACCTTAACTTCAAATCCCCTAAACCCTGAAGCCTAAAGCCTAGAACCGAAACGCGGTAGGCCTGGATGGCTCATGCTGGGCGACCGAGGGGCCATCTTCTTCCGAAAGCCCTGGAGAAGGACCGGGTCTCCTGAGCGGCGTTTTCTGATACTATCATACATACGGTCGATGATATAAATCCTGCATTGCCCATAATAAGGACGATACCACAATTTCCATAGTTTGGGGTCCTGAAGGTAGTGCAGGATCTATATCATCAGCAGTATGACGAGTTCTCTAGAAGACCGTTCCTTTTTGGGGTAAATGGGTGCCGTACTTTTCTCGGGGCTTATAAAGGGACCTCATTTTGGAGAGTTACCCGTTACCCATAGTACTATTACCGTTGTTGTCCGTATTGGAATTAGTAGTGTGACTCATGTTTAGTGTTGTTGATAGGAGCATCATTGTTAACCTTATTATACAATTACTGTTATGTTCATTCTTCTTGTCATTTTACAGCTTGTGTTGAAGATTTTTAGTATAATGCTGATGATAAAGACTGTTATTGTTAATATTGTCAGTAGTGCAATTAGTATGATACAAGTCTTCTTCTTGTTGTTGCTGTTCTCGTTATACCTACTATTATGTGGTGCATATTTTACAATGCATATTATTGCTACTTTGTTGTTATTCTAGACTTATCTTCGTTAGTAGTCGCCGCCGTCATACCAGCAATCATAATCGTGAGTGCCATGTTTGTCGACGACGGCGACTACAGCTACGACTGTGCCGACTGCGGCGACGACGACGGCTGCGACTAGACCACGACAAGCACATTGCAAAGGCACTAGTAACACTAGTATGATCCAGTTTGAACTATGACTGGCTTGCATTTCTCCAAGGCTTTGTATCGCTCTGCGAAGCGAGAAGTTTCCCAGCCCGAAAGCTTTTCAGTTGCTTCGACTCTATGTAGGAGCCATTGTTTATGGCTTGTATTGATGCGTCATCGCGTAGTTTGAGTGTATTATATAGAAGCTTTTGTGACGCCAGCCCGACGTCCACGACTTTGTTCGCTGAAGATTGTTCCTGGCTTGCCGTATTGCTACATATATCATTGCCGTCTATTTACATGCGTGTACGCGTATTTCACTTGCATAAACAATAGGAATACCAGCACCCGTTGTCACATCACATAGCATCACTAGTTTTGATTTCGAAGATGGTCTTTGTACATATCATGAAATCATCTGTAACTCTGTACCCGAACCACGAGACACCCGGTTCCAGATTGCTGGAACGCAGGCGGATTGATCGGAGTTGGGGAGAAGTTGGCTACTGATCGCTTGCCGGCCGCGGGTTTTCTCTTGAGACCATGCCGGGCAGTTTTGCCGCTTCTAAACGTTTAGGGGTTTAGGACTTGGATTTGATGGCTCATGGTGTGAAATGATGGTGCTGTTGCCTGGTACAGAAATACAGACATGTACAAAGCATGGGTGCCTGGTGCTGCTGCTACTGCTTGGTTTACTGCTACTCCTCTTACTCCTCCTCCAACTCCTGCTCCAGTTCCCCCCAAAATAACAGTACTGGTGCTAATTGTAAAATCTTTATAAACGCTTGCACTTCGTGCTGTCGCTGTCGTGATTCTTCCCACCAGGAAGTATTGTTGCCCTGTTTCGACATTCGTATCATTCTGCATTGTATTGTCGCCAGCATACGTGCTATCATCACATGTGTGGTTTGCTGGATGTATCCATCGTTGTCAGCGCTGTGACGAGTATGACGATTGTGTTTATGGCCAGCAGCCCCTTACTGCCAGCATTTTCAACGATCATGTGTGTGTGTGTGTGTGTGTGTGTTAGTTCTAACCTATGTATTTGACTTTCCTTCGGGGCCATGCCGACTACAATACTTCTCAGCAGTACTTCCCTTGTGATGACGATGATGGTGGCGAGTTTTCAGTGTGGCCGCCCTGTCTCGGACCCACGGTCGACATCATACTAGAGGGACTCTTTTGTGGGCATGATATGCGTGATGATTGTCTAGTCACTGCCACTCTGCTCTGAGCACTGCACTACGAACTAGCATTGCTATCATGGTGTGTGCGTGTGTGTGCGTGGAATGATGACGAGCCTCGGCATGGTTCGACTCTGTGTAATGATTGCAATTTCAGGGGGGCACCAGATGTATAGGGTGTCGTCAGAGACAGTGGCGGAAAACCTGCTGGCTGTCGTGAAACCTAGATTCAACGCATGACTGGTCGATTGCTGGCCTAGTCATGCACTTCCTCTTTGCATACTCGAGCTAGGACGAGCAAGATTGCTCAGCTAGTGCATGCCGGTCATCAAAAAATGCGTTTGAGAACGGTTGGCCGCTATAGACCTCAAAACATACTCCTGAAACCTCTGCTCCCTCCTGGGTGAGCGGCTCTGCCTCGTCTGCCGTTCCTTTTATGGCTTAGGGTGCAGGGTTCCTAAAGCCCCCTAGAGTTCTAGATTCTTGAGTCGCTGAAATGTCTCTTAGAGTGACGAAGAGGCAGCGGAGAAGTAATGAGTTATCAGCTAGAGTTTGGGATTTACGTTAGAGTCTAGAGGGTCTTCGGTTTAGGGTTGTTCAATCCGAAGACAAACCACTGATACGAGTGGCCATGAGGCTGCTCAGCGCAGCTCTGACAAGTATAGTGATGATCGTGGTAGCAGCTCTTGTGCCCACGGCTTGAGTACCGGCTATCATCAGAATATGCAACGAGCTGCTCATGAAGACGCATCGTACAGTAAAAAGTTGAGATCATGACACTTACAGTACGTAGTACCGGTACCGGGGCTAACCAGAATAGCTATCAATGATAATTACCACAAAATTATTAAGGTACCAGAAGTATTCAGACTTTCCAGTACAAGCGCTTGCGCTGTCTTTGAAACCGAGCCAGATGCTATGTCCAAAGCCACGACAACTTCAGAAACAACAACAACGACAACAACAACAGCAACATCAGCAACAACATCATTAAGTGCTGTTGGGGCCAGTTGCTGTCGTACTGTAGCTGCCAGCTGCAGAAAGCCACTGCTTTAGCAGTAGCTCTCGCCCTCCTCCTCGTCGCCGTGCACTATCACTAGTGGTGATAGTAACAGTACATGCGCGATGATGATGCTATTGTTGTTATCATGCGATTTGCATTGGTCGCCGTCGTTGCTGTTGAGTAATACATGGTTTATAGCAGTAGCGACATATAGGACGGGCATGGTAAACGATATAGCCCAGGCATGGTAAAGTGCCCCGGAACCAGCATAGGAAAATCAGGTTCAAAGAGATGTGTCAGCGACAGGAACCGGAACCCATACAAGTGGGAAGCCACCGGCCAAACTGTCTGAGGAATTCCTGAGGGCAGTAGTATTCTCCCAAACGACTCGGACTCTTAGTTTCCGTATGACAACTCCAGGGCGGGAAGTTTGTCGAAAAATGAAGTCAAGCTTCACGATCGACTGAAGGCTAGAGACATATGGGACCTCTGTATAGGTCTTATGAGTCAGCCACCATGTTGCATCCCTAGAGCCTAGCAGAAACGAGAAGATGATCAACTCTTTCACCAACAGAAACTCAGTATCATCATCTATGAGTATTGCTATTATCAATTGTATGGCTATGATTGTTACTGTTCTCAGCATTATCATTATGTTGGTTCCGGTGATGACCAAGGCCGAAGACCGGATCTCTGGCGAGCTCTCCTTTGAGGCACATCTCTTCGTGGGCTTTGCAGATGGCCGTCTGGCACATGCAGCCAGTATTCAATCTAATCACTACGACTTAAGGGTTTTATGGTTTTAGTATGAGGTAACTCGCTGAGTAGTTTGCTGTTTGTTGACTTCTCTTCCGTCTCAGGACACGACCCTTGCTTGCACATTCAGCCAAAAGCTGCGGTCTTGTAGACCTGACGTCTATGCACTGGAGCTAACGGCAAGCCATATAGTTACGTCGAATGCTTTCGCAACCTGTTGCCCCAATTTGGGAAACTCAGGTTTTACACTTCCGGAAACAAGGGAGAACGGTGGCTGCTGCTCTTGTTAATCCCGGTCAGACTCGCTACCGGTAGAAGTGGTCGTGTAAGCTTTCGACTCTATCTGGAAGCTAATGCTTGAATAAGTACAAGGAGTATTCGTGAAGGTTTCTTCTCTTAGCAATACGAAAATGCGTCCCCAAACCTGTTCTGCAAGTTAAGGCCATTTAAGGCCCCTGTGTTAGTCGTTTCAGTAGGCCCTCCGAAGCCCTGGGCCTGGAGCAAAGATGCATGGGAGGTCTTCTCCTCATCTCCGCGGTGCTTCTTCCTTCCTCTCAAGCCTCGGGCTGCCCACCTCTCCAAGCAAGGACGGCCGGGAGGGGTGCACCGCTGCCCGCTTTGGGATTTAGAATTTGGGGTTTGCGGGACTGCTACTCAACAAACCCGAAATCTTTAACCCCTTGAGCCTGCCCTGAACCCAACACCCCCTAAACCCTAAACCCTTAAACCCCCTTAAGCCTTAGAACCTGAAATCTCAACCCTCGCAACCCCCAAGACCCCAAACCCCCGGAGCCCCAGATCTTTAAACCCCGTAAACCTTAAAATCGTTAAACTTTGCCCTATAACACCCCTCAGCCCTAAACCCTTCTAGATCCCTTATAGGAACCCTTACAGAAACCTGTATAGCAACCCAAATCCCAAACCGTTAAGCACCCTAAGCCCTACCTTAAACCACCACAACCTACTTTTCTGTAGGTTCTTATTACAAACCCTAATAAGGGATTTATAGGGACCCTACAAAAAAGTAGGTTTTGGTCGGTTAAGGTAAAACCCTAAAACCCCAAAAACCTAAAAACCCTAAAAACCCTAAACACCCTACGCCCTAAAAGTCGAAAGGAGATCTCCAGCTCGGGAGCCACGGCCCTCGGCTTCCGGTCCAGCCAGTAGCGCACGAAACGCCTGGCGTCGCCATCACATGGATGAGGGCGTTTAGGGTTTAAGGTGTTTAGGGTTTTTAGGGTTTTAGGGCGTTTAGGGTTTAGGGTTTTTAGGGGTTTTAGGGTTTTTAGGATTTTTAGGGTTTGGGGTGAGGGTTTTACGGTTTTAGGGCTTAGGGTGTTTACGGTTTGGGATTGGGTTGCTATACAGGTTTGTGTGAGGGCTCCTATAAGGGATCTAGAAGGGTTTAGGGGGTTCACGGCTGCAGGTTTCGGCTTTGGGTTTAGCATTAAGGGTTGTGAGCGGTTTACGGATTCAGGATTTGGGTTCAAAGGAGCAGCCGTGCACCACTGGCGGAATGGAGCAGCTGTCTCGTCTTGGTCGACTGGCTGTTTATTGCTTCCAGGCCTTCGCCATCTTAACCATTCTGGGGTCGCTGGTACATTCTTGTCTCCGAACCTGTTACTGCTTACCGCAGCTACCATAAAGGTGCTGCTAGTCTGCAACTTCTACTTCACCTACGCCTGAACCTCGAAGGCTAATCGCCAGGCCTACACCTAAAGGCCTAAGTAAGACCCTAAACAGCACCTGAAAGAGTTTTGGAAGCTGCCTTGGAGTGATGGTCCCTCATCACGATCCCGATGCCATCACATCAAAAGACTAGGTTTTTGCGAGCACTTCTTGCCTAATGTTGGTAATTGGTGTAAGCGTCAGGCTGAAGGTTGGCAGCGTGCTGCAAGTGCCCAGCGTGGCGCATGGCGACACCATGCGATAATTCAAGCACGGCACCGCAATTGGCAGGCCACCTCTGTTTTTTTCTGAAAAAGTCAGCGTCAGAGGAGACCTTGGCACTCTGCGTCGTTGCCTGCACAATTCGTTTGTCAGAATTAAAGCGATGACATTGCAGAAACAATCTGACCTGTCTGCGCGTGGTTGAGCTAGCCGAGATACCTCGTCATCGTGTCTCGTGAAGGCTTCAGAGAGTGGCTAATGCAGTGACATCGAACCACCGCCACACCGCCCGATGACGATTGGGCTTGAACCTTCGAGCCTGCATGTGGTCAAGAAGAGTGCAGCTGAGGCTTTCGTACCAGATCCTTAACACGCCAAGAATTGCCTGTCGCCTTGAGGCTTCGAGCCTCGTCAGTGGAGGATGCTCGCCAATATAGGGTAGATACACAAGATACACAAGCATGTATAGCCATCTGACGCAAGTTTATCCGTCGCTGCGCGCTTCCTCAAGCAGGTAGAGGCAGACCTCTTGGCATGTAGGAGTGCCTGTCCATAAAGGACCGACGACACAGCACCTGGGGCGAATCTCAAGGGTGTCTATCTAGATCGGCCATTCTCCCAAGCCAGTCGCCTGGGCGACTCGACTCTTTTTGTTTTTCTCAGCCACAAGCCGCACTTGGCGAGAATCCAGCCTGTCAACCAGGTAGCAGACAGAACCTCCAGCACTCCCTTATCTCCGCCACCTGCAGCGCCGCAGAGCTCTTTGTCCATTGCAGCCACACAGAAGCAGACCGCGAGTTAAGGTTTGTGCCAAAGCCAAAGTGCTGCTTCCGGATCTCCCGGATGGCGCTCAAGGCGCCAAGGCAAGCGATGGCGCCCGGCGCGGCGATCATGGCTCCCCGCATCGGGCAACTTGCCTTGATTGTGACATATTGCGACTCTGTTGGTTCCGATTCTCACGCCGGGGCTCATGATGCTGTCGAATGTGATGATGATGATGATGATGATGATGATGATGATGCCGACGGGCATGGTTTCGGGTGAGGCTCGCGTTGGTTATAATGTTTCCGCCCATGATGATGATGATGATGATGATGATGATGATGACATTGCTGCACAAAACAGCCGAGGATTGGGAAGGTGCATGGTGGGTTTCTTGTGGGCCGACTTTGTTGTCAATCCCTTACGAGCAGACTTGAAGCATCTTCGAGCGTTTGATATTTCCGAAGCATGCTGTAAAATGCCAGCATGCAACAACCGTATTCCCCAAACCCAGAACCGTTCCAATATACCACAACATCTTACAGCACACTGTGAGCAATATCCCTGTATGTTGATTCCGAGGATGGTGACGATGGTTTCGGAGTCCCAGCGTCGGCCAACGGTCCGGGTGAGCGAGATGCTCGCTGAAATCGCTATCCGCTACAATTACGAGGCGCGGGTCTCTACACACGCATTGAACGTGGTGAGGAAGGAGCCGGCCAATCATCATAAGACCATAGACAATGCAGTTCCATATCACTTGTTTGCGACGGAGCGAGAGAGTATCAGACTAGACTATGCACCAAGTCACCTTCGTCTTCCTTGTTTGTCTGTCTCAGCTCTCTCCGTATCTCCCTCTCGCCTCTCGCTCTGCCTGCACCTAATCTTCTACTGCGCAATCCACCAATTCAGCTTAAACCCCAACGCCCGAATATACGCACTGTCGCAGAAGAACCAATAAGTGCTGCTACAAGGATTGGGGGAACAGTTGGGCTGCAAGGCTAGTCGTATCGTTTCTGAACCCGAGGGTGTTCTGACGCTAACGGTCTTCTGAGGCTCTGAGGTCATTGATATGATCTTTTCATTGTTTTATCGATTGCCCGTAGTTGCTCTCTCGCTGGTTCCCAGCATGGTTCCCAGTATGGACCCATCAGAGTACCCCCTTCTAGTACTGTAGCCCTTTATGATGGGTAATGGGTATCACTTCCTGGCTGTGCCTGGAGAAGGAGCTTAGAGCCGCCACCCGGGACTGGAGCAAGAGCCGCCAACTGGGCAGTGGCTCCTATGGTGCTGTTTTCAAAGGGGAGATGGAGGACATTAAAGGGATCTTAGCTGTGCTTACATCTGGGATGGAGGCAGGAAAGGCATCTCATCTGGCTTCATGAAGTTTGTGCTTCGGAAAGAGTCCGAGCACTTGCCGATCTAGTTCAGTATTGGGCATCCATCAAGATTGCTCTTGCGGTTTTTCATGGTGATGTGTATATATATATATATGTGTAGATTTATGTATCTATTTATGTACATGTACACTCACGTACATACATACGTACATACATACATACGTACATGCAGGCACACACACACACACATATATATATATATATATATATATTATATATATATATATATGCATGTATGTATGTATGTATGTATGTATGTATGTATGTATGTATGTATGTATGTATGTATGTATGTATACACACACGCACACATATGCCGATAGCGAACAGACACCTGTTACCTTGTTAGTCGCGTGTTCTTGCAGCTGATGTCTGCTATGAGAGACTGCTTTCACCTGGTGTTTTGCTGCGCCCTCCGCGCGCTTCGCGGCGCCGTGGAGGATGGCTCCGAAGTCGCCATAAAGATGATCGATCTCGGTGCGCTGGGCGCTGCCGGGCAGCGCCTTTGCTCGTTTGGCGCTAGGGGGCAGGGCTAGGGTTTGGGGGCCTTAAGGTTGAGGCTTTCGGGTGAGACTTGAGGCTTTCCTTTCTGCAGTCTCGTTTCGCGATGCTCCGGCTAACAGCGGGGACTCCGGGGACAGGAAGGTACATCGACAAGGGGGACGGGGGCTCGACTGGGCCCAAGCTTCCTTCAAGCTCCACTTCTGTCAGGACAGAGGACATGGCTGGTTTCGAAGAGGAGGTGAAGAATTTGAGCAAGTGCCGAGCTCAGGCTTCTTTTGCATTTTTTCAGGCGAAACAGAGTGTGAAAGGGGAGGGCGCTTTTCACGGCCCAGGTTTCGCCACCCGAACCTCGTGACTCTCATCGGCTGGGGGAAGCACGAACAGCCCGGAACCCTGGTCTGCCTATGCTGTAGAACACCTGAAGTAATGAGGTTTTTCGGATCAAGTCGCACTTGCCTTGTGGTTTTGAGCCACGTTTGTTGCAAGGGTTTGATATGCTTGAAGTGTCCTCCAGAACACTGCATTGAGCATTGTGTTGCATGCATGCATGTACATGTGTGCATATATGCAGAGTCATCACTTCCCCTTTTTGTTAAACACCCCTTGACGATAAAAAAACATTCGGGCGAATCGTCCCGAAATCACCGTCACCCCTGCCCTTTATAACCTGATTTGCATTAGGGGGAGCAAAGGCAAGAGCAAGAGCAGGAGCCACAGCAAGAACAAGAGCAGGGGCAGGAGCGAGAGCAAGAGACGAGCAGGAGCAGGAGCAAAAGCCTGCGCAGGAGCAAGAGCAAGAGCCCTCAAAATTGACAGCACAGATAAGTATCAACAAAAAACACTCTCCGATTTTCTATCGGGGGGAGGGTTAATATTAGGGGGAATGGGTTATATGTATATGTATAGCTATAGGAAAAGGGTGTAGGTGTAGGTGCATGCGCATGCGTATGCGAACGTGTGTGCCAATCCGTATGCGTACGTGTATGTGTATGTGTTTGCATAATGTGTATGTATGCATGTACGTGCAATCTGGTTGGCAGATAAGCTCCTAGCTGTTGTTGACCGGCGGATCCCAGGGAAGACCCCCATCCTGCGACGCCGAATCTACGAGGTTCCGCTACCTGGTCTACGAGCTCATGACTGGAGGTGATGTCTACGACCGTCTCCTGAAAAGCCGCAGGCGTGACAATCCCACGCCTTTCATCTGGCCTCGGGCTCGGTTTTGTTGCTCTTCAGATTCACGAAGATGTCTCACAGTTTTCTCCATTCTAGGGTGCGCTCCATCTCAGGTATGAGCGGATAAGCGCACTTCTAGACGCGGCCTCGGGCCTCTCGCACATGCACAACTCCAAGCCAAAAGCCTTTCATCGCGCCACAGCCTCAGCTTCATGTCCGAGGTCCCGAACCCGATTGAAGGTGCTTCGAGAATGGGTGGTTTGGTTCCCGTAGCTGATTCATTTGAGGGTGTCCATCGTCAACCCCCACATCTTGAAATACAGTGATAAAGACCTAGATCTAAGACAGGCGGCTCGGCTCGCACATTGAGAGCGGCAGCCGCATCCCTAAAGCCTAAACCCACATGTTGGCTGCTTGCAAGGACATCAAAGCTGCCAACATCCTCCTAGATCGGCCTGGAGCTCAGAGAGCCACACCTGGCGGCAGGGGAGAGAAGAGATAGAATAGGGTTTTGGGGTGTATAATACTCTACTTATAAAGAGGAATCCCCGAAACAGTATAGGTAATTACGAAGGACCCTATAGGACATATTCTTCACATGTGGGCAAGACACGGACGCCCAGTGCTGCCGACCGGAATAACAGCATGCAGCACGGGGCTGGGGGCTGGGGAACCCTGACTGACATCAAGGGGCTTGGGGCTTAATGACCCATGAATAGAAGTGTGGGAGGAGGCTAGGGGCACCCCAACATAATCTAAAGCCTCAACCTGCGTTCTGGAAGCTAAGGGCAAGCCTTTCAAAACCTGCAAGGAGGACGGGCACGATACGTCATACGTATGTACGTACATACGTCATGTACCGATGGAAACTGCGCAGCGCGTAATGCAGAACCAAAACAAAATACAGTATACTAGACGAACGCTACACCCCTAAACCCTAACGGCCCCAACGCCTCCGCCTGAGAGGCATTCTGACCAAAGGTAGACCTGCAGGAGGAAAGACCCAAAGCCCCAAACCCCGAAATCCCACACCCTAAAGTCCTGAACCCCAAAGCCAAACCCCCAAACCCCTAAACCTCTAAACACCTGGAGCCGAGCAAGGCACGGCACAGCGAAGATGGCCGACTTCGGGCTCTCGTGCACCTCCTCCGGGCAGGGGCAGAGTGGGAGCCACGTGAAGGCCGGCTTCTTGAGGGGTTTAAGGGCCTGAAGGTTTGGGGGTTTTAGGGCTTTAGGGTATAGGGTTTGAGAGTTTAGGGTTTTAGGGCTTTCGGGTTTTAGGGTTTCGGGTTTAGGGTCAGGGCGGTTTAAGAGATTCTTTGGACGGCCTTTGGGTTTGCGTTTTCGGATTCGGATTCAGACTCGGCTTTAGGTGTTGATGTAGGTTGGAGTGTAGGATCCCATAAGGAGGGCAGGCATGGCCGCCTGATTCGATTGGCAAAGTGGCAGAAGTCGCGGCCACCGGTATCACTATTGTGCCCTTGATTTCGCCTCCTCCTACCGGATGTGGGGGCGAGTTGGTATGTGCCAGCTAGCTTGCCCTGAGAGGTGAAGACCATCAGCGGCACTCCTGGCTATGCTTGCCCCATTTACGCCCGCACCGGCCGGGTCACTGAGTTCAGCGAGGCGCGACAGTTCTGGTGTGATATGGGTTGTTGGCCCAGAACACAGCCTGGGCGAGAGAGGGAGAGAGAGAGAGAGAGAGAGAGAGAATCAAGTTAACACACGTTTCAACAACTTGGAAGATCAGTTGGCAACTTTCACTTGTAAACATGTACACAACACACAGTGGGGCCTTGTTGGCTGGGGGTCCTAATTAATTCGCTCCTTATGCCTTGCAGAAGAAGAGAGAGAGGGAGAGAGAGAGAGAGAGAGAGAGAGAGCTTCGGCAGTTTTCTTCAGCAAGCCCTAAACCCTCGATGCTAAACCCCACAACCCTTCAATGCGACAGTCAACGCGACATCCTAGTCCATTGTCAGGTCTACAGCTTTGGCATAGGCCGTGACCCCCATCCACCCTGCATCCTTTCGGCCCCTTGTCAGGTCTACAGCTTTGGCATGGTCATTTTAGAGGTGTTGACGGCCATCCCACCGGCAACAGCAGATCCTTCCAAGCCCGGCGGTGGGACACTCAGAGTCAGCTGGTATGAGTCTACTTCTGGGCTCATTAGCTAGGATGTTGCAGGCAACCTCCCGACGACAGACTGCAACAGAATGCCTAGCCAATACTGCTGGATTGTCGGAAATGTCCTGCTGTCTTCTTCTAAACCTTGCGGCAGGAGGTTCCAAAATCGTACAGCAGAATCCTAAACAGCAGCCGCTGCTCTGAATGCTTCTGCCAAGGCATCGCGTATCCAATAGAGACTCAGCTGCTTCCTGGCTCGCCTGGAGCAGTTGAGCGCTGCGCGCGGCACCCAGGTTAGGGCAGTAGGGCTGAAGCTAACTCTTCTCCAACGGTAAAAGCCCATTATAGGGTAGGGGTCCCCATTAAGGGTCCCTCCTTTTCCCCTTTGATCTTCAGCTTGAGAGTTCCAGCACCGGCACTAGCATCGACATTTTGACAAGCAAAGAAGCCGCAGCAAGTCTACTGCTGGACGGCAATCCACTATTGCCAACTCCATGCGAATACCCTCCTGGACCCCTGTAGTCTCTGCAAAATCGGAAAGCTTGCAAAAGGAGCCGCGAACGGGCTCAGCAGCGATTCGACAGACACGAAACCAAGATACAAAAAAGCAGGACAAAGACTGAACATGGGATGAACATAAGGTTGCTTGCCCAAGGCTCCGGTATGAATGAATCTGGAATACCGCCTCCCTAGCCGGTTCTAGGCCGGCTATGAAGCAATCGGCAGCCCCAACTCACGAGGCTCAACCCAAGAGCCCAGGTGAACGCAGCAGATAAGACGGCCGGATGGCCGAAGGGATTGGCCGAGGACCAGCAAAGAGTTGCGGGGAGGAATTGCAAGCGGCTCCAGGCATCGATTCACACAAAGCACTTCTCATGATTCATCATCATAGGGCTTGGCGGTGTGGTTTATCGTAGTTGCGAAGTTCCCATGCAACAACAAACAGATGCGGTTTTCTTTGGCTGGGCTTGGCGGTGAGACGCACCGATGCGGGCACATCAGCACAGCCGAGCGCCTGTCAGTAGAAGCCCGTGTAACCACTGGTCCTGCCACTATTTGGATTTATGATCGCAAGTGCCGGACTACTGCTCATATAATATGTGCATGCAAACGTGCTGCAGAGCATGTGCTCTTTTCAGCACGCAGAATCCTGCTCTTACCTTTGCAGGCGCGCGCACACACATGTATATATATATATATATATATATATATATATATGTACATACATACATACATACATACATATATATATATACACATATTTATATGTATGTACATGTAATATATATATATATATATATATATATATATATAGATGTATGTCCACACACAGATATCTACTCATCTATCTATCTATCCATCCATCCATCCATCCATCCACCTATCTATCGATCTATCGATCTGGAGATGTATATATTGGATGCCCAGGGTTCATGACGTCGTCAGTCTTTCAGCCACGTTGTGGCCAGGACCTTTCAGGTCTGGGCATCCGCTGTGTGAATGCTAATGACGAGAATTTGCGACCGAAGTTCGTTGAGGCCGAATTTGTGCTCGGGGTTTGAGTCGGCATGGGTGCTCATCCAGCAGAGAAACTCCTCTTAGGGCACACCGTCGTGTGCCCTTTCGCAGTGGCTCGGTGCTTTGTGTTTTGATTTGTAGCCGGAGCAGGTGGTTCGATCCTTGCGGCAGCTCGGCGAGAAGTATCCACGGCCCCAGGCAGGCACGAGTCCTAGTGGGTGCCTCAGCTGCGCAGCCAAGGCTTGTCCCTAAACCCTATCCCCCTAGACCCCTCAACCGAGGTCAGAACAGTGGCTACGTGGAGCAGCTATCCTCGCAGGAGATGTCGCAGGCAATTGTCTCGGTTCGGGGTCGTCGACGTAGAAAACCATGCACTTCGAGTCCGAAAGTCCCCAAACACGAAAAGCCTTGAAAAACCCATGAAACCTCCAAGAGCCCCACAAAACCTGCACAGCCCGATGGGGCATCAACGCTCGAAGCCCTCAGACAAAATTAAGACAAAAAAAACTGCATAAACCGTTAACCCAAAACCCTGAGCCCTAAACCCTTAAACGAAAACCCTAAACCACCAAGCCCTAAACTGTAGGCCCTAAGCCCTAAGCCTTTAGCTCTACGCCCGAAACCTTAAGGCCTAAAAACCCGTGAAAACGCAGGGCTCAGGGCCGCCGAGCGGTCCTTCGCCTTTCTCCCTCGAGCTCATCTCGAGCGATGGCCTCCAGGCTGTCTTTAGGGTTTAAGGTCAAATAACGGTTTCTGTAAAGGGATCATAAGGGTTCCTTTAAAGGGAGAATGAGGGTTTTGGGGTAAATACGGGGTATAGGCTATAGGGTTAAATAAGGGGTTTTGGGGTTTTAGGGTGAAAGAAGGGGTTGAGGGTTAACTAAGGGGTTTAGGGTCAAATAAGGGTCTAGGGTTTAGGGTTAAACAAGGGGTTTCGGGTTTGGGGTTTACGGTGGCAGGATTGAAACAAGGTTTAGGGGCTAGGGTTTATACATACAACGTACATATCGTGACACGCACAACATATTTTGTATGTTATGCATTATTCTGCTTCGTGTTGAAACTTGCGCACAGAATGTCGTTCGAGGGCTGCTGTGACTTTGGTGCCTGGGGTTGGGGGTGGGGTGGTGGAGTTTGGCACGAGGTTGATCGGACCGGCAGACAGCACAGAGTCTTATTGGAGGCTTTCGGCTTCGAGCTCCATGAGTATATACTATATGTACTAGAGTTACTAGAGTATATAGATAGCATAATCTAGCATGTAATCATATATACTAGTACATAGTATGCGGCAACAGGAGCATGTGGAATCACGCCCGAACCTCCGCAGGTGGACAACCTGCCACAGCAGAGGAGGTTTCTGCATCTGCTGGTCTCTGGCGAGGCCCCAGCCTGGGTTACGCAAGCAGGTAGCATTCTCCCGGTTGGAAGCACCACAAACTGTCGAAGTAGCGAAGCAATGACCACAACATCAACTAGCTGCAGCCAAGTGAGTGTTCATTTACACGCACGAGAAGATGCTGATTCAATTAGTCGGTGCTGTCTCGGCTTTGTCAGGTGGCTGGACGCCTGATTGCGCTGGGAGCTTGGTGATAATAGCAGGTATAATATATTATTATGATTTATTACAACATATTAATATAAACTATATATATATATATATATATCTGTATATATTAACAAGGCTTGGTGGAGTTGTTGCATTCGCGGAGCGGAGCTTTTGCGTGACAGAGCTCTTTTTGACGTGCGCAACGCGGCCTAGGCCAGTGGGACGCCAATACCAGCCAGACTTGTTTCAGTCCTGGCTGTCTGCGACTCAGGATGGCACACTTTGTGCAGGATTCCAGTAAATTGCAGATGAGCGGTTCCTGGTTTGTGCTGTCACAACTCGTCTCAGACGCGAGCCAGGCAGAATCCGGAACTGAACAGCTGCGTCTCCAGGCTCTCCTTCGAGGCAGGATCGGGGACAAGAGCTTCAGCCCCCTTGTGAGGGCTTGAGGTGTTTGAACTAGATTGTTTCGGTGCATCTCCTGATGCTATTGCTACAGGCTCCAGAGACGGTGCACATTCAACATTGCATCTCTTGCAAATCCCAGGTCGACAGCTGTGTGAGTACGTGCGAAGTACGTAATACAAGCCCGATGCTTTGTGTACTACTCATGGTGGCTTATGCGGAACAGATGCGCATGCATAGGCGGTTGGAGACTTTCATAAGAAAGTCTGAGGCAACTACAGTGTCAGCAAACTTGACTCCAGTATGTTATACTATAAATATGACCAGGAACCCCCAAAACCCTATTCTAATTAATACGGCCCCTACATTACCCAATTCCGTCGGGAGAATCTTGGATTCCAGGCTCCTTAGCTTGAACCCATCCCGGGTTGCTTGATGCCTCTGAACTTCAAGACCCCAAGGGTCCCGGGGTTTCTTAGGGGTACTTAGAAATACTTTTTAAGTTTTGGCTATTATAATCCCTAAGAAACAGCTAATATTAGAATTGTGGTTTAGGGGTTAGTGGTTTCGGGTTTAGGGTTTGTGGAGCCTCATAGCTAAGGCCTTAAGATCTCACGCAGAGGTGAGCTGGGCGCCCGGGCCCTCCGACGTGCAGATCACGGCGAAAGGCCCTTCGCCGTAGGATACCGATACTGTAGTAAAGTGATATAGGGGTCTTGATAATTACCTATACTATTCATTCTTAGGGTTCCCGTCCAAACTGTAGTTACAGCCCCATATTCGCCTTGGGCGGCAGTTCATATTGTGTCCTGATGCGGGACATGTAGATACCTTGTCAGCATTCAGAAAAGGCAGCGAAGGTGGGACCTCGCATTAATGTCGCGCTGCTGGCTAGGGTGCATGCTTCATATGATCCATGGCCGGCATGAAGAGAAACCTGAATCTTGCGCCGCCGCAGAAACGTGGAAATCTGCATTTTTTCATGATCGCATATATGGAAGACTGTAAGTATCCAGATCCCTTCTTCTGCAGCCGCCGTGGTTTTTCCTCGATCCTCCGACTTGGTTGTGGTTCGAAAGCCCACATTAACCCACAACCTCACGCCCCTTGGAAGAGGCGTGCGATCCCTTGGGTAAGCCGGTGTTAAACCCCAAACTACATCCCTGACCCTGAGAAAACCTTAGCAGACCTCAAAGGAACCTCAAAAGGGCCCTAAACCCGAAGCTACATCCCTGGGTCTAAACCCTTACAAGAACCCCAAACCTTCCCCAAACCCTAAACCCTATGATGAGCCGCAGGTAACAATCCCATCACCCTGAATGGCCACATCCTGGCTCGTGGCGAATCCATGGCCTTGGACCTCAACTCCGAGGCAGCTACAGGTAGATGGTTTAGGGTTTAGGGTTTGGGGTTTAGGGTTTAGGGTTTGGGGTTTGTGCAAAGCTTGCAAGGCTTTTTTATGAAGCCCTGAGTCAGTGAAGCCAAAACCCAGTCCTCAACCCTAAAGCCCAAACCTTAAACTCTAAACCCTAAGCCCCAAGCGCTTGGAGGGTCCAGGTTTTGCCAGAGTGTGAAGGTGGGGACAGCGGGGAACGTGATAATGTGGGGTTCGAAGGGTCACGTAAAGAAGATGATCGAGCTTAAGGTGGGGATGATAGGCTTTCACAGCTCATCGCCATAGTACGATGCACTCGACACCGGCTGCGTGCTATTCCACGGCAAACCCTGAACCCTAAACCGAACCCTAAAACTTCTTAGGCGGACGGAAAAAGGTGCTAAAAAAAAACGAACCCTACACCGTACTCGTAACAGGTGGGCTTCCCGTATTCGCAGACCGGAGAGCTCACCCCTCAGAGCAGCCTCGGTATCAGGGTTCGGGGCTTGGGGCTTCAGGGGTTTCGGGGGGGAGTTTATGTAGAGGTTTAGGGGTTTGGGTTTGGGGCCTTGGGGGTTTGGGGGTTTGGTATATAGGTATTTTGGGGTTTCGGGTTTCGGCGTGTAGGGGTTTGGGGTTTGGGGAGATCAGGGTTTGGGCCTTATAAACCTTAATCCTAAATCCTGCACTGTGCTTGAGGATTGGACTATTTAGGACAACCTCAGGATCTTGGTTGAGGTCCTGTATTTCTGAAAAATTCATGAAGGCCAAGCTCAAAAGCACAGTTCGCATTCACCGGGTTAACGGTTGAAGAGGTGAGATTGGGGGTTTAGGGGTCAAAGGTCCAGGGCCAGCAAACACTGGAGTATTTTGGTCAGACGGGTGTGGGTCATGACCTACAGCAAGAAAGTATGCCACTCCCAAAACCCCTCCCCAGAGGTTGAAGGTATTACTCCATGATCGTATATTGACATTACACTGCAGTTACGATAGCATACATGTACTTTTCCGAGGCTGTCTTTATTCCTTCGCCTGCGCTTCAGCCGGGCAGCGACGGTGGAGAGTTTCGGGGCGGCCGTCGCACCGACAGCGGTCCTGGACTTCGGAGAGGAGCCCGGCTAGGGTGCGTTTCGGGCTTGGCGTTTATTACGGTAAATATCTTGCTACAGTAGACGACTATACATAGTACTATAGTATAACGCTCCAGTATATGTCGGGATTTTGAGTTGTCAGGAGGGCACTCCTGTCATTTGTGACTCCCTAGGGTTTTGGGATGTTTTTGAACGTTTGTCTTCAGGAACCTTGTTGTCCAACAGCCGACCAGGGAGTCACAAATGAGAGGTGGTTCAACGGCTGAAAATGGAGACCCTTCCAGGGTTTTGGTACATGCCAGCACATGCACCGATTGCTTTCATGTTTGAAACGGAAAACTGGGAGTCACAAATGACTGTAGTCAGTTTGCCCAAATCTGCAATATTTCCTAGGCGCGGTGCTCATTTTTAAGAAATCTTGGTTTTCCCTGGGTTTGGTGCATTTTCTCGCTGAAAATGCAGTTTTTCCTAGGCTTCGTGCACTTTCGCACGAAAGTAGTTTTTTTCCTTAGGAGAGGTGTATTTTTCGCACAACGCACAACCATATGCCTGCTTCCAATTCAGAATTATATATATATATATGTGTGTGTATATATATATATACATATACATACATATATATATATATATATATACATATATATATATATATATACATATACATATATAATACATATATATATATGTATTTATATTATATATATGTGTATATATATATATACATAATCAATGTAAAATTTAAAATATATACTATATAATATTATATATGATATATATATATATATATATATATATATATAGGCGCATATATATATATACACATATAATACGCCTCTAGTACTGCTTAACAAACCCGCAACAAGGAGTGAATCCAGCAGGAACTTACTACCGAAGACAAAAACCCTAAGGAGCGAATCCAGCAGGAATCGTGTGCCGAAGATGGGCCTTTCGGCCTTTCAGCGCAGAATTTGAGGAGTGAATCCAGCAGGAGCCTATTAGCGAAGACAAAAACCCAAAAGAGTGAAGCCAGCAGGAACCTTTCGCCGAAGATGAAACCCTGTTGGGCGAATCCAAGAAAACATTTCACCCAAGACGAAGACCCTAAGGAGTGAACCCAACGGGAACCTATTACCGAAGACAAAAACCCTAAGGAGTGAATCCAGCATGAACCTTTTGCGGAAGATGACGCTCAAAGGGGTGAATCCAAGAAGAACCTTTGACCCGAAAAACTCTGGGGTGAATCCAAGAAAACCTTTCACCCAAGACGAAGACCCTAAGGAGTGTACCCAGCAACATTCTTTTACCGAAAACGAAAAAACCCTAAGGAGTGAATCCAGCATGAACCTTTAGCCGAAGATGAAACCAGCAGGGGTGAATCTGAGAAGAACCTTTCACCCAAGACGAAGACAAAAAGGAGTGAACCCAGCAGGACCCAGTGCCGAAGACAAAAACCCTAAGGGTTGAATCCAACAAGAACCTTTCACCCAAGACGAAGACCCTAAGGAGTGAACCCAGCAGGAACCTTTAGCCGAAGATGAAACCTTAAGGGGTGAATCCAAGAAGAACTTTTCACCCAAGACGAAGACCCTAAGGAGTGAACCCAGCAGGACCCAGGCCCTGAGGAGGACCCAGGCCCTAAGGAGTGAACCCAGCAGGAACCTATTACCGAAGACGAAGACCCTAAGGACTGAATCCAGCATGAACCTTTTGCCGAAGAGGGAATCCTAAGGGGTGAATCCAAGAAGAACCTTTCACCCAAGACGAAGACCTTAAGGAGTGCTCACAGATGACCAGAAGAAGGAAAAGTAAGGGAGTCACAGATGACCGGTGTTGCTGTGTGAAAACCACATTGACAAGCAAGGCAAAAGGGTCGGGAGTCACAGATGACAGGTGCTTGTTTGAGAGGAAATCACAGGCCTGCCAATGAATATGAGCACTTTCGGGTGAGGTGATGTGTGGTGATGGCAGGCGGAGGGAGTCACAAATGACGGGGATTTGCCTAGGCCAGACCCAGGAACCTAGGGAGTCACAAATGACAGAAATAGGGAGTCACAAATGACAGGAGTGCCGTCAGGAGGGCATTATTTGCGTCTTGTGCAGAAGGTACACAGTTCAGCACTCAAGCTAAGTGTCACTTGCTAGCTTTGGTTGTCGAATTGAGCCGGTCGGTTCCAAGTTGAAGACTGAGACTCGCTTGCTGCGACGGCTTCGCTTAGAAGATTGCCCTGGAGCTTAGTTTAGACTGTCGCAAGCCCAATAAGCTCGGAGCCCTTCAGCCCCAACCGACTTTGCAAACCATCGGTTGTACTAATGCATACTCACACACCCCTGACTCAAAGGCAGCTTTTCTTTGAATACTAGAAGATCAGGGCCCCAAAGGCAGAGCTCATTCATCGGCATCCAAACCCTAAGCCTCGAAAATGAGGCCTCTCACGTGCGAAATCCTATGACGTGCTCCTGGCCCTGGGTCCGCAACCTAAACCCTGAAGCATTGACAGCAAGCTTCCCAGCGCTTGGCTAGGCGGCTTCGCAGCAAGGAAGAAAGGGGTTCAACATCCTCGAAAGCCGTAAAATGAAGCAAAACCTGCAGTGAACCCCAGAAAGCTCGAACATGGATTTAGGGATTCCCTATGCGTTACGTCAAGGGCATGATGAGAATGATGTTGCAACTTTCCGGCTTCTACTCTAAGCAAGCTTTTGGAAAAGGACCCCTTTTCAAAATTCGGCAGGAGCGAGTGGGGAGCTGCCCCTGGGTCTTGCGCTGCTCCTTTGTGGAGGGGCTCAGCGCCCTGGCGTCATCGTTTCTGCATTCGAATTGCTTTTTTATGAAAGGATGTTGGCTGCTTGTGAATTGTTTTATAAAAACAGTTCGCAAGTGTTTTTTTATAGAAGCTACAAAGTAACTTTCAATATTCAAATCATCTAACAATCTAACATCAGAGTATCTTTTTCTGAGTATGACCAACTAGTTTCAGTGACTTCGGAATTTAGGAATCAAAGGGTTTCGGGTTGAAGGATGAGGGTTTGTGGTTTAGGGTTTAAGGTTTAGGGCCTAAGAGGAGGCAGGATTTCAAGCTTGGGTTGAGAGGGTAGGAATAAGAGGATCCGAATGAGGGTTTTTTTGTGGTATTTGGACATAGCGGACAAAAGAGGGCTTTAGGATGTAGGTTTGGGAGCAGGAATTAGGGGAGTTTTGGTGTTGAGGTGAGCGGAGTGAGGATTTATTGGCTCAAGGCTAGGGTTCATGGTTTCGGGGATAGGAGTAAGGTTTTGCTGGGTGGCTGATGCTCGCTTCAGTTTCAGTGCTTAGCAAAACAGAGAAGCTGCAAAATCTGAGCATCGTAATTTCCAACCTCATATCTGGAACGGTGGGGCAGCGGATAGAAATCCTCCAATTTCCAGTTCCAACTTTCTGGGATTGCTTTATGGTTTTGGGGCTTAGGGTGTGAGGGACTCTAGCTTGCAAAGGTATGGTTCAAAGGATGACAATCATGGTTGCAAAGTGGTGTTAATATTGAGGAATGGCTGCTGCATTTCTATAGCGAATCAAAGGAACAGCTACTCTGTCCATCGGTTCGTTCATACAAATATGAGTCGTGAAAGCCTTGGGCCAAGGCGACGAGCTGGCGAATCTCTCTCCCAGTGCCTGGCGCCTCAATCACCCGATTCTGTTGGTTCGGGGTTCTCGGTGCTTGGGTGGGTTGGGGAGCTCGTCGGATCTCGCATGTTAGTACAGAGGCCTGTGCTCACAGACTCAATTTCTGTGCTGTGAGCTTGTGAACAGTTGTCTGTTTCCGGACACTGGCGATCCTTGCCTGACATGTTGTGGACCCCACACCCTGTCCTGCACAGAACGGGTAGCCTACAACACACCCCTGTCCCGCATCACATCAAGGATGACCCCTACAAGATCGCGCTCCTAGGTCCGGGAATTCATCGTCGATGAGGACGAGCCACTGGTCATAGGCAACTTGTGTTTGCCTGGCGGTGAAGGGATCAGCTTGCGAAGGCTACATAACTCCCAGCCAAGGTTAACTTCTCGGCTCGCGACTCTTAGACTAGAATCATCAGAAATCCTTCGGTCAGCAGGTTCCTCGCGATGTCATGCATGGTGCAGGTCGGCAGCACCAGGCAAAGGAGCTGGAAACGCTTCTTGCCAAGGCCTCGCAACGAAGGAAGCTAGAACTAGGGGTGTCGCTCGTAAAAGGCTACTGCAGATGCTAACATTCACACTTCATAAATAGATGCGTGTGCGTTCCTTCAGACTTCAACCCCTCGCATTGCGATCTCGGAAGTGGGCAGGAAGAACTTTGCGAAGCAAGCCAGCTGCCTGACCTTCCTGCGACTGCCGCAATTATGCGCTCGAGAATTCGATGTAGCTTCCGCTGCCGACTTCGATGGTGAAGTTGCTGGCGGCTTCGTTCGTGGATGCTTAAGGCATGGCCACAACAAATCGGTGCACAGTGGAATGCTAGAGATGTGCATCGTTTCAGAGCCTTCGGAGACCGTTGCTCAGTCGGAAGAAATCGACTCCGACATTGTGGTTTCCGACAGTGAGGTTTGTGCAGAGAGTGCCGGTGCCAGTAGCGACACTGCACCCCTTGAGGAGCTAAGCGGCGAAGATTTCGAGGGATGTGAGGACCAGGAGGGGGAGCCGGAAACGAAGGGTGCGGCCATGCGCTCGCAGGGGCTCCTCAAGCGGAGATCCCGTGCGGGAACCCTTCGCAAAGCGGCCACGAGTTCACTCCTCGAAGACCCGGTCGCCCGTGCACAAAAAAGGGTCCAGGAGCAGCTCGCTGCTCGAAGACGCGCTAAGCAGGAGGAGCGGCGACAGAAGGCCCAGGGCCAGTGCCGCTATTCGGTGAACCTCGAGGCCTTCAGACGCGCAACAGCCGCGCGGGTAGCGAAGGACGTCGAGGATGTCCCTCAGGTCGCGACAGATTCCTGCGAGCTTGTGGGCACAGGTATTTCAGTCGTTGAAGGCGGTGGTCGGAAAGCGCAAGGAAACGGAAAGGCGACACAACGCAGGCGAATCGCCATTGCAGGTGCTGGTCCTGTGGGACTCTGGGCAGCAAACTTGATCATGCTGCGACATGCACGGCGCGTGCAGCGACCAGCCGCGGGCAACGGAGCCGTCGCAGCCAAAGCTGCCAAGGCCTCGGGCTTTATTCGCAGCAAGGATGCTCCGGAGATCGTCATTTTCGAGCAGAGGGCAGAAGAAGAGCACTGTTCCCGCCGGAATGTACGTATCACACTGGATGCCCACACGGCTGCCTGCCCGAATCAGTACTCGCTTGAGACTGGTTGGTTTGGATGGCTCGAGTGGTCTAGGGTCTAGAATCTGTACTAGAACTCTGTAAACAGGAGGTCCAGCTGTGAGTCTCGCTCTTGCAAAACTAGTGAACCGGGTCCAAACCATCGAGGCATCGTGGAACAGTTCAGACACTTGAAACCGGTGTGTGCTTCTAGCAAAGATCAAATTGCCAAGGCCCCCCCCCCCCGAAATCACAGTCCATTGTGGCTAGAGTCGAGAGTGCAGCTCGTTTGAGACGGAAGCTGCAAGCCAGGTTGCACTGCTGAACAAGCACACAAAGTCCAAGCGCTTCGAGTCAGGCATGGCTTTGGCAGAGATCGAGTCGATCCTCCTGGACCAATGGCGGCGACTTGGAGGTTCGAACAGCATTCGCTTTGGTAGCAAAAGAAGCCCGGAGGAGATTGCCGCCGAAGCCGATTGGGACTTGATCTTATGGGCTGGAGGGAGGCGATCGCTGGAGGACGCCACTCGTGCCGAGATGTCCTGCGATCTCCACGTGGGCGAGAGTGAAGAGGTTTTGGTCTTTGAGATGCGAAACTTCACCCGCGGAAAGTCAGCCGCCAGTGTGAAGATCCAAGAGTTGGAGCAACTGGCTGCTGTGGATCTCACCTTCTGTGCACGAAGCGCTGCCGCTGCCACTGCCTGTGGCGAGCAATGCAGTCCATCCTCCCTGTCCTATCGAATTGTCCTCCGCGTGGCGCAGGATGCAGCGACAACTCCCCCGAAGCCCCTGTGCTGGCTGTGGTTCATGGGACTTCCAGAGGAGCTAAAGACTGCCAAGGAGAAGCTTGGCCGAGGGAAGCCGGCAAAACCCTGCGACAGCATCCCGGCAGCGCTTGAAAACGAGTTCTCTCGCCTTGGCTTTTCTTCTGACGGCCCGAGTTGGATCCCTCAGATGCTGGCCGCCACAGCCTCTCTGCAGGAGAAGCTCCTGAATCCAGCTGAAACCACGGTGCGCTGGGTGGATGCGTCTTTCTGGTCCTCCACCCATGCGGTCTGTGCCGCACCGGCACCGGGGCCCGCCGGAAAAAGGGCGCCTTTCCTGATTCTGGGAGATGCGGCAATGGGAAAACCATTCTACACCGGGACGAACCTGAACGTCCATTTCACCGAGGTGAAGGCACTCTCCAGGCTGCCCGTCATCCGTTGGGGTAGCGGCACTCAGATGCCTTCCCGATGTTCGTCCCAGTTCCTACTCACTTCGGATGAGGCAGCGCTGGCTGCATACCAGCCGTACGAGGATCGCTTTCAGGAGGTCCTGACGCGAACGCCCGGCTTTCGGCGCGGCGAGCGCCGCCTGGCACGCGCAAAGACCTGCCAATTCGCATAAAGCCGTCGTACTGTACGAATTACTAGACTGTACGTACCACATTATGCTATATCATAATTACTATTTCCACTAAACAGTATCATAGTTACTGTTGCGAGCCTTTTTTGTCTTTCCGTGAGCAGCTCCGGCAGCTTTTAGCAAACCTATCGTCTAGTAAGTTGCCACAAAGTGGCCTCCTGCAGAAGTGGAGCCTCGCGACTTGCCAAGCAAAAAGCCGCTTGCAGGGGACCCCGAACCAAGCCACCGGCTGCGGCGCATATTATAAGAATTATAAGATAATGTACCCAAGACCCCATTGGAAATACAACCGAAATGTGTCTTTTTCCTTCGGCTTCCTTATGTGATACAAGGATATTCAGTTACAGCATGATATACCCTATTTCTACCAGTAGCCCCTACCATGCTTCATCCCGGCCCCCTGTTTTGCTCGCCACCTCTGTCAGTCGACGGCCTGCATGAGCTTCATCTCACGAGCCCACGTACAGTTGGAGGCCGGGAGGCCCAGCTGCTACCGCTATCAGACAGTGATGTTCGAATACACCTTCGCTTACTATAGCATACTGCTATACTGTAGTGTAGTGCAGTATACGATACTATAGAATGCTACAGCAGATTGCAGGATAACTAGTAGACTACGATATACCAGGCGCTGTTGTAGTTCGGCTGCCCTGGGAATGTCTCGCAAGGTTCAGGAGGATGCGTTGCTGGCAACGAACATCAGCTCAAACCCGGTCTACGTCGTCCCTTCCTCGGCTCAAGATCCAGAGCTCGGGTTCCTCTGCATGACGAAGGCAAGATATATATATATATATATATATATATATATGTGTGTTAATTAGATTCCCATCTCAAGTTTTACTGGGAGTCAAGAGGCGGACCATGTGCTCTGGACCTCTAAGCTATCCACCGCAAAGGCCCAATTCCCAAACCTTTCATTTCACTTGCATCCTGAGCTAGTCCTTAAGCCTCCAAACCAAAACCCCATCGGCAGCCCTAGAGCCGAAGCCTGTCATCCCCACAACTCTCGCGAGTCCGAAACCCAAGCCCCTGAAGGACTTCGCACCCTCATCCTGCAAACCCGCGCCCTCAAGTCAAAAAGCCCTCACCCCACAACCCCAAACGCTCCATGTTTCATACCCTAAGTATCCCTAAACCCCAAACCCCCAAAGCTCTCAACCCGACAAAAAGCCGAAGGAAGGCGAGGCTTTGGGCCGAAACGAATCGAGGAAGCTTCGGCCGAAGCAGGCGCGAAGCTCCAAACACAGCCGGGTCGAAGGATTAATATATGAAAATATCTATACTTATTTTGGGGGGCCCAAATATCTACTAAGTAGCTACTATATGAATTATGTAGCATTACAGGTGGACAGTGTATGAGGTTTTATAGGGTTTAGGTGGATTTTCAAGAGCTTTTAACGGGGCTTCCAGGGCTAAATGTCGACACTCCCGAGTAGCGACACTTCTTGAGGTTTACATGACTGTGCCCTATCTCCACATCTGTTGTCCATCCGAACATAACCTGAACGACCATGACTCCAGCAGGTTTTTCAGGGCTCTCGCTCACTGTTTCTCTGCGAGCAGTACTGATGAGGCTGTAGTCGCAGAAAGTCCCTCCATGGAGTCTTGTATCGGGGGCTGGGGTTTAGGGGAGGACGGTAGCAGGAGCACAACAGCAGCCATAGCTACTTGTAGTAGGGGGGCGTAGTCAGGTCTAGTGGCAGTTAGAATTTCCAAGCTTACAAACGGAGTTGATTTCCTGGCAAACGGCATTGATGCTTTCGTAAACCAGAAGATCTGTCTGTGCGACCTGGCAGGCATGGACGACTGTGATAAAGTTTGTTTGCGCTCAGGTCAGTTTTGTAGATCCTCAAGGTAGGAATTGGCCATGTCAGCCATGGACACGATCATGCTCCAGCACTCGAAGCTCCTGATCGCTGTTGTTGTGAGCCTCGCTGCTCTAACCGGCTGTGGCTCGACCCAACTGGGGGGACTGATCTGTGATTGAATAGCAACATAGAAATTAATAATGAGGTATTGCCAGGCAAGATTCAAATAAAAAACAGACAACAACACAATGTGCTGTGAAGTGGTTAGTTGGTTGCTGGGTAGCGGGTACCGGAGCTCAAGCTTTCTGAGAAATGTGAGAAGACAGGCATGGTCGAGCTCGTCAAGACGCAGTTGATCAACTGGGTGGACAGGCAGCCATGGCGTTCGCGAATGATCCCGCTGCAGCGAAACATGATGCACAACTTCGGCTACAGCAAGTCAACCACTGCGGATGAAACGGTCATTGTTGACTGCTACTGCTTTGTGATTGCCATTTGCTCCCATCATCTCGTGATGAGCCTGGCCCTAACTCCAGTGGTTGTTTTGGGCTGGGACTCGGCTGGTTCTGTGGGACAGTTCTTGTTTTATGCTGGTGCCGTGGGAGATCTGGCATACTCGATCTACGACAGCGTTCAAATCACACTGAGAACATTTTTCCCAGTCAGCTTCAAATGCCTGGGCGTGCAGCTGCCGAAGAAATACTTCATTGTCATGGTTTGCTTACATCATATGCTCTCCATGATCCTGAGGGTGCCGATGATCCTGTTCTACCCTACCATGAGAGCACTGCATGTGTTGATGTGGTCTCTACTCGTTGCCGGTGGCACATGCTACCTGCTGAGCTGCTACAAATTCAGCCTCGACACGCAGAGCTCTCTTCGGGACTTCTTGCGGTATAAGGCCACCAACAGATGCCAAAGCAAGGGCTTCATTTGAACTCCGAGTTTCCAGCCCCGAGCAAGGCAAGAAACCCTGAACTGAAGCGCAGCACTTGGTTTGTTCAAGTGGCTGTTGAAAGGCATCACGCTGGCTCGATCTTTACGATATACGGTGAGCCCAGCTGTAAATTCATGCTGCAGCTACGAGTCGTGCCATCTCGACTAGGTTATAGCTACTGTAGTGCTTATCCGTGCGAGGCCATCGTGCTGGTGCAGCTCTTGACTATGTGGTTCGTACGCGGGTACGTATGGGTGTCCCAAGCTCTCTCTGCGATGATGGTGTTCCACGGACGTGGCGACCTGCTCTTCCTCGGTCTTGCGCTAGTGGGCTTCGTTTTGATGACCCTTTTCAACGCGCTGATGGTGTTCGACTCGACCAAAGCAGCGGTCAAGTGGTTGCCCAAGCAGTTGCACAAGCAAAGCCATGGTACGAATCTGGCGTACCAAGAGAGACTTGGGCAGTCTCTATTCTTCTTGCGAACCCTCCTTAGCCCCCCTTCCCCTCTCCACGTTTCTCTCACAAATACTCTGACGATTTTCTCAAGCAACAGCTGTTGCCTTGTAAGACCAAACTGGACGTTAAGGAAAGAGCTGAAGGCCAAGCAGCATGCGGAGGGCTTGAGGAGAGTGCAGGCGGCGAAGGTTGTTCTGGCTACCCAGTAAGGTCCGACGTTCAACTTTTTGTGATTGCACACGGAGTGCTTGTACAATACAAGCTCCCGATGCATCATCTACCAACCTTCCCTTCTGGTGCTTGTACAGCACAGGCGCGTAATCCAATACTTGTTTGCAGATTTTGAGTTGCTGAGCCAACGCCTCATGCTACGTAGCCATGCTTATGGGAAGCTGTGGCTTGCCAACCCATTGTGTACAGTGAAAGCGGTGCCATGCAACTTGTATCCAGCTAAACAACAGGGCTGCGCACGTTGCGGTTTGTTGCTGAAGCGCTTGCGTGATGATGCATATGTAACATGCGTGTGTGTATATATGCATATATATATATATATGTATATGTATATGTATATATGATGTGAGTACGTATGTTTATATCTATATATATATATATATGTACATATACATCTATGTACCAGCATGTACTAGATTCTCTCTGTCCCTGCATATACATACATACATATATGTACACTTGTACATACCCAGACTATCTACAGGTTCTTGTACTGTACGCATCTACTACAAATACCTAGGTGCAGCCTTCATCCTGTCAGGTTCTCAGCTTCGCGAGACTCGAGGGTACACAGCATGTGCTCTTCATCTGCTTCGAGGCGGGGATACTATAGGGTACCATGAGGGATACACTGCGCGATACTAGAAGGATTCGTCTCATGGTCATTTGTGAGGCGTGTTGAACATTGAAAAGTAAGCGTTCCTTGGCGAGGCTGATGAAACTGTGCGAGGTATATCGAAGTACAAAAAACGGTTCTGCAGATTCTAAAGGGGAGGGGCGGAACGCAGGAAGCAGCGATTAGCGGATGCTGCCCAGAACCGATCTTTACATCTTCACAGGAGGTAAGGCTTCAAGGTTCTCATCATCCGCTTTTCCGAGGAGGATGGGAGTGGATCTTACTCGGAGAAGCCGAATCCCTATAACTCCCTATAGCTCCATGTTTTGCAGACCCCTGATTCATGACCTTCTTGACAGGGATTAAAACAACAGGGATCCTAACTTGCATAGTCCAAGTGTCAAACCTAGTTCCTATGTAGTGCGATCCTTTGCTAGTCTTCTTAGCTGTTCCAGGCCAGTCCGCTGGACAGATCCTCCGCAAAGACCAAAGCTGTGAGATGATGTTTCCGTGGAGTCTTTCAGAGAGAGAGAGGGAGGGAGAGACCGTAATGAGTTGTGCTGATATTCAGTCGTTAACGGCAGTCCTAAACGGATGTTTATGATAGTGTACGAGTCCATATGCATCTGGGTGATCCATGGACCTAACGATTGCATCTCTAGTGCCTGAAGGCACAGTCTGATCAATTTCTTCGAATTCAGGTTCCGATGCTGGCATTGCCCACGAGGGCACAAAGAGTGCACAGTTTAGCACGGTGGTGGGCAAGGGCAGCAAAGATAAGCACTAGCTGCACTTTGATTCGACATTTGCTGTTATTACAAGCAGAGCCTTTGAGCTGGATGGAAGCCCTGCACCCACTTGGCCGCGCTTCGGACACAGATCCACTGGTGGCTTGAAGCTATGTTGCCGGGAGGACCGAGTTTGAGAGGTTTGAAGTTCCCCTCCGGTGGGCTCAGGCCCTCCATACTAGTTTTTTATTCGCGACCTACCTTAGAAACAGCACGCACAAAGAGTGTGCCCTGCATAGCCAGGCTTCTCAAACTCGGATGTGAATCCTGGCAGGTCCCCAGAGCGTCGTAGTGGCCCTTTGTGCTTGGCTTGGGGTCTATCGTCTATCGTCGGAGTGCGTAATTGTTGCACCAGAAAAAAGAGCGAAGACATTCAAAGGGATAAGGGCTCTTGCATCTCTTTGCAACTAGCGAGCTAAACAACTAAGTACCTGCCTACGTGAGGCATACCTACTAGCTAGGTACTCAGTGAAGTTCCTGCCCATGTCATGCATGCATGTGCACATACATTCAGAAAGCACACAGCTACCGAGTGTGCAAGTGCAATATGTATGGCAAGATCTTTGCTTGTACTTGCCGATCGGCGGATGAAGGTACGAAACGTGTCAGCATTTTGGTGCGTAGATATATGTACCGGCGGTTGGAAGCAAGCATGGGCTCGGGGGTGCATTTGTGCAGTCATCCAGGTTTGAATCATGATGTAACCATTTGTGCATACGTGGGTGCACCGTTGTTTTTCCAGTACGTGTTTGCATATGGCGGTATGTGCATACACAGGCGCACGTATCCACGTGCTGTTTGTCTATCCGTTTCATGAGGTGCGTTTGCGATTTGATAGCAACTCGAGTTTTGGAGACACAACAGTTTTCGGTGGCCGTGTGCAGGTGCAGCGTAGGGCACATGCCAATGCCAACATTGCTGGTGCGACGACAACCGTTGCTCCATGCCATCCAGACCCCATCCTCATACAGATCTTGTGAATAAGTCCACCTCATGTAGCATACTTTGCAAGCCTTGAACGTGTGCTTTGGACAAAGAGCTGATCGCAGCTGCAGTGTCTTGGCAGCATTTCATGGATTTCCATGGCTGTGATAGAAGCTCTGCAGACTTTGCAACTGTCATGCTCGTGGCTTCATTGGGACCGGCCCTGCACAGTTTTTTGGTGACGTTTTCAGATGCAGCGAACAATGATCACCGTAAGCCTGCCAAAGCCTATGAAAGAATCTACAATAAATCTGTTGGTACCCGGAGCCCAGATTCGCAGGAACTCAGGTCTTTGCCACCAAGTGGTCAGCCTTTGCTTCGTAGCTTAAGATGGGCAGGAAAGGGGTATTGGCATCAGTACAACTTGAAGCAAACACTTATGTTGGCAACCAGGTTCGTTCAAGGTCGCAGTTTTGGTTGAATCTTAAAGACTGAAACCCCAAAACCTTAATCGTAAGCCTACAAACCACAATCCCTGCTTTTAACCAAAGCCCTCAAATTAAAATCTACCATAAACCTGCATGCAGCCTCACAAAAGAAACGGATCCAACTTCGACCGGGTACCTTAAATCCTCACTCCTAAACCCTACAATGCTAAACCGGAAAATCCTAAACCCCACATCGTAAACCCCTTAAATTCTTAAACCCTGCATTCCTAAACCCTACACCCTCAAGCCTAAACCCTACAGGTTATGAGCGGGGAGGCCGATCTTGACGCGGCGCGCGTGGATAAGGACGGGCACATCACGCTGGGCCCCTGGAGGACGGCAACCTCCCAGGAGGGCAAGGCTTCGGGGTTAATGTAGGGGCCCTAATAAGTACCTTTAGAGGTGCCTATAAGGGCATAAGGGCAGTTGCTATAAGGGATCTGTAAGGGTACTATAATGTAGAGGTCTTAATATCATTACCGATACTATTTTGGGGGTTCCCTATTATGGTTATGATATAATATACCCCAACACACCATTCTAAGTAATTACTAGGGTCCCCATACTAAGGCGTCGTATGTTCGCGCTGGAGCGTTGAACTGAGGTTTCAGCTGTCTGGTCTGGGTTTCGGGCTCAGGTTTCAACGGGCTCACTGCGTGAAGGCGTGTATCAAAGCCAAAAGGAAACCCTGATTCCTAAACCGGAGCAGTGAGGTACCGGCCCTGAACCCCTATAGGGCTCCTTGTCACTCCGAGTCGGCGAGGAAAAGGGAAGGCATCCACCTGGGGCACTTGGAGATGCAGCTTCAACAGCTGCAAGTTCAGTGGAATCCTCAGATCTCCTTCGCTCTTCGCCGTGGCCTACTAGAGGGTTCCTTTAAGGGATCCTTCAAGGGGTCTATAAGATTTAGGATATAGGCGCAGTGATAATTGCCTATGCTACTTTGGGGTTCCTTGTTGTAAAGTACATACTATAATTAATACCTTAAGGCCCCTACATTTTTATGGCAAAGAAGTTTGTAAAGTAGGTTCCCCCAGCCCCTTTTCTTGCAGGGTTCTCTTATTCAGCGTATGAAGGCGACATTGGGGAAGCCAGCAAACGACCATGTAGGTGCCCGAAGAGCCCCAGGAAGAGCCGCGGATACGACTGAGACAGTAACTCAGGCTGTAGACCATGGGCATTGATGCTCTGGAACGCCCGAGCTCTGAGGAACAAGTTTTTAAGTGTTAGACTACTACTTATGATTATCATTGCTACTGTTATTGCTACCAACTTGTCACTACGTCTCAGCATTGCTTACTACGAGACTTCCGGTGTTGTCATCAAGATTGCCTGTTGCCAGCTGCGACTTCGATGCCAGCGATGCAATGAAAGTCCAGTGCCCCACTGAAGCTTCGTGTTTGGATGGCCTGCGGTGGCTACTGGTAGCCACTCACAGTCTGCTCCTCTCCACTGGCCAATCACAGCAAGAGAAGATGGGCATGGCTGGTGCCTGGTCCAGTAATCAAAGCAGTCATGACACTGTTGAGCAGCCATCTGCACCGCGTGTGGCTGCGACTGTAGACCATGAAGTCCATGACCACAGCGTGCCAGGACTATCGGCAAGCTACAGAGATGAGCAGATGGACGATGCCACGATTGCCGCTATCAATGCGATGATGTGCGACCCGCTGGAGAGGATTTGGCATGACCGGTAGTGCCACACGGACTTGCCGCCCTGCAGGCCTCAGGAGGTTGAGTCCTTTGCCCCCAGTGCCAGCAGATCGCTTGAAGTCTTGTACGAATCTACTGCCGTAGAGATTCCTGGAGCACGCCTTGGCCACTGCATCGTTTTTCTCTGACCATTCAGTCTTCAGCAGATATTGGCTTTCTCCTCGGTCGCCATGGGATCCGAGCCACGTGCACCTGAACATGCCTCGTGCCACTCGCCTCTCGCAATGCGGCAAGAGCGAAGCTTTTGCGTTGGTTCGGAGGAGACTTTTGACATCAGCTGCAAGTTTGCAAATTCGATAAGAGTGCAGTCTGCTTCGAGCTCTGCACACCAAGATGGAAAGCCGCAGAAGAGCAGATAGCACTCCCAGGCGCACCAGAGAAAAGCGGCCGCTAACGGCGGGGACCCCAGCTTCGGACAGGTTTCCATCTTCTGGAGTAACCAGCAATTTTATGCATGTTACTGTAATCTCACATGTTTCAGAGCCTCATGAGCAGGAACGCTATCGGAAGGGACCTAGATGCGATACTCCTGCCACTCATGAGGAAGAGGCCAAGAAGGTCATGGAATATTGCAAGCGCTTCAAGTCACTCGCGTCGGTGACTTACTTGTTTGTTGCAGTGCGAGCTTTGAATCAGAAGTGCTCGCAACTGGGCAGGTTTCCAGCACGCAAGATAGACTGCATGCATATCGTTGTAGCAGCAGCAGTAGGAGTAGTCATCGTCGTCGCGGTGGTGATGGTGGTGGTGATGGTGGTGGTGGTGGTGGTGGTGGCAGTGGTGGTGGCAGTGGTGGTGGTGGTGGTGGTGGTGGCGGCGTCGGTGGTGGTCCTCGCCGTAGTGGTAGTAGTAGTAGTAGTAGTAGTAGTAGTAGTAGTAGTAGTAGTAGTAGTAGTAGTAGTAGTGGTAGTCGTAGTGGTAGTGGTGGTGGTAGAGGTAGTGGTAGCAGGAGCAGGAGCAGTAGCAGTAGCAGCAGCAGCAGCCGCAGCAGCCGCAGCAGCAGCATGGTAGTAGCAGTAGTCGTCGTCGTCCGCGTCGTGGAAGCGGAGCAACAGCACTCGCCTGCGAATCCCCGACCTGTGTCACCCAAGGAATGAGTCTCAAGCAGACAAAGTCAAGAAGCAGATGACCGGATTGGTGCCCGACTGGGAAGGGGTAAGTGACGGCAAAGGAGCAAGTTGGAACGATGCCAGGGGATCAGGAGCTGCACCATGCCATGATCAGTAGCAGGAAACTGATCTCGAGGATTGACGGTAAGTTGTGAGACTCGCATGTGGCACGAATCTCGAGCGAAACACTGAGAGTATCGCTTGTGTCCCGCCAGCATCTCCAACGCACCAACCACAAGTTCGTCAAGTGCTGCTCTCAGTCACCACCCGCCTCCGGGGTTCGGGAATGAAGCTCTCTGCAGACTCTTGTTGCCTGACCCCCAGACACCTCGATTCCCAGCTGCTGAAGGGCTCCTGATGGTTTCAATGTCAGTGTGATGCAAGGGGGGACTACCTGACACCTGAGCCTCTAGTCCCTGTATGACTAGCACAATACTTCGGAACCTTGTTCGAGTTTTTGAGGTTCGCCCTGTGTTAGGACAGTCAGGGATGGCCATTATCGGTAAGCACACTGCATTATGGATGCCTTTAGGGTCCTTACTTCACTGATTTTCATCAGCTCATCTAGGTTCTGATCGTCTTGGCCACGGTGCTTTTTGCGAGGGTTGATGAGGACATGAATCCTGGACATACCTTCACCGCGCACCATACCTTCACCTCACAATCCAGTCAGGAACGGAGGCCGGATCAAGCTACATCTCTTGCTGAACTTTAGCTTTCCGAGCAGCGGAGTGCGTTTTTCTCTAGATCCCAAGGCGCTGCCGGGACTTTGAGGCCACGCAGCTTTTCAACCTGATGCCCGCCACTCCGGAGGAAGCAAGGACACGCTCGGCGTCGGTGCTTCGAGGGGTTTGGGGCCACCGTTATTGCCAAGCTTTGTTGCAGCAGGTTTCTTGAGACGTCATTCATACCACAGAAAATCTCGTCATGCGAAGTGTCGACGCAGTGTCGACCTTATTTGCAGCACAACTCTTTCTCGCAGTGTGCTGTTGCATCTGAAGTGCCTTCAGTGAAAAGGTAGACGCCGTTTGGGGGATCTGTCATGTTGCCGTTTTCAACTTTCTAGCTTTTGCCATGGTTCTGCGATTTCTACTGCTATGGAATGCCTTGTGCCGAGTTGCAGGAAGTTGATCCCCACCCTGGAGGGCAACCCCCACCTGGATAACCTCCTGGAAGAGTCGCATGCTCATTTCATGCCCGGCTTGTCAATGGTCGTCTGGTTGTACTCCAGTATCCAGTGCGCTGCCGAGGTTGTCTGCGCTGAAGAAGTTCGACCGCAATGTCAAGTAGGAGAGGAGAGCTCATCTCGCGGAACAGACTCGGAACCTTCTTAGGCCTGCCGAGCAGCAAGGAAAGTGTGCATCGGATATACCTGTGCTTGACATGTCCACAGGAGGACTCCATGACCGCAGCCCAGGTAGTTTTTGCGTCCCAAGGGGCAGCAGTTGCGTCATGCAGGCAACAGCAACACACCACGACATGCCCCACAGAAGGAGAGTGATGCTTGGGGATGCGCATCTACCATTTCGAGACCCTTCCTACAACTTGACGTAAAGCTCCTGCAGACGTGCCTGATCGTTTTTCCAACGGCTCGCAGTACAGAAAAAACCCACACAGCCATTGACTCTGGACCCGACAGTGCAAGAGACTGACAATTCGATAGCACTTTCTGCGCCTCCTTGGCAGCATGGATTGTACAGCTGCGCCACAAGTCATTGAGCCGAGGCCTCAATCAACACTCAGGTGGTAGCACAACACGCAGTCATGAGTAGTCATAAAATGTTCAGCAGCTTCGTTATATTCCTCAGAAGTCTCTCTTGTCTGGCATCATTGACTGTTTCCCTTTCTTACATAATATGAACCACAAGGCACAATACTGTCGCCTATCAAAGGTTCGAAGCATCCTTGTCTACTCAGGCACCTGAAGGAACAGCTGAACTTCACGCCCTTTGACACTCGATGGGTGCCCCAGAGCGCCATTGCCTCAGCTTTGATCGCAGACAGCTTGCACGGAAACCCTATACTCTATAGGCCAAAGGCAGCATGACGGATGGAGCAAGAACGCAGCAAGAAGGGGAAAGCCCAAGCTAACTTCCCTTGAGTGACGGCAGAATGGGTCTGGACCCTATTGACTCTATTGCTCGACTTTTGCCATGAATATGTTGTTGATTTCTGCTTGTATTAAATGGTTGTGAACCTGATAATTGGATGGTTAATTAGAATTGTCACTATGTAGGATCCTAGCCGGCTTTGTCGTGTGGTACATGTATATAGATGTTGCCATGTACCAATAATGATTCAATGCCACATATCATCAACTGGCAGTGTATATCACCTCAGACAAACTAGTAAGTATAGCTTTAACATGTTCCAATTACTGCATGTTTAAATATGTACATCAGCACTTACCGAAACAGAGTGACTATGAAGCGTTGCTTTCCGAGCGAGGCCCGCTATGTTGTGCTGGGCCAGTACCCTCGTGCGACTGGTTGCATTCGCGTGTGCCAGCTGTGCCACTGCCACGCTTTGCAAGCAGAGTTCTGGCAGATGTCATTGGGATGTTGGGTAAAGGCGCATGGTTCGCTGTAGTGCTGTACTTAGCAGATTTAGCTGTTGTGTGTCGTTTGTGTGCTTCGTCTCGACCAGCGAAAAACATTTCCGACTTGCCAGCCTGTACCCGAGAAGCCAGCACGTGGCAACAAGCGAGCTTGTCAAACTAAGTTATGTCGGCGGTATGCTATTACATCTGGGTGACTTCTGGCAGTGATCGCTTGGTCTTGTTTGATTGCTGCATACAGATATGGCAATAGGAGGCCGTGTGTGTTGATCGGCGCATGTGTGTATGTTGGTGTAGGAAGCTATACGAACTATGCCGAGTGGTACCAACGCTTATTGTACATATATTATAGCCACATAAACTTGTTAGGACCGGTTTACAGCGGTTTACCGATACAGACAGACATGAACGGATATGAAAGAGGTAAGAGGATGAAGGTGTATAGTATAGCATTGGGAGTACAAGTATCATGAGAAGCAGACGCAACAAGCCAACACCAAAAGCATCGAGATTTGCAGTAAGGCATATCGACAGCTACCAGCTGTAGTGACAAGAATACACCAGACTTACCTGAGTGAAACGTATGCTACAGTTTCCAACCCAGCCGCTTTAACGGTCGAGATCGGTTGAGGCTTGAGCCTGCAGGCTGACAAATGCAATGCTTCAGCTTGCCAGGAACAAGGGCAAGAGCGAGAAGCTGGCCGCACTCCCAGGGGTGTAGTGAGTGCAGTGGTGTCTTGGGCAAGAAGCACTTCACAGAGAAGGTGTATGCCAGGTTTTTCTTCAAATGTCCCTTCTCCCCTGCGCCTCCTTCCTCCTCCTGCTTCTCTGTGGGCATCTTGGGTCCTCCACGGTCGGCAGTTTGCCGGCACCTGTTGCGAGATGTGGCAGGTCCAAGCTTCGTACCCGTTTTCGAGCTCATCCTTGGGGTCCCTCGCAATGTCCGTGGCTATTTCCATGCCTGCTTTGGCAAGCCACCTTTCTGTGGAAATGTTGTTTTGCCTTCAGGTCATCGCTTTCTACCTGCCCGCGTATCTGTCGATTCATCCATTGATCTGTCTATCTGGCCGTCTATCTCTGTCCACGTGAACTGAGCCGCTGAAGCAATAGAATGTGGCAACGATTGAATTGAGTTGAGAAGCTCGCTATGTAATCACTTCACCATGAGCTACAGAATGTGGACAGGCATTCAGCACTCTCTTATACCTGTGTGTGTGTGTAAGTTGAAAGGGTCTATCGGTACGACATGGCAATGAGTGGCAAGGCGGAGACAGAGCAGCCCAAGGGCTTCAAGTGTGGCACCTTCGGCGCGTCCTCAATCGAGGAGGGCAGATGTCATGTTGCGGAGTTGGGGGTAATCAGTTCTTAAGCGGGATGTTTGCTCGCTCCCCAGCTATATAGGAAGTAAACTCTTGCGTTGGGATTGGGGCTTGGGAGCCTCATTCGGGTCCCGACTACTTGGTCAGATGAGGTTTTTTGGAATCCGCGCAGAATTAAGCTTTGTCTGCTTGTTGCGCAGCTTCTGCTCTTGTTTTACACTTTCGCTGATGAGGACCGCCACCTTGCTACCGGCGACTATGCCGGTGGCCTGGCCATCTGGGATCTGGAGAATCTCAAGAAGCCTGTTTGGAGCTGGAGACCTAGAGTGGATTAGCCGGACACAAGGCTTTCGCCTCGGTAGAACCGGTAGAATACTTCCAATTACTACTGTGCCATGTACATAGCGATAAGCTAGCTGCTTACATATGAGATCGAATACTGACATGCACGCTTGTAAATGGCGGCTGGCTTGTGGTAACTGGCGCTGTAGGAGACATAACTGAAGGTTCAACAGTCTCGGGAGTGTTTCGAGCCTCCAAGGCGTGAAAGGTCATGACCTCATTGTCAACGCCATCGATGGCTGTGGAGGCCCCATTGACTGTGGAGAAGCTTGCCAGTTACGTATTATAGTATATTAAAGTACATTATCGTCTATGGTGTTCTATCCTGTTATAGTATATTATCGTATACTCTAGGATAGTACAATGTATTGTAGTATGGTCTTGTATATTGTAGTATATTTCAGTATATCATATAAAACTTAAGTATAGTATAGGACATATTACAGTAGGTCGCAGCATGTTCTGGCATGTTGTGGGAGCCCCGCAAATGTCTGCGCAGTGACAAAGTTTTGAAGGAACCTGTGGCATGATTCATAGCACAGCAGAAGAATAAACCATACTACTACTGATACTCCTCCTACGACGACGACGACTACTACTACTACGACTACAATTATGACTACGACGAGGACCACCACTGCCGCCGCCGCCACCACTCCCAGCACCCCCAGCACCCCCAGCACCCCCAGCACCCCCAGCACCCCCAGCACCCCCAGCACCACCACCCCCACCACCACCACCACCACCACCACCACCACCACCACCACCACCACCACCACCACCACCACCACCACCACCACCACTATCACCACCGCGACGACGATGACTACTCGTACTGCTGCTGTTGCTGCTGTTGCTGCTACTACTACTACTACTACTACCGCTACTACTACTGCTGCTGCTACTACTACTACTACCACCACTAATTACTACTATTACTACTACTACCACCAGCCTACTGCCTCCTCATAGTGACACTAGCACGCATGACCAACCAATTAACAGTAATAATGTGACATTACTCCTTCAGCCCCTACTTGTATGCAGCAAGTTCGAGTTTTGACGCGCTCGGCGCAGGCCTCGGCATTGGCAGCGGGGCTCCCGAGCTGGGCTCTTAGTTGGCTCAAGCTTGCAGCAGGTGCGTGTCCTGAAAGCTGAACAGAAAAGGTTGTGGCTGTTCGGTTTCTGTTCACAGAAGCCAGGTCCATGCCATCGGGCAGAGGCTCTCAGCTCGTGATTTCTCTCGTTTCATAGAAGAATTCCCGCCATGGCAGCCATGGATTTGGATCTCTTCGGCAAGCGGCCAAAGCCCGACGATGAAGAGAAGGTTTCGATGTTCTCGGGTGCGGGCCGATCTTCGGTCTCAGCCGATGCCTTGCGCATTTTGCATCCCACTGTGGACCAGCTTGTGATCTCGCATGTCCTAGCCGGAGGGCACTGGCAGCACGACGACTCCGCTCAAGAGCCATGCTGGAGTCTGGCACATGACGGTGTCGTGGTGGTGGCAAAAGAGCGGTTTGACGAAGCAAGCGACTTAAACAGTTGGCTGAGATCAAGCTTTCAGATTGCCTTCTTCAGTGCCTTGGATGCGCGTGATGCTTATGCCGCCTTGCTGGAAAGGTTGGATGCGGCCCTAGATGAGGATGACCGACTTGACAGGCTCCACCATGTCTTGGCGACTGACAAGAGCCAGGGCATCGGACGCACCTTCCATGGAGTGGACCTCAGCGTGCATCCTGCGAATCGGCCACTCCTACTGCATTGTGCCGCAGAGGGCTACTCGCAATGTCTCCATGCGCTGATTCAGGCTGGCTTTGCGCCTGACGTGCATGGCAGCAACAAGTGCAATGCTCTTCATTTGGCAGCTTGGGGTGGACACACGGACTGTGTGGAGCTCCTTTGTCAGAAATGTCCTCAGCTTTCCGAAGAGACGAACAAGTGGAGGGAATTCCCGGAGCTTGCAGCATACGGTCGGGCATGCGAGCTCGACATTGCAGGTGAGGTCAGTTCGAAGAGATTCTATCAAGCAGCCGAGATATGTTTGCAGACCCGCAAGGGCAATGCTGAGCTTGACAAGACTTGGTTTCAAGATGATTCAGAGGAGAGGCTTCAGCATTGCTTTCAAGCAAGCATCAAGCATGTGAGAATCTCCGCAGGCACTCGCCCTGCTGACATTGCAGCTGCTGCTCGGCAGATGACATCCGACTGGCGAGTTACCGATCTCTCTGCCACATTTGTCGACTTGCGAGGTGTGCAAGTGCTGGATGTCCTTCTGAGCGCAGCTGCTCAGGGTCATTTCCTCCAGCACTTGCAGCTGCAGGGCTGTGGCTTGGGCCTTCCCGAGGCAGCTTGCCTGCGAACGTTTCTGGAAAGGAGGACGACCTCCTTGGCGAAGCTGGACCTGAGTAGCAACCCCTTTGGCCACGGAGTTGTCGAGCTGTTTTGCTCGGCCCTGTTCCGTGTCAAGGATGTTGTTCTCGATAATACGAAGCTGTCAGAAGCGGCTGTTGGATGCTTTGGGGAGCAGCTTGCCCGCGCAATGGATGTCGAAGTAGTCAACCTGGACTCAATCCACTTCGCCCAGAACGACCTATCCCATGCCGGCGATCTTGGTGCCCATGCAGGCTTCGGATTGTTCCTACAAGTCTTGTGTCAAGAGAACTGTCCACTGCGCAAACTCTACCTCGATCACACACGACTCTCTCGACAGCAACTGGAAGAGCTTGTAAGTGCACTTCCAACTTCTGGGCTCGTTACCCTTAGTTGCCACGGTCTTGGTCTTCCGGCGGAATGGGCAGCTGTGGGTGGAAAGTTGAACCAAGCACTCCATCATGACCGCTGTGTGCTGAAGCGAATCGAAGTTGATCGTGGTCAAGGAAGCGAGGAGTTTGACAAGCTGTGGAAGGCCATCAAATTACGGGATGCAGCGCGAGAGCAGCCAGGAGGACGAAAGGGCAAAGGAAAGAGCAAAAGCAAAGACAGAAAGGTCAAAGGATGCAACGACGTTTCTGGTCCTCCCTCTTGCTCAACAGGGCGAGAGGAGGCCCCTCAGCAAGTCCATCGCAGCTTCTCTTTCCGCGAGCCATTTGTGGCGTGCCTTCGAGCCGTCTATTGGGATGCGCGTCGCTCTTCCTGGAAGGGAGACTTTGTTACGGAGTCTGCTGGGGCTGTAGCTGGAGTTCTGCTTGCGAGGAACGGCGACAGGCAGCCAGAAGCTGATGTGAACAGCATGTTCAGCCTCACTCTGAAGCTTCAACGAGCCCCAGAGACAGTGGACAAGAGCTTGAAAGCAAGCGATCTTGCTGTTGACAGCATGCAGCAGGAGACCTCAAGGAACATCCACTTCTTGGAGTTTGTTCGTCTGGTTTTTGTGCGTGAATCAACCAGACAAATTCTGGCACTGAGCGCATCCTTGAGCCCCGCCGCGCTGCAGCTCAAACCGATATTGATGTTGGACTCCTTCCGTGCTCTGCCGGATCTTCCCATAGAGATGATACCACAGCTAAAGCATCTTCTTTCTAAGCTGATGGATGCTGAACTTCTGTCTCTGCTCGATTCTTGCATCGCAGATTCGTTCCTGTATCCCTGGTCGGGCAAGACTGGAAAGTTTGTGGATGATGTCGTGAAGTCGCAGCATCGTGCACGAGTCACATCACCGGCCTGGCAGGCATTGTCAAAGTTGGCAGAAGCTGAGAAGGCCAGCCGCCAAAAGCCCAACGGAATGGTGGAATTGAGGCGCATGCTCACCTTCCGTTTGGCTTGCCAGCTGCAGTCTGGGGCCTCGACCAGTAGCCGAATGAGCTACGACGACCCAGAGAAGGCTTTCCTCCAGGAGCTACATCGCACAACTTTGCGGGGGAGTGGTGTGCACATCGCTCGACAGCGCGAGAGAAGAGGCAAGCAGGAGACGGCAGATGTTGTCGACTGCACTGGAAACATGCTGCAGAGGCTTCTGTTTTGCAGTATTCCTGAGAGTCTCATCGATGACGAGAGCCCGAACGGCCCAGTGAAGTGGTTGCCAGACTCGCGATGGGTCTCGGCAAACTCCCCGGGAGTGCTGTCCCGAATTCTGCACGATGATGCGACGGAAGGATACCCTTCATTGGCTGAATCTATTTGTTCATCCGTCATGAAGTTGAGGCCTGGCAATATCGGCTATGCTGTCGAGAATGATCACCAGTCCTGACTCCGAACAATGAGCGCGGTGCTGCTTCCAAGTGATGTAGGTCTGCACAGAACGCGGACAATCGGCTTTATATCGTCATGAACTAGGACGCTTCCAAAGCACTGTCGCAAAACACTGCAGACAGATGCTTCAGAAGCAGTTTGGTTTGCACAGATATCTCCGTAAGCGTGCGAGGCCCGCAACAGAACAATTCTGGCGAGTGACATGTGCTAAGTCTTCAGACTGGAGCTGCATGCAAAGCTCGTGTCAGGCTAGTGACAGGCAGCAGGGACGGGACGGTTCGCGTCTGCAACTCAGCTGGGGATTCCCTCACCGTTCTTCCCAATTGTTGCAGCTGCAGAGTCTCGTTGTGCTGCGCAGGTCTGGGATCCTCGCACCCAAGATCCAGTCCTTTCACTTGAGCCCGTAGAGGGCGAGACACCGGCCGATTGCTGGACAGTGGCCTTCGGCAACTCCTACAACGACGCAGAGCGCTGCATCGCTGCAGGACACATGACCTCAGAGTTCGTTTGCTGCATGGCCAGAGTGCATGAGTCAGGATACGACAACGGCGATGTCAAGATTTTCGACTTGTCCCGATCTCAGCTTGCCGTGGCATTTTTAATGTCATCTTACCAGCATGACTCTCCGTGCAAGGCGCACCAACACTTTGAGATGGGACACGAACGTCCGGAACGGTGTGTGCCATCTCCAGTTCGCCGGAGTCTCACAGGGGTTAGGCCCAGGCCAGGCCAGTTACAACTACAACCTTCAGACCTAAGCTCTTGGCCCTGAAGCCTCCCAAACTGGCCGGCATCTTATGCAAACGCGTTATGAGCATGTTTTTTGGCTCACCGAAAACTGAGTAGGGCCAAGGCCAAGGACAGTGGAAACCACATTAAATTTCTACGCCTGTAAAACCGTATGGGGACGGCAGCATCCAGAATAGACCTACCCTGCCATGGAGTTGTAACCCGAGTGCGCAACTTGTATGCGCAGCTTTTATGCTTCGGCCTCTGACCGAGGACAGGAAAGATATCAAGATGAACAAGCTGGGCGTGCCATCCCGAGTGCTCTGTGTGGAAAAAACCGCCCACTTCGGCATCTCCTGCTCGGAGGTCTCGACACTCGAGTCGACCCTGGTGGTTTATGACCTTCGCACGTCTGGAGCCCCGGTATCATCAGCGATGCCATTTTCTTGCATGGCTTCTGAAACAAAGCTGACGGTTGGACCGGCGTCAGGTATCACCCTGAAGAGGGCTACGCAGGTAGGAAAGAGAAGGCCAGTCCAATTCTCGATTCTTTTTTGGGTTGCGAGCTTTGATTCTGCTTGTGTCGGCAGACTGGATCCACAAGCTTCTGCAGAAGTCACAGTTCCCGGCGACAGCTCTAGAAACTGCACAGGTGACAAAGAGCACACTTTGGGGCGCGCACTTCCTGCCGCAGAACCGGGAAGTCTTCGCCTCCTGTGGTGGCAACGGAACCATCACCTTGTTCAAGCGACCCGGACAGCAGAGTCGGCGGTTTGGGGTGCTGAAAGCCGCATGAGTCCTATCTTCAAGCCCACGACGAGGTACTCCTACCCCGAAGAACGGTCCATCCAGGACAAGGAAGGCATAGAGCATGGCGCTCAGTGACCACTTAGAAGTGGTGAGTCTGCGGTCCCCATCTACCAGTGCCATATAGTGCGATCCCATCTACCAGTGCCATATAGTACTAGCGGCAGTTTCTGAAGCTGCTCGATGCCAAGATGCATTTGAGGCACTGGTGACAGGCATCCAAAGCATGTAGCGCAAGCTATGGACTTTTGAGAAAACCCAGCGGGCCCTAGCCCTAACATAAGGGCCTTATTACATATACTATTTCGGCGGCTCCTTAATATAATCTCAGTATAATGTGCCTCAAAACCTTGTTCTAAGTATTAAGGCCCCTAGCCCTAGCCTGAAGGCTAGTTCCGATCCTGCCTGCCTAAGTCGTGGAGTTGCTGGCACAGTGGAGATGCTCAACCAGAAGGACCCCGAGAGCACACACATATATATATATATATATATATATATATATGTGTGTACATACTAAACTGTATATTGTATGTGTATATGCATATACATACGTGAAGTTACACTATTTCAAACACGACGTGTATACATCTATATATATATATATATACATATGTGTACATACATTGTGGCCGAGAGTGATTGGTAGCTTTACAGCCCTTTAGCATCAATGCCTGGTGAATTAAGAGGATGATTAAAACTTGAAGCAGCTTCCGCGCACACGTGACAAGGAGCTGTCAACGCAGCCCGTGATTTCCTTCGCCGCCGCCCCAGGAAGTATAAGATAGGGGCTTAAATAAATAGTAAGTAGCGGCATTCCTTCATAGTCCCGGTATAGTTTATTGTATAACACCACCCAAAATAGTCTACCCGTTAAGGCGCCGCAGTATGTAGATCACTTTCAGACAGATCGCAAAAAGGAAAGCGTAGAGTCAAGCAGGATTTTGGACTGGCGTCTTCGTATGCGAATGGTTCGCATCTTGTGCCGCTGCTGTTTCCACATCCACCCGTAAGCCCTGACCCCTCAACTCCCGCAACCCTTTACACCCCAAGCCGCAACCCCCAACCTCTAAATAAAGCTCGAGGACTGGCACATGAACAAGACCGGCCTCTGTGTCTTCGCGTGCCTGGACCAGCCGAGCGCTCAGCGCGACGGTTCTCGTCTGTTCAAGGTAAGACCAGGTTGGTAGGAATGTCAGACATGCTCCAACAGTAGAACTAAAATCACTAAAGATGTCCGGCACACGCTCAGTGTTGTTGCTTCTTATGTGAATGGCATAACACATGTTTGCAACCCGGCCTCATCATGATGACTTTGTCTTACATCTGGCCACACAGAACCCTGACAGTGCACGAAGTCAGGCCTTGCCATCAGGGTGACTATGCAGGCTACAGCACTATTTGTCCACTCTGGATTTGCGAGTTGGAGCTCTAGCTGCCTCTGGGGGCTTAGGACTTGCCGCGTGGCCATCTGTACCAAGCTTCGGCCCCGGACAGTGGCAGGGTGATGATGCTGTTGATGTTCGCCCAATAATTGTGAACCTATTTGTTTTCAGTATTGCTCGCTGGGTGTGGCTGGTTTTCGTACGTTGGGCATTGGACTCAAGGCTTGCTTATTGTATCCCACTGCTGAGACTGCTTGGCGTTCCTGCGCAATCACTAGCTTCGCAGCAGCGACCGATTCGGTGCAAATTGGTTATTACACTTAGTCGTCTTTGCCCCTCCTGGTCTGTTGCACTGTCACACTGAAGGCTGCATCTCTACTGAGGGTATGGCGTGTCAGATCTGCGCCAAGCGAAGTCCATAGAATCAGCGAAGGAAGGTCAAGAGGTATGCCATGAAACAAACTACCTTCTCTACAAGCACAGTACAAGTGTACCAAAGCAGCGCAGCTCCGCAAGCTAGGATTCGCTGCATGTTTTTTTCGGGCGGCTCGCAACCTGCGACTGATCCTGCATGCCTGCATGTCCCGCATACAGCTAAGAGCTGTGGTGAGCATAAGATCTTGCAATGCACCCGAGGAGGCCATTGACAGTTCGAAAACAGGCTGTCTCAGCATGTCACTTTCACTTGTCGAGCCTGCGCCGATCAGCCTTCGTGGTCCCGGTGTCTACATTTCGTCGCATATGCAGAGGTGTTGCTTTGACACGAAGGCTTCAAGCAGCCATTCCTCGTCATAGTGCTTGAGATCTCAACTTAGCTTGGTACACTCACGTACAGCCTCGCCTTTGCTGGTTGATTTTTCGGAGGCGGTTGCAGAAGAGTGGTGTGAAGCATCGTTTATCTTTTGCATTGAATTGAATGTTTATTGTTGCCGTTATTCCAGGCTTCCTTTCCACCCTGTGGCTCAAGTAAGCAAAAACCTGTGCGAATCATACTCGCGCAAGCACACTACCCTGCACCCCGACCAAGCACCATATAGACATTTCCGAGCGAGCCCGGTGTACGAAGCAGCACAGCAACTCAGGCACTTTCGGTCGTAGACCTCCTTGACACATGCGTTGTGGCCTTTCCGTGCGGCGAGCATGGAGCCTTCTAAGCAGACGAGTAACACGGTTCGTCTGAGTTCAGGGTCGGGCACTGAGCCAGACTTTGCAGGCCACCTGACAAGCCCCCAGAGTCGTTGCATACGGCCCGAAGCTGAGGCAGTCGATCCGACCCCCCGTCCTCGGTGGACTGATCTCGGGCAAGAAACCGGCAGTCACACCGGATGGCTCGCGCGTTTTCGCGGCCTGTGGCAACTTGGCCATCGGTTTCAGCGCCTGGGCCTCGGGACTGTTGTGACTGCTGTTGCATTAGATCGGCATGCGTAATCAAACAAGTGTTCTTTACATATCTACTCGCACAAGCAGGTGTATGATTTGGTCATCGGCTTTCCCGGTCCCGTGAGCCTAATATAGCAGCCCCCAAGTCTCTGACGGCCTCAACCAATTAGGGGGTCAAGTACGTTCTCCGTAGCAGCACGACCTAACCCCTTCAACACCATCCCCACAAGCACAAGGGCTGGGAGGCAGCAATACCAGCAACACCGCTGTCCACAACTTGGGGGGGGAACAAGAGCGGTGGGGGAACACGCACCACATCCACAACAAACAGAGCAGGGAACACCAAGCAAACACCACAAACACAACCAGAAGTGGGAAGGGCCAGAACCCTGAAGTTATGCACAGTACCAGATATACAAATAAGCATGTGTACAGATGTACAGGAAAAGACATGCAGAAAGATTATGTTTTCTTTGATTCGGTAGTAAGTAGGCATAGAGGTATCTACATTGACATGTATACATTATACATATACGGCTTATACGACATACATAGCTGGCTGTAGCCAGCTAGCTCATCTCTTCCCAATGACACAGTGACACTAGGGCCCGACACTCTTTAGTTTATGTATTGCTGCAACCTCCCTCACTTTGCAACATCAACAGTGATGGAGAATGACACGGCACAAGTGGGGCGACAATGCATGAGCCAATTCCTGTTACCTTTCGCCATAACATTTGCAAACGGGCAACACTGTTCTTTCAAGTTCGAAAGACATTTCAGACTGGCAAATCTTCAGTCTGAAGTCTGTTGCCCTGGAGCCCTCTGCTCGAAAGGACTATAAACCCAGAACCTTGAATGCATGCACTGTATGCCAAAAGTTGAGAAAAGGCGTCCGGAACCAAGCAACCCCTGAACCTTGAAAGCCTCACACCTTCCGAGCCCGCCACCCACAGACCCGGAGGTAGACATATGCCATGAAAAACCCAGAGCCCCAGCCCTCCAGACCCAAAGCCTGAATCCAAACCTTGCAGGACCTCCCCGAACGGTAACCCCCAAAAAGACGAAGCATAGCCCTGCGGCCTCCTCCGTGCCAAGACCCGAACTTCTCGGCGCCTGGGAGTACTTGGGCCTCTCCGCGGCACCGTGACGGCAACCGCAGGAGGCAAATGTTGATTCTGAACCCAAGACTGTTGATAAGGGATTTTCGAGGCATGTCGAGGTCGAGTGGTGGTTCCCGGGCTGCGTGTGCACATGCGTACGGGTGTATATATATATATATATATATATACATATATATATGCACACACATATATGCATATATACATCTATACATACATTTACATATATATGTAATGGTTGATTGATTGCGTATGTGCATACACATATGCATGATGTAGGTACGCATGTGTGTACGCATGTACGTATTCATGTACGTCCGCATTTATGCATCTCTGTGCGACTGTCTGTCTGCCTATCTGTCGGTCCGTCTGTCTGTCTGTACATCTGTCTGTCTGTCTGTCTGTCTGTCTGTATGTATGTATGTATGCATGTTGTGTGCATGCTTGTATGTGTGTGTATGTTTTTGTGCACATGTATATTATACAGGTAGTCCGGCAGGCAGATAGTAGTCACGTCCAGGTAGGTGGTATAGGAAAGCACCGCGATATGCAGATCTGCAGTTATGCAGGTAGGTAGGCCGGCAGGTAGGTAGGTAAGTAGATAGCTGAGTGGGTAGGTAGGTTGCATATGCATGCAAGGTATGCAGGTCGGGAGCTATGTGGGCGTATGTGTACCTGTATGTGAATGTGTATTTGTATGTATATGGACATGGCGGATATGGATATGTTTTGTGTATGTTCTTGTATATGTATGTACATGCGCTCTCGGATGTGTACGATATATGTATGTGCATATGTACACGCATACGTACATGTACGTGTGCATGCACATGTTTCTAGTTCATGGACATGTGTATCTTTTGTATACTCACACACCCTGTCTTTTGTCTGTGCATATGCATGTTTATGTGGACGAGTGTTCATTCATGTACATGACGAAATATCTACAGAGGCTTCCGCTGATTCGTTCATGGTTTTTAGCATCATCATGTCTGGTTGCCTGCTTGCAGGCCTTCCAGGCAACACGAGTGCCGACAGCCCGCAGGCTGTCGCAACGGGATCCTCGCGGGGGCTCCTGGCCGGGCAGCTGCAGATCGCGGTGATGATGGAGACTGCGAAAATCTCCAGGATTAAGGATCTATAGAGGACCTAGACCTTAGATCGGTTATGTATGCGCGGCTGCGTCGCATCCCTGCAGCCTCAGGTTCGGAGAGCTGGTTATCTGGGATGCCAAGAGCTGGGGTCTCATGTGTGCTGTTCAGCGCTGCAGCATTTTCCTTCCGAGCTTTCTGCCTGAATCTGCAAGCATGATGTCGGCAGCATGAGACTAAGGTCTGCAGCGACTCTCCCATTTGCAGTTCGATGAGCCTGCAAACGACTCAGAAGCAGTTTCTGCTGGCTTCGGGTTTGGGGCAGGGGTGGTAGTGATAAGGGAGCAACAGGCTTGACAAGTGTTCACACTGCCGGAGCCGCATGTGCGTGTTGGCTAAAATTAAGCATGCTTCCGATTGCTTTAGCAAGGTATGTGTTCTGTGAGCGCTGCAGCAGTCATCTTCATCCCTAAATCGAACAACAGGGCGTGTCTGTCATGTTAACTCGTGAACATGTTTCATGCTTTGTTTTTCCTCTTTGTC